TATCTCATGGTCTAAAAAAATAGGATAGTATTGAAATGCCTTGTCATTGAGGTCCACATGGATGCCCAATTTTTGGCCGTTGTAAACTAGGTTGATTTCATCGAGGCATTTGTGCATTTGAAAAGTGTGCCTCCATGTATGATGGAACCAAAGAGGACATTGGAGTGACTTTTCTTCAAGAATCTTGGTGTATTCGTAGAAATCGGTCGAAATCCGTTTCATAGTAGGCTTCAATACTTGCAACTTTATCTTTTTCAAAGGTTAGAACTCGCTCTGAATACCATAAATGGTTGAGATTTTCAGCTGCAGCTTGGAATATATGATCAGGAACATTCTCCCATAGTATTATGTCAGTGAGAAGATCTGTGCTCAAGTAGGAAAAGCAACGCGTGACAATTTCATTTGGTAAGGTATCTAGGTTCATTGATAGACTTTCAAATTTAAATTTACTCCTGACGGAAGGAATGTGTGCAGGATGACGATTGGCTGCAAATTTACACTCTATCCAAAATGTCAAAATAGGGCGAGGGAAAAGAACAAAGCCATTGACTGTTGAAAGTCGGTCTAAGATATGATTCGAAATAAATTTTTTCAATTTAAATCTTGTCCATAAATACCAAGTACATTCAATTTTGCTATCTACACTGCAGCAGGACCATGACTACTGAGCCATGAACCTAGCCGATATAATTGTCAAATCAACTTTCAGCTTCACACGCCAGATTACCGACGGAAGCATTTTTTCACATATTTCAAGATCACATCTTCGTCGTTCTTGTAGAGAATTTGGGTCTTGTGACCTCCCTTGGTATCAGGTTCCACAGTTTCTTCCAATGATTGAGTGGAAACGAGATAATGGTCCCTCAAGCAGAAAGCAACGATCAATGTGGGTACACAGAGACAAAGACCGGTGATACACAATTTTCTTTGAAGATCAGCATATGCCAAAACCACGGCTACTCTGGCAGGAGACCCCCAAGGATAGGATTTGATAAAGGTGTAAGGAGCCTGATAGGCAGGTTTGGCCAATTCTGGGTCGACATTCAACTGGACCATTTTTTCAACAATAGTGGAATACATTCTTTGGGTCCAAATGGCTCCAGTTACACATTTGGATAAAGCTGAACCAATTTGGTAAAGTGCTGCAAAAACTGCAATGATAAGAGCAGTATACTCATGGCTGGTGCAAGCCTGGGCTGAAACTACCACAAGTCTGGAAATAAAAGCAACTCCAAAACCCATCACACACATACCAGCAGCAACACCATCACGATAATACTTTCCTCTCAAGCCATCATTGTCTCCTCTGAAATGAACAAAGAGACCCATTGCAATAAACCAGAAACTAATTCCCATAATTATGAAACCCTTACTTCTTCTGACATATGCCAAAACCACACCGAAGATTGGAATTGTCAAAGATGTAACAAATCCGTCCAATTGTGGTATACGAGTAGCTACCGTAGGGGTGGCATTCATTCCCACAAGCAACACTGGATATGCATAAGTTGAAGGCATTCCACCGACAAAAGTGTAAAAGACGGCTATGACGAATGCAGCCCAAATACCTCTATCGGTCAATAAGGCAAAGGGAATCAAGGGAAACCTGGCAAATTTCCTTTCCCATAATATAAAAAATGGAATCATTACGAATCCTACCACAAGCTGAGCAATGGTTGAGGCTCTAGTCCATTTTGTTTGAACTCCACCAGCCAAAGTCAAAGGTACCAAAATCAAACCACAGATCAAAACGATGAACAAGCATCCAATAAGGTCAGTTTTCCAGAACAATGCCTTGGAAATGTAACCGGCTCTAATGAAGAAAATTTTCATTTTGGCAGACCAATAGCTGTTACCGTTCCTTATATCTTCCTCATGTTTCTCGGTCGACTCGTTCATTCCAAGGTAACTTTTCCTTTCTTCGTGCTTTAATTGAGCCCATTCCTCCGTTCTGGACGCTATCCACCTCATTCTGATATTCATTGCAAAATATGGAAGACATGCCAAGGGAAAGGTAAAAGCCCAAAGTGCAATACCAAAGTTCCACTTGTACCTGTTCAACAACCCATTAACAATATCACCACTAGCCCAAGTGATAATGATATTTGGCAGGTGCAACACCGCAAGGGTTAAGAAACGGTACCTCAACGACGAAGCATCGGCCAAATTGAACTGCCACAAGATTCTGACCCCAGAAAATCCAAGTCCATACAACACAATCCCTCCGGCATACTTTTGGATGGTGGTTGCCTGTGACATAACCACGAGACCAACAACTCTCATAACTGTAGAAAACATAAATATTTCAAGCCGGCCGAAAGTATCAGAAGCTCTAGCATAGAGCGGCAAAGAAGCGGCAGCTACAACGTTTCTGATTATACCAACGGTCGACATGAGTGAGTGCTGTTTATAGTCATTGGTTGCGTAACTTGAAAACACACTCACCACTGCCGTCTCCAAGAGAGTCACAAACATTCCAATGAAGATAGTGAAAAAGAAAATACCTTTCAGCCAATAAGTTGTGTTTGCAGCCATCATGAGTTCCTCTTTCAAGACACCAAACGACTTCTCCATGAAGAGATCATTGTAGGATTCAGATCCATCGGTTGAATAGTCCCCTTTGGAAGTTCTTATAGCATCACTCTCAATCTTGCTTTCATCAATGAAGCTTTCATTTGCCTTTCCAAACTTTTGCTTTTCAAGAGAAGCCATATTGGTGAAACCAGAAAAAGATCAGCATGCCTACTTATAGTTTTCACATTGGTCCACCTTGGTCTCGATTTCTTGAGTTTTTTTATTTTTTCTTGGCTTAGCAAGAGGTGGTCAAATTTAAGTTGAATTGGGTTGTCTGACCTGATTTCAGAGTTGTGGGTCGGAAGTTACAGAGTCTTTCATAGACCATAGGCTCGAAACTCATAGCTAATTGTGCATTGTTTCAACCAATTTTCGTAACGAAAACTCAGAAAACGATTTACTGATCAATCTGATAATCAGTGTCGCGCGCAAAAAATCCTGTCATTATATGCGCCAAGAAAACCTCAGCCAATAGCATTATTACCCGGGCTGCATCCACAAGTAGGCTACCCTTTGCCAAGAAAATTCTGCTTGCTCATGCGATACACAGAGTAACGAGCAAAGGACATACAGTTCCAAGTCTTTTCAACAATGAATTGAAATAGGGTGTTCGGTTCGTGCAGGGTACTTGGCTGCAAATAGACGGGAATTCAACGAAATAGTGTGAAGTAAAAACCCCACATCACTCGTATTTTCCAGATAGCGGCAAAATATTGAATAATAGGACAATCATCAAGCTCATAGATGCGTAGCGATATAAAATTTGCACATGCCTAATGAGATAAAATACGAAATGTCATTAAGCCGATTTCGGCATTCTCATATAATTGCAATATACCGTACAACTCAAAGCGAATACCTAAAGTAAGGGTTCTCTTTATCTGTCAAGTCTGCGAATGCGACATTGCTGCCGGGATTCGCCGATTCAATTTCTCCACTTCTGACCATTCTGTCTCTCTTTCTGTTCTCCATGATGTAGGAAATGTAAAGAGCAATGGCTAAAACCAACGTCACTGCATAACTTACGACCATTCCAATCTGGCCTCCAACGTATTGCGGTGCTTGGCTTTCAATGAAAGTCTGAGGTCCAATAATATTGCCGGCTCCATAAGCGACAAGGAACATTGCATTGACTGTAACCTTCTTTGTGTGGCCAGCCACATTCGAAGAAAAGTTGGAAAGCATAGTAAACATTCCAATTACCGACATTCCCAAGCACAAGCATCCTCCCAAACGAACGTGAAGATCTTTAGCAAACGCAAGCATCCCGGAAAACACCAAATTGAGCATGCACCCAAAGATGCAAACGATCATACGATGCTTCACAAATTTGATCATAGATGCAACGATGATGCACCCAAATACCTCTATCAATCCCTGGTAGATATTATAAGTTAGCGATTGCTTCACAGAATAACCAAGAATTGAGTTCATCACAATACTTCCAAACGTAGTCAAACCTCCATTAGGTATAGAGATTGCAAGACCGAAGAAGAAGTAAATGTAAGTTCTGTGGTCTGTGAAAGCCTCGATAAATTGATGCCTCTTGAAATGTTTGTTTCCAAATCCTTGCTGATTTTTCCTTATTCTCTTGACAGCATGAATTTTCTCTTCTTCGGATAGAAACCAAGCATCAGCTGGCGAATCTGGAATCCAAAAGTAAAACACCACAGAGAGAAACACCGTCATGAGTCCAGTAACAATAAACAATAACTTCCAGCCTGCTATTGAGTACAGCTCGTTATGAATAACCATGCCCAAACTGATGGCTCCTCCAAGTACTCCACCAACACCACAGAAAGAAAACCAAATCGCAGAGAGCATGAACTGTTCAGACAATTTGTACCATTGAGAAGTAATGATCATCAATATGGGGGTAACTGAAGATTCAAGCATTCCCAAAACAACTCTTAAGAAGATGAATCCAGCATAATTCGTGGCAGCACATAAGCACAAAACCGTGCCCCATAAAAAGAAGAAAATACCTCCACATCTCGAAATAGAATACCGTTGGATAATATAGGAAGCAGGAAATTCAAAGAAAAGGTATCCCAAGTAGAATGCAGATCCTGTCCAAGAATACTGATCTCCAACCATTTTCATATCCGTCCTCAACCCCATGATCGAAGCTCCACTATTGGTGATTTTATCCATGAATTGAACAGCATATAACAAACAGATCAACGGAAGGATGTATAAACTCGCTTTCCAAAACAACTTTCTATCCTCTCGAGGATCTAAGTCTTGGGAGTCCAATTGCATAGCCAAATTCATAGCAATGTCAATGTCATTACCCTTGACCACAACTTCCTTTCCTGAAGGAGACTTGACAGAAGTAATAACATCTCCATCGGCAATACTGACTTCGTCATACTTTCCTGTCAATTTGACTTCTTGTTCTTTACTCATTGTTGAACGCAGCTCTTGAAAAGTGATGGGTTCCATAGCCTCTATAAGTAGCAAACTAGGCCGTGATGCTGATAAGGCCTTATGAAGTGATTTCTGACTCGGAATTCACATCTTGGTGCCCATGATCCTTTTAACGATTTGTAAAAAAGTTCAAAGATTGATAAGGATTTTGCGCCGCACTTGCCGATGTGGGGGACCGACGATTAGCAATGAGTGTTCACTAGATCTTTTATGATCTTGAGGTCAAACTGACAGCATAGAATTCGAATAGTATATGCGGTTAGTATACCGCTTTCTTCATATGGTGTCTCTTCTTTCAAGCCCAGAAACAAGGCTTTAGAGATGCTTAAGTGGCTGCGAAATCTGTTATCGCTATCGCGAACTCGCCATTTCCCGAAACGGATATGCCGACAGCCAATGCCTCATACCTTTCAATCCACCTAGTATAAATATGGTCAATGGATTTCGACCATTATCATGACCTTATCCAAAATGGAGATCGAATCGCAAGTTATCGAAGCAATTGACTATTTCACTGAAAAATACACCAAGGATTTTGAGCATATTGCCGGAGAAATGTATAAGAATCCCGAAGTTGCATTCGAGGAAAAATTCGCTCACGATTTGATAGCCACATACTTCGAGTCTTTTGGCGAGTTCAAAGTCACCAGGCACGCCTATGGCTTTCGTACAGCATTTGAGGTGTTGTACGAAAATGGTGGAAGATTGGTCAATTTCAATGCTGAATTGGATGCCTTACCTGGTATAGGCCATGGCTGCGGTCACAATTTGATTGCTGCTGGTTCATGTGCAGCTTTTTTGGTTCTCGTAAGAGTGTTGCAAAAGTTCAATATGTCTGGTTCTGTTCAACTCTTGGGAACTCCAGCAGAAGAAAGTCTCGGTGGAAAATGCCATTTGCTCAAAGGCGGAGCTTACAAAAACGTAGATGCTTCTTTCATGGCTCACCCTATCACCACCAATGGTTTGGACATGATCATGGTTCCCTCTGTTTTCTTGGCAACTTCATATCGTGAATATGAATTCACTGGAAAACCGGCACACGCTGCTGCATTTCCTTGGGATGGAGTTAATGCTTTAGATGCTTGTGTTGCATCCTGGGTCAATGTTTCTTTGTTAAGACAACAAATAAAACCACATGAACGTATCCATGGCTTCTTCAAAGATGGTCCTACTGTTGCAAACGTTATTCCAGAATCTGCAAAAGTGGTATTTCAATTTCGTTCCAAGACCAGACAAGAGATGGAAAGCTTGGCTTCCCGGGTCGAAAACTGTTGCAATGCTGCTGCTCTTGCTACTGAATGTACATTGAAGCTGAAGGAGATTTTTTGCTACTTGGATATGATTCAAGTGCCCAGTTTGATAGAAGCATGCTATGAATCAACCAAGAAGTATGCCAAAAATGAGACTCAAGTGCTCGGTGAAAGCTCCATCATGAAGGACATATATGGGTCTTCCGATATCGGTAATGTTTCGCAGGAAGTTCCAGCTATTCATTTGGCCTATAGCATTCCAACGTTGGAAAATTGCGCTCAACATTCTCATGTGTTCGCTCAGTCAGCGGGCCAATTGAGCACTGCAATGCCACCCACTTTGGTCACAGCTAAGTCAAATGCTTTATCGGCCTTCAAGGTGTTGCAAGATGATGGCTTATTTGCCAAAGTTGGAAAGGAGCACAAAATTCAAGTCAAGTACTAAAATTTCAGTAGTTATTGAATAGACGCAGCAATATGATCCACTTTTTCAAGCATGGTTTGCATGTCTGAAGCAACCCCCAAAGACTCTTCTCGGGAAGGTTGTGATTCATCGTCTATGTCTTCCGACTCACATTGGTCGTTATTGCGATAAAGCAAGTGCTCTATGCCGTGTGCGGTAACTATTCCACCATCCTTCAAGTTTTCTATGGCATCTCTAATTTGAACAAAGTCATTAAAAGGAACTACGTCGGACAATAATGAGAGTGGTAGAAGTAAAAAATCCCACCCTGCCGATCTGTTTTTCAAAAAGTCATGATATCCAGACTGCACTTTTTGTAACCTCTTAAGAGGAACTGTGAACAAGTTGGTTTGATATGTCTGCCTTCGCATTTCGGAGACACTCATCAGTAAAGTCAAGAAGAGAATAAAGTAACAAAATTGGTAGTTTATCATCGGGTACCAGTACGAGTTCAAATCTCGAAGTTTCATGCTGGTAACAAATTGCAAGTGGTCGTCGTAAAGCTCTGCAATTTCCAGGAGTACACTTCCCAAGAGCTCATTCAAGTTGGTTTCAAGAACAGGATTCGTTTCACTTTTGTCGAAAGCAATCACGCATAACGACACTTTCTTGATCAATATCTTGTATATCGACACCCGTGCGAAATCATAGAATATTCTGAGGTTGCAGTTTGCACTAATTGGGTGTATAATCATTTTCTTCTGCCCGTGTTTCTTGAATTCTGGGTCCAACAGTTTCCACCACTCATTGACTTTTTCCAAATACTTTTTTGTAGACAGTCGAATTTCATTGAGGGTCTTCAAAGAATCTTCCATCTCCATCATATGAAAGTTCCCGTGTAATGAGTACCAATAAGTAGTTATGTCTGAACATATCACCGTTATCTTGAGCATTTCATGGAAATAATACCAGCACACAAAATGTATATGTTCTAAACTTTTTTCGAGCGGTGATTGAACCTTTGACTCCTTTCTATCAAACTGCTTTGTTACCAAGTATGATAGATTTGGCCACGAGTTTATTTCGTTGAGAATCTCAAACGATCCTTCGTTTATAGTACTTGTTCTTACTGTCAAAAACGAGAACCATTTCTCCTCAACATAATAAGCCCACCACAAATTATTTCGAGCAATAATATCTGAGTTATTTCTGAAACTGCTATTGAGATCGTCCTTGAACCTAGATACATTCAAACCCAATCTGTTCACTAGAAAAGTGGCAATGCTTAATATTTTAGTAGCAGGAACAATGCTCACCGTATCATTAATCGAGTTGATTCTTGATATTATTTGGGGCAATTGTAGCAAGCAACTTTGAAGAGATTTCATATTAGACTCTTCATTGTTGGTGGCAGTTTCAAATTCATTCATAAGTAGTTTAAAGCAAGCATTTGCGAGAGGTTGGGGATCCGGACTTGGGCTCAACATCAACTCATCATTTCTGTCCCAGCATCGCAAAGAATTGAGGAAGATAGAGCCAAGTAACGTAAATCCGTACTTTTGAATGTTCTCGTGAATGGTATGGTTGATCATAAAGTGAAATTGGTCTCCAGATATCACCGGGAGAAAAGGGTTTAAGTAAGTGAAAAAGGTCTTTAGAAGGCTTGCTCCATAGGACTCAGCAAATTGTGAAACTAAGGCTTGAGACTCTTCAAGGGTAATAGCTTTGGGAGTTTCGCTGAAGCTAGGTAAGCTTGTTTGGCTATAGGTGTCATTTGGGGTCAATTCGGCAACCTGAAGTGATCCTGGCTTATCGTTGAAAAGAGAATAGAAATTGGATTCCGATAATGTCTGTATGGAATTCAAGTTATCAATACACCATTTAATTCCTGATGACGATAGTTGATTATCAATGGTTCCAATTGATCTCAATGACGGTGAATCTGCCAGTTCTTCTTCGTTGCAAGTCTGCCTGTCAGACACAAGTACAGGCTCAGATTCTGTAAAATTATCCAGATTACCTGCTTTTTTTGAAGAATTTTTAACTTGACGGGCTCCGTATCTTCTGATCCTTTCTTCCCCTTGAATAATACACTTGCGGTTCATTTTTATACAGCGTTCGCAAGACACACCTGAATATTTACATGACTGTTTCCTCTTTCTGCACCAATCGCACGGTCTACGATTTCTTGTTTTGTGGAATAAGACTTTGAGCTCGCTGTGTGCCATGAAACAAAGTTATCAGAATTGTTCGAAGCTAAATTTTTGGGGCCGACTGTAGTAGATAAGAAAGTTGCGAAAGTTGGAATCTGCACAAGTGTGCGAAAAGTTGACTCGGATCAGATTTCCATTTTTAAGGACCGTACCCGGAGCGTGAAATTGTGTAGTTTGAGATGCATATTTGTTTTGAGTGAAAGAGTTAGCGCTGATACAGATCATGTGTTATATAGTTTCATCCAGATTTTAATTTGAGATTTGGAAGAATCTTGCAAAAGGGTACATTTTTGCAAATGATACCACATTTGGAAAAAGTGAAAAAGGGGTAATTCAGTCTAGACTTGAAATACAACCTCTAAAGTCTTCATTAATGCTTCAAACAATATCGGTTCACATTGATGATCAATCGATGTAAAGCACACCGTACTTTCCTTGTAGTTGCAGCTTTGGGGACTGCATATGAGTCATATTCTGGACCGTATACTAGCTACGATTACTTCGTTCTTTCTCTGTGATGTTAACGTTGATTGATAAAAGGCTGTTCAATCAGCTACTTACTTCCTCGTGGTATCTTTCGTAACTTTTGTAATCTCATGATTTATAACTTCATATTTTCTAACTTCATCTTTTGTAAGTACAGATAACTCGTGGTGACTATGACTGTCAACCCGACATCAGCTCTAACTCTTCATTTTATATTCTCCATCAAAGTTCATCATGATCTGGAGCGTTGAAAAAGTTCTGTGCCAACTCCACTTCCTCAAACTCATTTTCACCTTGGTTTGTCTTTATGATGAACCGTCTATACGAAGACATGGAAGGGGTCCCATCATTAGTAACCTCCAACACTATATGGTACTCTTTGCAATTTTGGAGAGGACGACCAAAGATACTGTGACATGCTTCCTTAAAGGTGGGAACCTTGAAAGAAACTTTTGAACCAATTTCATTTTCTTTGGTTATTGGTATTTCTGGAACTTCCAAGATGTTAGCTTGAGTCAAACTAATTTCCCGGTAATGAAACCATTTGAAAGTAAAAAGTCTGCTGTTCAAATCATAGCTTTTGCTTGCATCTATTGTGATTTTGGAATCGACAGCAGCTTCTATAATGGACGGCTCATAAGTCAGAGACCCATTGACGATAATTATAGGCTCATGCACAGCACTTTTAAAGTCCTTCACAGTCCATTGCATTCTTGCCGCAAAGTCGTTCTGATAGGCAGCTCTCCAGCGCCAAATTGTAGCTTGGTTACTTACATGTGTCTCGTTATCTTTTCCCAAAGCATAGTCGATGGCATCAGAATAATGTCTAGATCTTCCAGTATTGTCCACCAAAACATAGCGACCACCCCAGCCTCCATAATTGGGACTATCTGGATAGTTGAGGCCATTTGGAAGAACAAAAAGTGTGGAAGGTGTGTCACCCTCCATGATGAACATTGGTTCCGGATACACTTTTCCAAGAGGTCCCACACTCATGATATTGGATTTAAGCCACTCTTTGGATACCAAGTCGCTGTCTGGTCCACCTTTATCAAAAAAGTTGTACTGTTCGCCAGAAATCCCCACCCATGTTGAAAGACTATATTGGTTAAAACCATGCAGAGATGAGATGTATTGAATTTTTGGAAAATTGGTCCTGATCCACGGCCCGGCATCGTCCTGGTCCGAAATCGAATAAACTCGAAGTTTTTCACTGACAGAATCAATGAGCTCGACAGAAGAGTATTTGAGAGCTTCAGCAAGAACACCAGCTCCTCCCCACATAAGAATATCCAATTTTTCATTTTGCGGAATCTCACTCATGGCAGATATCAATTTTTTGGCTCCCGAACTCGGCTCGCCCGCTTGAAAAGCGTCAAGTCCATATGCCTTGTACCCAGTACTAACGAGCTCCCGTAAAGAATCCGCCGTGGGATAATCTTTTGAGTGCTTCAACAAATTGGGCCACACCTTCTCGTATGCGTCAAGAATGGGGTAAATATCTTCGTCATGGACGGTATAATTGAGCCAGTACGATGTCGTTGCGACAATTCCTTTAATGGAGACTTCGTTGGAGTACAATAAGAGACGAACGAGAGACTCTGCATCATCGGGCTCATTACTGATATCGGTAAAAACAAACACATTTGGCTTGACATCTTTCTTGGGTACCAACGCGGAGGTCAATTGCCAAAGTAGTGCCCATAAGAGCGCGGGAAATAATTGCATTAGCAACTACGAAGGATCTCCCCCTTATTATAGACCGATTCGGGGAAGATGAAACGATTCCGATATTACGCGCATCGAATTAGCCGCAAAAAATTAGCCGCTACTGCCCCTCACCGATGGACGCCAATTCTCGTAAATGCCCCGCATTTTGCGGCAATGAGATCTGGGGTGAAATGTCATTATATATTGTGCTGAAAATGTGCATTTCAACAAAGACAGCATGTCCCAAAAGAGTATCAATATTGTTGAGCAAGAGGAATCCGACGACTTGGTGAAGGAAGTGTTGGCACTGGAGTATACCGAGCGAAAGAGAACGAAATGGCAGACGGTGAAAAAATATCCTGATGCAGTTTACTGCATCTCCACTATGGTTTTTGCGCTTATATTGACATCTTTTGAGTCACAGGCAGGTGGAATTGTGATCTCCATTGCCAAATTCAGAGAGGATTTTGGAGTACAGCTTTCAGATGGAACTTATGCAATCGAAGCCAAATGGCAGTCGGCATTTCTTGGTGTACCCTTGGTTGCTCAGATGGTGGGGCAGAACTTGGCCTCGTTTCTTGCCGACAGAGTTGGTAAAAAATGGGTGATATTTGGTGCAATTGCAGTTGGCGCCGGGTTGGTTGGTTTTCAATTTTCCTCCACCACCGTGCAAACATTTCTTGCCTCGAAAACTTTGATCGCAATTTGTCTTGGAACACTTCAGGTTTCAGCAGCTGGATACGTCGCCGATGTCACACCTTTGCCATTGAGGGGCTTTGCTACTACGTTGTGTAACATATCATACTCCATTGGTCCTTTGGTCTGTTTCATTATCAACTATTCGCAAGCTAATAACACTACAAAATGGGCATACAGATCCATGTTCGCTTCTCAATGGGGCCTTGCTGCCGTTGCTTTAGTGTTGGTTTTGTTTGTTCCAGAGTCTCCCGTCTATCATATCATCAAAGAACAACCGGAAAAGGCAGAAAATTGCTACAAAAAAATCTTGGGAAGCGAAGAGGACGCAAAAAAACAGGTCTTGGTGGTTCAAACTACTATCAAGGAAGCAGAAGCAGTGCAACAAGGTTACACATATCTCGATTGCTTCAAAGGAATTAACAGAAAGAGAACTTTGGTTGCAGCGGTGCCATTTTTGTTTCAGCCATTTTCGGGTGTAGCATTCACAATCAATTACACAGCTTATTGGTTTCAGCTAGCCGGATTTTCTGAGTCAAAGTCTTTTAAGTTCACAATTGGAGCTCAAGTTCAATCTGTTGCCGGCTGTATCGCTGCTTTGTTTGTGGTAGATCGAATTGGTCGTCGTACAACCATACTTTGGGGAGTCGCAGCTCTCAACATTGTCAACTTTATCATTGGAGGAACTGGTCTTGACAAACAGAAGAACTCACTTAATACCACCATTGCTTTCATGATGATGTACGGCTTCTGGTACAACTTGGGTTTGGGATGCGTTTGCTATCCAATTTCCATGGAAAATCCTACAAGTGCATTGCGGACCAAGACTTTTGCAATCTCGATGACTTGCAATCTTTTGGGAAACATGTTATGGCTGTTTATCATTCCGTACATTTTCAACCCGGACGAAGGAAACTTGGGTTCAAGTACCATGTTCATCTTTGCCGGTTGTGGAATTTTGTTTTGGATTTTCTTCTACTTCTATGTTCCAGAAACTGCTGGACGAAGTTTGGATGAGATTGACGAGATGTACTTCTGCAGAGTGCCTCAAAGAAAGTTCAAAATGTACAAGACAAAGGTGGAAATGGTAGGCGAAGAGACTTTCGTACCAGATAACAAACCTCTGCTTGACCATGTTGAGAAAGTTTAATTCTTTAGAACTCATTAAACGGGTTGATTTTTTAGATGAATAGATTAAATTTAAATGTTCAGTTCCCAAATCACATTACAAAGCCTTAAAGCTGCTCCAGCAAACCACCAGTATTTTCTGAGGTCCGTGAGCACCAGCTTTGCCATTCCAGTAACCTCAGCGTAATAATTTTCAGGTTTGTCACTACTATAGGAAGATGTATTGAACTCGAGTTGATTCAAAGCAATAACATGTAGCACGGCATGTACCACCAATACATGGTGCACAAGAGGCTCCGAAGCTGCCAAACACATGATTTTGATGGAATACTCTTGTAGCGGTAAACGTTCTTCTTTATCAAATAAGCCCAGTGCTCCACTGTCTCTGCTCTTGAGTATTAATCCTACAGTATCTATTCGACACCGAAAGGTTAAAATAGCAATGTAGGCATGGTAAACTTCCAAGAGTTTACGAATCAGTTCGTTAGTAATGTTTTCGTCCAAAGTCCAGCTAAGGATATCGTTTTTCAATTGTGTGTCAACTGTGCGATGGGTCGGAGGTCGATAGTGGGAGCATTGGACTCTTTCCACAAGTTTTGCCAAACTAACCATTTTATTACATGCCGCAAGATCGCTCACTTGATACTCACCAGGTTCAAAATCATCCAACGACAAATCGTCAATAATCAAATCTTTCCGATCGTAGTACATTTCTCTTCCACTTGTAGCAGATACTAACCTGTCAAGGCTAAACGAAACCCAAAAAAGTCGTCTGAGAAGACCTTTCCAGTACTTCAATCTCACCAAGTTGTTCAACTCAGAAGAACTCAACTCAGATATGTCGTTTGTTCCCGAAATATTGGTGATACAAAGCTCACCGCAAAGGTTGCAAGCTTTCGTGATATATTCTTTGGAATCTCTAGCGCCGCTGATTCCCTCCTCATGAATAGACAAGAGCAAATAAGATTGGATCAACACTATCTTATTATGCTCTACGAGCTCCAAAAGTTTACATCTTTCGTAAAATTGTTTGAGTCTGGTTCTCACTGAGACTTGGCCCACCTCGGTGTCGAAACGAGTTGCACACAACATGATAGCGTTCAACAATATGAGAGGCACCTGGGATGCGTCTTCCAATGAATTTCTGGAAACAACAGGAAATAAGGGGTACAAATTCGTCAAAAATAACAGAATTAATCGTTTTCTCTCCACAGCCGAAGGAACTATATATGCTCCCTGGCTATCGATAAATTTTCTGAGCGCCATGTCCTGACGGGACTCAACATGAACTTCATTTTCCTGGCCCCTCCATGGATAATATAATCCAAAAAAATCTCCATCGAAGCACAAGTAGGAATCTCTGCTAAGAAGCAGCGACAATGGTTGGGTCGAGCAAACAAATTGCGGCTTGGTTTGATCATTTCTATAGAATATGTTTTCGTAGATGTTTTCCATCGCATCGTCTGATTCCAAATCGGATTCCTGAGCCGGAATGTTTGCAATTTCATCCCACTTACACTCAACTGACTTTTTTTTGCAATTTCGGCATTTTTTTTGGCCCAGAATCAACGATACATTTTTTTCGTCTTGAGCGGCAACTAAGACAAGCCCACTAAGGACCTCTGCGTTAGTATTACCCTTGAGCAGTGAGCTGGCTCCCAAACTTACCTTTCTTTTGGAAATTGGAAACTTTGTAGTCACAAATCCTGACATCTGTTGCAACCGAAAAGTGCGGGCGGGGTCCCATTTTAGGTACTCCGCACGGCGGGCGGGATACCCAATCGGGGCGGTTGCAATTGCGGGCGCGATACCCGATTGGGAACGGTTGCAATTTGTGGGGTCGAAGATTCTCTGAAGAATATATAAACACCACCTACCGACCCATGAAGTGCATAACAGATCTCAATACCCAAAAAACACAGAAATGACGACAAAAGTTTTGACAGAATCAAAGTTACCCTCTTTGGCAGGACTTCGCAGAATAGATCTCTCTAAAGCCAAAGTCAGACTCAGTGGAGACATCTCTTCTGTTTTCACATCTTTTTCTGGAGAACTGGAACACTTGAACGAGCAGAAGTTTACTCAATTGAAAAAAGAGTTGGTGAAAGATCCTCAGGCTTTGAAAGAAAGTTGGTTACGGTTAAAGGTGGCACTTTCGAAAGGAATTGAAGAAATCAAGGCTAAAGGACCTTCAATAATCCCTTCTGTTGAATTTTCTAAGCTCGACTCACTCAGTGAAGCTGAACGTGCTGATATCTTTAAGAGAGGGTGTGTGGTTATTCGCAATGTGGTTCCCAAAGGAAAGGTCGTTGAATGGAAAAATCAAGTAGTGGACTATACCGCCAAGAACCCTACTACAAAAGGTTTCCCCAAAGATTCGCCCGTGGTTTACGAGTTGTACTGGTCCAAGGCACAAGTTGAGGCTCGCAGCCACCCCAATATGATGAAAACTATGAACTTTATGAACCACCTTTGGCACACTGACGAAGATTCTCTCATTTGTCTTGACAAGAATCTTTCCTATGCTGATCGCTTGAGAATCAGAAACGCCGGTGATAAGTTCTTCTCGCTTGGTCCTCATGCGGATGGAGGGTCTTTGGAGCGGTGGGAAGACAAACTGTACGTTCAAAGTTACCGCAAGATCTTTGAAGGTAAGTGGGAAGAGTTTGACCCATACGACATTCAAGGCCGTCTTGATGCCGATATGGACTACTACGAGTCTCAGGGAACTTGCAGTATCTTCAGAAGTTTCCAAGGTTGGTTAGCGGCATCGGAAATTGCACCAAAAGAAGGTTCGATTCTCTTTGCTCCTCTTGTTAGAGAAGTCACTGCCTACTACATGTTGAAGCCTTATTTTGACGAAAACGACGAATTGACTCTTGATGGTCGTATGCCTGGCGCATATCCAGGAAAAGGTCTTGAGTTCAACGACAACACTCATCCTGAACTCAAATTAAGCGATTTAATGGTCCACATTCCAAAAGTGCAACCTGGGGATATGGTTTACTGGCACTGTGACTTGATTCATGCCGTGGATAATGAACATTTGGGAGACCACGACTCGCTGGTGTTCTACATTCCTTCGGCTCCGTTGTGCCAAACGAACTTGAAGTACGCTTTGACCCAAAGAGAAGCATTTCTTAAAGGTTTGGTGGGACCAGACTTTCCTGGTTTCCCCAATGATGTCGCTGAAACTCAGCACAAAGATAGGGGTGGACCTGAAGATGTCATGGAAATCGGAGGAATCGAAGCATTGAGAGAATTTCTCTTGGCGGAAATTGAGTCTGACGAGAGCTATTCTGAGGGAGCGAAAAAAATGATTGCCATTGCCAATGAGCAAGCGTTTGGAAAGTGAGAAGGAGGAGAAAACTCTATTGAAGATTTTGTAAAATCTGGAATTCTCGTAAAGCTGAACTTTTGTGGAAAGTTGGCTGCAAATGCAATGCTGCAAAACCTTGTTTTCAAGTTGTATGATTTACGTTAAAAATGAAACCAATAAAATTTAAAAATGAAACAAATAAAATTGTTATCACATTTAGTATCACAACTACACACTATTCTTTAGTACTCTAATCTGACTGCTTTGTCCGTTTTTACCCAATTATTCCCCCACCTCAAACTGTCACCTGATCAGATTTTGAGATCTCAGCTTCTTCCTTGATGCCCAGAAGACCAACGCTAACCTGTAGAAGATGCCGAGAAAAGCGTATAAAGTGTGACAAGGAGTCGCCGTGCTCATCGTGCATAAAGAACAAAACCCCTAATCTATGTGTTTTCGATGAAAATAACGATCTTCTCCTGATAAAAGGAGGCATGGCGCTGCATGTTTTCAAAGTTTCAAAGTCTGTCACGAAGAAACCCAAAGCTAAAGTCACCAAACTAGCCACAGATATGCCAGATCACTACGTGACGGGTCACGAAGATACAATAGACTTTCATGACTTGTATTTTGAAGACAATACAACCTCTTCAGCGAGGTCCCCTTTGGAATGGTCTTTCATCGAACGAAAAGAACCAGCTCTTAGATTTCTTCAGACGTGGAAAATTTCAACTGACAACACACCCCAGGAGAGATCAGGGGTAGAGGATCAAAGACCTTTAGTCGAACGAATAGAGGAAGTCCTTCCCAGAAAAAAACGCTGTTTTGCATTCAATCAAGTGCTTTTTTGATGAAGTGTATTTCTTCGTGCCCCTAGTCGACTACGTTATGTTCAACGACGATATGGCGCGGATCCTCGAACCAAGAGGAAACGGAGTTGTGTCCTCAGACTCACTCAGAACTCCGACCTAGCAAATGTAGGAATACTTTTGACAGTGCTCAGTTTCTTAGGTCTCTTGAGAAGTTTTGAAACCGACTTTTCAAACAGAGTCTCTTACATCCAAAAAATTTCCTTGGCAAAGCTGTGTTTGCGCCAGCATACGATCCGAAACGAAATTTATTTACCTGTTTTACAGCTCGCTACCTGTCTTCGACTATTTCATAGAGTGGTACCCGATACACCCGAGTTCCCAAAGCGATGGGGACAGTGTTCTCACAAGCACACTAGTTCATATGGCATACCAGTTGCAACTAGACCGAAAAACCGGAAAACTTCAGTCCCAGAGAGTGTAACTTAAGAGGAAAATTGTGGCATCTAATTACCATTCTCGATACTATGGAAGCTACCCTCATAGGAACTCCCCTAGTAGCAATCAGGAGCACGAGTACCAAGACGTTGTTACCAGTAGGTGACTTAACTTCAGAAGCGTCTAATACTCCAAATGTAGAATTAGAAATGGCCATTGTCTCATTCTTTGGAAACCTGAGTCCTTTGTTGGCAACATTGCGAGACATGATCGAGCTAGTTCTGAACAAGACAGGAACGACAAAGGTATCCAAGCTTGCGGAGTATGTTCAATTAATGGAGACTCTAATGGAAACCGTCTTGGGCACTTTGAAGGGAAAATTGACTACTATGCCAAAAAATGCTTCCGCCATCTATGTGCATCACAAGGCCCTTTCGATAAAATCGTTACTTAACTACGGTACTTTTCTACTCTCGCTTTACACTCATATAAGAGTGTACTTTGAGCACAAGAATGACATTCAGATGGCGTTTCATTACGAGAAAAAAATAATTCAGCTTACTGTCACTGAACTTTTGCCAATAGTGACGTTCATTGCCGACGACCCTAAACAGTACTATGGCCCCATGGGTGCTCTCGTCACCACCAAATTCTTTATCTCTACTTTGCAACGTTCGAGCTTCACGGGTCTTTCAACTTTGACTCGATTGAGGTACCATCTTCACCACTATGATGCGATCTATGGAAAAGAAGACACTGACACTCATTTTTTGCTTCAAAAGGTAACAACCAAATCCGAAATTTGCTGTAAAATCTACTGGCAGAGTCTACGTAGACTTATATTCCAGTTCCAAATGGACCCGAGGCCGGCTGAAAAAATTAGAGATACTGTGGAATTTCTCAGCGATGGAACAAATCTCAACACTGGTGCATTTGATAAGATCTGGCGCTTCCGTTACACGAAAGAACAATTGCTGGAGATTATAGACTTGTATGACAGTGGTTTGGAAGATATATCTTATTCGGAAGAAAGCTTTGGGTCGAGCACGAGTCTGTCGACTGATAGTGCGTCGCCATTATTTGACTTCAATATCGATTTTGACTATGTTGCTGAATCATGGATGAAGGAACTAGATGACGCCATGATCCTGCCGGATATTTTTCTTGGTATATGATTCGCAAGTAAATTAAAAAAGAAGACTTTGTAATTATTAGTTCTAAATAATAATTACCATGGAACCTCAGTACCATCGTAGCTCCAGAATTTGTTTGAGTCTTCCTTCTTGAGATTTTCTATCAAAATCGCCAACTTCTCAGCACTTTCGTCTGGGGTAATGTGGCCTCCAGGAGCAAAAATGGGCGCAAATTCTGGGTTATTGGCAAGATACTGGTCTTTGGCACCGAAGAGCAATTCAGTACCGACCAAGCCTGGGTGGACAGGGACCACGATAAATTCTCTTCTGCAAGCTCACGCCCGAGCTGTCTAATGCTGTGGTTGAGCGCAGCCTTGGATTGTCCATAGGCAGAAGTACTGTAGGTAGGATACTCACTTATGGTTCCAACCATACTTGACACGAAAATCACCTTCTTTTGAGTACCCCTTTTCACCAAGTCGTAGAAAGCCCGGATCAAAAGAATTGGTCCAAGAGCATTGGATAACGTAGTGGCTGAGGAAATTGCTCCTTTGGAGTGTCCAAAATTTGGGTATGAGCGGTACTAATACCTGCATTACAGATAAACACATCAATGGAGTCGGTAATTTTCAAAACCTCAGCTTTGGCGGTTTCAAATGTCTTTTCATCGTTCAAGTCCAAAGTCACAACGTGTACATTGTCAGCCACCTTGCTTAATTCTTGCAAACCAGAGGAAGAAGAAGGGTTTCTAGCGGTTGCAAATACCACATTCTCAGGTTTCTTACTCAAGTAGGTAGCCAAGCTAAGGCCAATTCCACGAGAAGCACCAGCTATAAAATATACTTGTTTAGCCATTCTGTTGTAGTGATTCCAGTCGATTGCGGGCTTTATATACCCTGGAAATGGTCCATTTCGGCCATTAGGCGGATAAAATGGATGAAAAATCAAGCGGCCGAATTTCCCAATTAGTACGTATTTCCGCATTATGACCGAATTGCTACAAATGACACTCGGTGCGGCTCGCACCTATGCCTCTAGTTTCAAAGAGATACAAGCTTTACCAATGGCCCAAAGAAAGATAGTTGGCCAACTGGAAGCTAGACAACGTGATTTCGTACACCAAAGCACAAAATTGTAATTGGGCAAAAAATTCGCAACCCAAATGCCCATTTTTAATAAATAAAATGGCTGCGAAATTTTGCAAATGTTGCAAAACCTTAAAATAGCACTTTACGGAATGCGGCTTCGCCTTATTCGACTCATCAGCTGAGTAATTCTACGCTTCTGATGTGCCGTGCCTTGCCAAGACTTGTTAGAAGCAAGTCTTGGCGTAAGGACGGAGCTCACAGTTCCACCACCGACGCTTGCTTCTCGCATGTGGTTCTTGGCGACTATCAGAGCATTATTCTCAATCTTTCTTCTTCCAATTTTTCATTTGCACCCTGCGAAGCTGCGATTAGCACTCACAAAATCAATAACTACAAATGGCTCAAAAATTTCCATTCCACTACATTCACACATTCTTCTTGCCTATAACTGCAAAAGCATCAAGCTCAAACATAACTAACTCTGGCAGGATGGTCCAATAGTACCTCATAGTGCTTAGCGGACCATACCATCATCTCCAAGTACCTCTATCATAAAACCAACGTTGAAGACCTCCATTTCCAGAGCTTGACCTTCCTGGCCTACAATGCAGCTTCACGCTCATTACCATAAAATCTTGAGCAACACATTTCCACGAAGACGAGCAGGATTGGGCATACAGATCCAGAATGTGAACATGATGGAAAACATAATGATGAACGCAGGCATAACCGTCATGGCTCCAATATACTGAGATATGAGTCCAACCAAAAAGGGAAACAATGCTCCTCCAGAAGAGCCAAAAGCAGTGGTAATTGTCAATGAAACCACCAAAATTTTTCTGGGAAAGAGGCGTGAAATGTGAAGCACCATCAATGAATAGATTGGGCCAATGCACACACCAGCAAGGGAAACAAATACACCGGTCGCAATAAGATTGTCTATGGCCCAAGCCAACGAAATTGCAACCATAGCACCACAGACCACCACAGTGGTTCCCCTTCTGGGATTTAAATATTTGTGAAGGTTTCTCGTCAATAATAACCGGCCGAGGGTGACTCCAAACCAGTATCCTGAAGCAACATAACCAACAGATGGATTTTTGTGATGTCTATAATCACGAAGGAAAGTCACAAATTCCATCCTCCCAAACTCACCTCACCGCCTTGGTAAAACAAGACAAAAAGTGATGCTAGCCACGTCAATTTGTTGGTTAAAGCATCAGCCAAGATACTTCTTTCTGTAACATCAGGTAAGGTTTGGTGCTCTACCTCAAACTGTTTCAAGTCCTCATCCATGCCCATGAATGCAAAGTATATGTTGGCGATATTAATGATCATTAAACCTATGAGAATAAAGTAGAAGTAGTTCCAATTGATATGGTGCTCCACAAGAGCTGTGCCGACAAGGGGCCCAATGGTGGCACCCAAGCCATAAGTACCATGGAAATACCCCGCATATCTATATGAGTCAAACTTTCACAAAGACCGATTTGCAGAGCGCGTATATTCCGTTGTTCTGATTACTAATTTGGCTTAATTACGGGAATTTTTCAATTGGTTGCAAATTTAAGGTTTATTACCTCTTTCATTTTTCGAATCCATACTTGCTCGGTCAACTACCAGAACCTCTGCCTTTTCCAACATTTCAGCGTGTAAGTTCTGGGTCTGATCTCCATTCAAGAGAAACTTTCTTTCCCTCTTTGCAGTTGCAACAACATCAAAAGGAGAGTTGGCTTTTATGAAGACCAAATCAATTGCTTCCAAAGTCAATCCTGCAGTCTTGGGGAAGAAGAAATAAACCATGAATGGAATCAAAAAGCCGATAACAGCATAAATAATGTAGTATCTGTAGTCGATCGACTGAATTGCAATAGGTGTAATCATTGTTACCACAAAGTTCCATATCCAATTATTCGCCGAGGAGAAAGCAGCAATATGGTTTCTAAACCGAGTAGGACTGATTTCCACCACATACAACCAATTCAATCCCAAAAATCCAATTGGAATGAAAAAATTGAAAGCAAAGATGAAAAACACTGATGCAATGTTAGCATGGCTATTGTGCTTCTGGGACGTTGAAATAGCAAGGAACATCATACAGCACGCCATTCCAGTACCACTAGCCGCAATCAATGGACGTCGACCAAATCTGTCAACAGTGAAAAAGGCAATAAATCCACAAAAGAACTTGAATGTCAAAGTACAACCAGACAAAATTCTGGATAATGTTCCACTCATTCCAAGATTCTCTTGATAAAGAATAGTAGAATAGACCGAAATTAGATTTCCTCCGCTCATCTGTTGTAAGCACTGAAGCGCCATAGCCATAAGAAATCTCATAAGGATTTTCTGTTCTCCCATTTTGAATAATTCTCTCATAGAGCCACTTGAAGTCAAACTTGAGCGGTATGAATCTGCAATAATTTCCACTTCTTCAAGAACTTTTTCATGGTCCACATCAACCTTTTGAAAGGCGCTTATTATTCCTTTGGCTTCATCTAGTCTTCCCTTGGTGATCAACCACTCTTGGTGATTCAGGTAGAAAGATAGATGATATCAATGGTAAGTTGAAAAGTACTCCAATTGCAACAGGAATTCTCCACGAGACTTCACTTTCTTTGTGAGTTACGTAGAAAAGCCCAACCCAATCCAGTTTGTCAAAGTGTACCCCAAAAGAAAATAAAAAGCTTCCATCTAGGGGCTACATGTTTTCCCTCTATTTTTCGGATTCCGAACACTCGCTTTTGCCATTGCTGGGAACATGTAATATTCAAGGCTCCAATTCCCATTCCGATCACGGTTCTACCAATACAGAGCTGGGCTGAATATGAAATGCTGAGCACTCCAAGGCTTGACCTATAAAAGTGAGGAGTGCACCAAAATAGATAGCCTTCTTTCTGCCGACTTTATCACCGAAAAAGTTGCAAAGAATCGCGCCAACTAGAGCTCCCAATGAAAACGTCGAGACTACCACACCCTGCAAGGTGCTCGCATTGGAGAGCTCTGAGCCTTCCTTACCAATCTTAGAAAGCATTGGGAAATGCTTTCCAAAAACAGGCAACGACAAGGCATTTCCAAGACCAGCTTGATTGTAACCGAAAAGTATGAAACTAGGAAGCCCAATAAGCAATGTTTGTGCTACTGAGAGAGCTTCCCCAGATAGTCCAAGATATGTGGTATGATTGTCTTTAGCCATTTCTTTGAAAGATCCATGATTTTTGCAACCTTTAAATATTGTAATTCATGCATCTCAGAAAATGCGGGGTCGAAAATTAATCCATCGGATTAAATTCGCAGCTCGCTAAGCAGTCGGCTTGACAGACCATGTATAAAAATACCATATTGACCCCACTATAAGCGGTTACCAATGTCCACCGTCTACAACTCGAGGCTATTTCAAAATATTTTCGGCACCAAAAAAATAAGAGATATTTTTTCGGATGTTCAATATGTCAAGTATATGGTGGAAGCAGAGATATGCTTAGCCAAAGCTGAAGGTAGCTTGAATGTGATTCCAAAGGAGAAGGCAGATCAAATCTTCGAAATTGCCAAAAATGAGACTTTTGAGTTTGACTACGAACTAATGGGCAACGAAACCGACAATGTTGGATATTGTGTCCTACCTCTTTTGAATCAGTTGACAAAAAAGTTTCCCGGTGATTTAGGCGAGTATTTGCATTGGGGTGCAACGACGCAAGATATAATGGACAATGCTTCCATGTTGCAAATCAAAGATGCCCTTAGTCTTGTAGAAACGTATCTCCAAGGAATTGTTGCAACTTTGAAAGAAATGGCTGCAAAATATAAAGATTCTGCGATGCCAGGGAGGACTCATTTCCAGCAAGCTCTACCCATCACATTTGGATACAAGTGTGCTGTATGGGTTTCAGGTATCCAAAGGTCTATTGAAAGGTTAGAGCAAACGAAAAGACGTTGTCTCTTGGCTCAGTTTGGCGGTGCAGCTGGTACATTGGCATCTTTGGGCGGAACCGATGTTGGATTGAAAGTCAGAGCAGAGCTCAGCAAACTTCTTGGACTTGAAAATCCCTCAATTACTTGGCACGCAGCGAGAGATGGAATCGCAGAAATTGTTTCCGTCTTGGCTATCATTGGTGGCTCAATTGGAAAGATCGCTTTGGATATCATCGCCATGTCTTCAAATGAAATCAACGAGGTTTCCGAGCCTTTTGTTACACATAGAGGTGCCTCATCCACAATGCCCCAGAAGAGAAACCCAATATCTTCGGAGTATATGTTGGCAGCTTCAAAGATCTTGAGAGCAAATGCAAGCTTGGCACTCGACGCAATGGTAGTTGATTTTGAAAGAGCTTCAGGTCCATGGCACTTGGAGTGGCTTTGCGTTCCTGAATCCTTTATTGTTTTAGTAGGTTCTCTTCATCAAGCAAGAACAGCATTGCTGGGTTTGGTAGTGAAACCAGACTCTATGGCCGAGAATCTTGCTTCAAGTAGAGGACTCATAGTGGCAGAAGCAGTTATGATGGGCATAGCTCCTTTTATTGGTAGACACTCAGCACATAATGTTGTTTATGAAAGCTGTGTTAAAGCCCACGATAGTGGCTCAAGTCTTCTCAGCGTGTTGAAAACAGATCCTAAAATTGTGAGTAAGGTTGAGCCTCAACTTTTGGAAAGACTATGCGATCCAAAGAACTATTTGGGAGCATGCAGCTACATGGTGGATAACGTAGTGCAATCATAGTTATCATTTAAATCGTCAAATATACTCATAAATCCAAATTCAAAGACTCCGAGGTGACGTTCAAAAATAACAGTTCCAATTGTTCTTCCCAATGGGACCCCAAAATATTCCCTGTTTCAACCATCACGCTAAGATCCTTTGTGTCATATTCCTTTGATCATGTCATTCATCCGCTTTAGTATGTAAGAAACAGTTGGATATCACAGATACCCGATCACCAAATTATTTTCGTTTCGACAACTTCATCCAAGCATCTTGTGGCTGTCTCGATATACTTCTTCGAGTTTTCATGACTCGGGAGAGATATTTGATTGGGTCACAACCAAAAACGTCAGCATATTGTAGTAGTAAAAGAACACTGAAATAACATATGAAATCCAACCAAGTAAAGGACATGTACTCGTCCATTCACCTCGCTCTTGATTTTTTCAAATTGAATAATGAATTTTTGACTCGAAACTACACTTTCTTGCAAGCTGTGTTGAAAAAACTCAACCTCTTTCGGAAACGTAAGGCCCGGTCGATATAGATGAATCATGAGGGAGTAATATAAAAGAGTGATTATTCTCTCTGTGGAAGTTTCTTCATGAACTGATAGAAATTCTTCTCTCCAGGTGATCTAACTTTCTTCTTAACAGAGTAATCTTTGGAACTCCATTTCTCCGTTCTGTCGTTGTATAAAGAGAAGCAAGGATTTCATTCAAGACTTTGAACAACTTTACTAGCAAAACGAAGCCGCTGTTTTTCGCTTTCTCACCAGGAAGAGGGTATTCAATATTTTGCAAGGTAAGTTTGTTGAACTCAGTTGGCAATTCTGTATCGACATCTTCATCCTTGATAAGTTTGGGCAAACCATTGTTGCAACTTATCTGAAGGTCAAGGATATACACACACCACCAATAGGATTTTCTGAATTCGACCTCGGCTGGTGAGAAGTTGAATCGAAACGAGTGTCGGTGAAGTCCAAACAAAAATGCTAGACGTACTGCCATTCCATTGAATTGAAGACATAGATCGTGATTTCCCACTAGTTGTAAGTAGATCATAGTGACCAAATAGCATTTCAAAACAGCCATGGTGGGTGGTTCCATAAGACTGACCAAATACTTTTCTTGCAAGAACCGGAAGAGCGTAGCAGCATTGGCAATGTCATTATTTGACAACAATTGAATGCATATGATCATGAAATGGGTATAGATTGTATGTGTTGTGAATTTCTCGAGCTCATTGTTTGGTAGTATTGTTTGTGGCGTAACATCGTCCAAGAATGGATATAAAGAGTTCCAGTCTCGTTTATAACTTGTGATCATTTCGACCTGATCTAAATCATTCAAGAATGATATATCGACAGCATTTTTGAGCCGCCTGTGTAATTCACTGGTAGAACGGAAAGCCAAAGATGCAGTTTCAGTGAACGAATAGCTGTGAGTCATCTTTTCGTTGACCTCGTTTTGAATTTGTCTCATGAAGAAGTCTCCCGTAGTTGAACCAGCAAAGATGGATTCTTTTGATCCCGGCAATAATCTCCCCAAATGACAAAACACAAGGTCATTGCTTGTATCTTCTTTTAACTGGCTTTCTAGTTCTTTGATACGATTTTCTAGCGCTATGATTTTCATTCCATCATCGTTTGTTCCGAGATCTTCCAAACTTGAATTTGGTTTTCGTTTTCTTTTTAGTTTTACTGTCACCTGGCACTTTATATCAGCCCTTAGACAAGCAAGACAAGTATCCCCACCTCCTATACAAGCCCGCTTGGTTAATCGACATCGGTCACAAACCTGACTCCTTTTAGACATATCGACGGTCTGAACTCCGCGAATTTACGATAAAAATCTGGGGTAACGGTGGCTGCGAAATTATACCTATACTTTAATTTCTCTTCCGTTCGCTGTTGATAATGGGCATAATAGGCCCACAGTCCAGACTTTAAGGGAGCGTAGAGTATAGGGCAATTTACTGATTCATCTCATGTAATCAGAATTTATGTACGGCTTTATCTCTTGCCTAAACAAGATATACCATTCAATCAGTTTGTCGCATGTACCGATTTGTTCATTTGCCAGTCAGGTTCGCTAAAGTCCACAAATCTCCATCCATTGATCCGACGATAAACGGTTCCCCCTGAATTCGGTATCTAGCGACGGCATTGAATGTGCGGTCGCGAAATACTTTTTCTAGTCATTTCAAGTGAATATTATAAGACTGCCACTTCATGTGAAAATACTCGTCGATTCCTCTCTCTCATGCCAGCTGCTCCTCTTAGCGCCAAGGATTTGAACCAGCTGACTTTGGAAGCAAAATATGCTGTCAGAGGAAAAATACCGATTCGTGCTGACGAGCTTCGGTCAAAATTGAAACAGGATCCACTGAGTCTCACGTTTGATCGAATTATCAGTGCTAATATTGGTAACCCTCAGCAATTGGGTCAAGAGCCATTGACTTGGTACCGCCAAGTGTTGTCAATTCTTCAGTATCCCAAATTAGCGGAAGCAGACGACTTGTTCCCCAAAGATGTTATATCTCGTGCGAGGAATATCCTTGATAGTATTGGATCTATAGGAGCTTACTCGCATTCCCAAGGTGACTCCCTTATCCGGAAATCTGTGGCTGAATTCATATCGAAGCGTGATGGGTTTCCTTCCAATCCCGACAACATCTTTTTGACTGGTGGTGCTTCGGCCGCTGTGTCTTATTTGTTTGAGATATTGTCAACTAGCGATAAGTCTGGGTTTCTTATTCCCATCCCTCAATATCCGCTGTACACTGCTACTATATCGTTGAACAACGCCGTGCCTATCGGCTATTTCCTTGATGAAAGTAACCATTGGGCTACCAATCCTGCTTCTATCAGAGACTTGATTCATCAGAATAAGCAAAAAGGAGTTGAAATTAGCGCTTTGGTTGTTATCAACCCAGGAAACCCAACTGGCGCCATTCTTGAAAGATCTGACATCGTGGAACTCATAAATATTGCGGCCGAATATGGGATTGTACTCATTGCTGACGAAGTATACCAAAACAATATTTTTGAACGTGAATTCATTTCTGTTCGAAAAGTTCTCCACGAATTGCTTGAAGCCAACCCAGAATTGTACAAATATGTTCAGCTTGCTTCTTTACATTCCACTTCGAAAGGTGTCAGTGGTGAGTGCGGACAAAGAGGTGGCTACATGGAACTCGTTGGTTTCACTCAAGAAGTAAAAGACGTCGTCTTTAAATTGGCTTCTATCAATTTATGTTCTGTTGTATCTGGTCAAGCTTTGGTGGAACTCATGGTCAATCCTCCTAAACAAGGTGATCCTTCCTACGAGCTTTACCGCAAGGAGACCACGGGAATTCACCGTGAACTTCAAGAAAGAGCAACAAAATTGCACGCTGCTTTCAATAAGATGGAGGACATCACCTGTAATAAACCAATGGGTGCAATGTATCTATTCCCCAAATTGAATTTCACTAAAGAATCATATGGTAGGCTTTTTGAGGCAGCAAACCAAATGGAACTCACTGTTGATGAACTTTATTGTACCTCACTTTTGGAAGAGACTGGTATTTGTTGTATCCCAGGAAACGGGTTTGGACAAGTCAAGGGAACGTTCCATCTTAGAACCACATTCTTGCCATCAGGAAGCGAATGGATTGATAAATGGTCAAAATCACACGCTAGGTTTGTATCTAAATACAAGCTGTAGACGTTGTGAGTGTATATTTATGGCTCATCGGACCGTGGTAGTATCTTGAACTCTCTTCATGAAATATGCTATTTCTCTCGTCAAAGATCAGCCCACGTATAAATCCCATCCTCTGCTGCAAGCTATGTCTGCCCAATCAACGGGCAGCAAGCCATCAGGATTGAGTTCCCAGGACTCGTGTACAATCTCTATAATTTTGGACACATTTCCCACAGCATAATTCTGTCTGAGCATCTTGAATCTCTGAGCCATAGCATGCCTATCTGCTGGTGTCACACAAAGGATTCCTACCATTAGCAACAGGAATGTTAATGACACTTTCATTCTTGTTTCAAGCAAAAAGTCGATGTGCTTTAGGCATTTGAGCAATAATGTTTGTTGTTTGACGGAGTTTGTTGGAAGCTTTGAGATGTAATTGCCAATATAGATCAAGCAAACATTCAAATAAAGCTCGAAAAGCATCATGTGCATCTCGACATCATCACTGTCAGTTATAAGTGAAGCTGTACAGCTTTCTGCGAGTGTGAAATTGTGCACCCGGGTCTCGTACATTTCACTGAGTGCTTGGCAATTATTGTAAAAGTCAAGCCGCCTATTAATGGCATGTTCCATGCTTTCAGAGGAGCTAGCTGCCGATTGTACTAATTGCTCGATCTCAGCCCATTCTCTTCTGAGTGCTACCTGATCGTTAATTATGTCCCCTAATATGAAGTAGAGAGGACGAAGACATCCTTGGAGAGGATCAATACCATAGCTATAGTTCTCTTTGAGGGCACTTCGGTATTCATCCATGGGAAAGAGAGTGCCATTTTGCAATGCTTTTGAGGAAAGGATATCATGAAACTGATAGTCTGATATGAGCCATTGGATGTCATTGTTTTGCATGTAAGTATGAAGTAAAGCACTGAAGCCCCCATGATCATCAAACAAGTCCTTTAGCTGTATCATTAGATCATACCAATTCTTGGTATCGCCTGAGCAAACCTCCCACCCGATAGCTATCAAGTAAAAGGCCATCAAAGCAAACACTTCATCTTTACCTCGTTCCTTAGGGCTCCCGACGTATTTAATCATCATTTTAGCGGCTTTGTTGAGGTACGGTTTTGCTTCTTCTCTTGATTGTTTCATAAGACATCCCCACGACACTAGAGAGTACATGATAGCTTCGTTACTGGACGCCAATTGCAAAAACGTCTTTATGAAGTAGTTCGAGGTCAGAAGACCAATGGATATGGAGCTGCAGTAGCAGTTGGAATAGTACTCGAGATACTCAAGATGCTCTGAACTAAGATTTGCCCGGAATTTCCAACTAGGTTGCTTGATTAGTGGTAGGTAATCATCAAAAATGGGAGGCACTGGCCAATTATATAGACGAGGACTCAGAGTCGCAAAACAAGATGTACCAGCAAAGTCAGTAAAGTCAAAACCAAAATCAGGCTCAGGTGATAGTATCGAGCCTCTACCGGCCCCATGATTCTTGCGGCTGGGGACCATGGTCTGTCCCAAACTGATTTCTAGCTCGATATTGTTTGCAGCACCCACTTTCTCGAGGAATTGACCATTATCCAACTTGGTAGGAACAGTGTCTTCTTCAAAAGACTCTGGGTTGGAGGTTCTATTTGTGGTAAGCTTGGAATACTTCGCTGGGCGCCGTCTTTTCCTTTCCTGGACGACGGGCCATTCACATACCACACCCCTCAGAGTACAAGATCCACATTTTGGGTGAACCTCATCACATTTTTTCCTTTGTCAGTATGGTTACCAAGTTTTTGTCCACGAATTAGCTACTTACTTTCTGGATCGACATTCTTTGCAACCGTTGGACGATCTTGCAAGCGGTCCCAAAATCCTCTTGTATCCCGACGTGCCAAAAACAATAGGTTGTTCCTTAGATATTATGGGGTAGACATCCTTGGTGTTAACATCCTGAACTGCTTCAAAAGAGCCCTTGTTGAATGTTTGGAACATCGTGGCCCCTTGCGGCTATCGTTTCCAATATATACTGAGCGACGTGCAGGGCACATAACTTAAAGACGATAAGCTTTACTAGGAATGGGAAATTTTTCACAAAATCAATTGGCCAAAAATACTTATTGAACATCACTATAAGGGGCCAAAAAACCCTTTAAGTCGTTCGGAGCGACTTATTCAACTGTAGCACATAAAAATGTGCCAAGTCAATACCCACCAATCGTTTAATTTTTATTAAAATCGTGTATCTATAAGATTACGAGCACTGTCCTCGACCTCATTCTAATCGGAATTGTTGTAGCTTTTCCTATCTATGCGCAATCGCGTAATCGATCTGCGGATAAATAGACGAATAATATGCCACCTTCGAGTAATGGCTGCAATATAAAGTAGTGTGTTCAATCTAATTTCAGTAAAGCATCTCCTTACGTCTCATAAGCCGAAATGCATTTATGGAGGCGTTTGGCCGACGTGCAAGTCTTCAGTAGTTCGAAGAGGCTGTAGTCAGATCATAAAATATAAGGATGTGATTGGCTAAAAAAGGCACTGAAGAGTCCAGCCTACTGACTGTATTAGCATGGTTTACGGAAGGATGAATATGTGCCCTTTTGTAACATGTGAGAGTAATGTAATTGGTCTTTACGAACGACTGTATCTACGACAAAAGATGTAGAATGCACAAATGGCACTAATTACTCGACGAAGTTAAACCCAATTCAGATGTGTACTGAAACACGTATACTGGTGTACAGGAAAGATTTACCAGTGAATGCAAATGTTTGAAACGATCATGAAATTCTTTGACTAGAATAGAACGTTTATTCAGTTTCTGACAGCATCCGCTCAAGCAAGGTTTTGCTTCGATAACACTGACTAGGAGGAACGAATATATCCCGACAATTATCTAATTGCTAATTGGGGCGCTTTCCGATCCGCCAAATTTCTTGAATAAGCGTTTTGAGATTCTTCGCTAATTTCCTAATCGGTAACGCATCAAAATTTCGAGTATATAAGAGGCGGTGGTTGTTGGCAGAAGCAGAAAAAAATGACAGCTTCAACATCCGTATTCATCACAGGAGCTGCTGGATTCATTGCTACCCATATTGTAGTCCAATTGTTGCAAAAGGGTTACAAAGTGGTTGGAACGGTGCGTTCTTACGACAAAGGTGAAGAGTTGAAAAAAAATCTCAAGTCTCACAATTTTCAATATGAAATTGTTCCCGATATTGTCCCTGAGAATGCTTTTGATGAAGCATTATCTCGTCATCCGGAGGTGACTGTTATTCTTCACACCGCTTCTCCATTTCACTTCAAAACGACCGATCCGGAAAATGATCTCATTATTCCGGCAATTAATGGTACCTTGAACGCATTGAATTCAATCCACAAGAATGCACCCCAGGTAAAAAAGGTTGTCATTACTTCCTCCTATGCCGCTGTGTGTGCTTCTCACATGGAAATTGACCCCAACTGCTTAATCACAGAGCAAAGTTGGAACGATATTACTCGTGAAGAAGCGCAAAAAGATCCCGTCTCTGGGTACCGTGGTTCTAAAACTTTTGCTGAAAAAGCTGCCTGGGAGTTCATGGAATCTAAGAATCCCTCCTTTTCCTTGACTTCTGTGAATCCAGGATTTGTTTTCGGTCCTCAAGCTTTCACCAGTGCAGTGAAGGATGAGTTGAATACTTCTTGCGAATTAATCAACAAGGTTTTGAAATTGGGTAAAGATGATGAATTGCCTCCCAGTAAGGGGACTTTTATCGATGTAAGAGACGTCGCAAAGGCACACATCATCAGTTTTGAGAGGGAGACTTTGGTGAACCAGAGACTTCTTATGACCAGTGGAAGATTTGCTGCCCAAGACGTATTGGACATTTTAAACGCAACCTTTCCTCAATTATCTGAAAGATTACCCGTCGGCGAAGTTGGAACTGGACCCAGTATCACCTCAAAGTTGGCAAGGATCGACAACACAAAAACGATGGAGCTACTCGAGTTTCCTTTCATCTCTTTGAGAGAATCGGTCATCGATACAGTAGGACAGATTTTAGATGCTCAAAAATCACAATAGATAGGCCATGGGGAAGCAAGCGGAATAGCGTATCAGTCTTAATGAGAGTATCACGAGCATACTTGTAAGACCAATTAATAGGCAGAGTTGGATGTTCCAGTATAGGTGTGTATGCAGTCCCAGAGGCTGCAAACGATCCATACAAATGTAGGGAAGACGACAAAGAATACGCAAATTTTTCATCTATAAGTTCAATTGGTGCAATCATCCGTGTTTATCATTGAATAGCACACAATGCATTTTCTTACCATATCTTCTACTTGCCTTCAGCTTGGCTCCACGCTGTAGCTAGAAATGCGGAAGACAATATATGGCCATTACATTTATTCAGTTATGGGCTACATACGTCGTGGACATTCGTTGTTTAAACAACTTCTGCCACACATTCCAATTCAACCTTGAGGCTTGTGCTTGGGAATTTGACTATTACGCAAGACCTTGCAGGCAGATGTGGAAAGTACTTATGGTATACTTCATTCACAACTTTCGAGTCCTTCTCGTCGGTAATAAAGAGCAATACTTTCACAACTTTATTCAAATTGGAACCCGATTTTTCAAGAACGGTCTTCATATTTTCGATAGCCAAGGTAGTTTGTTCGGCGGCGGTTTCAGCAACTACCCCATCACTTCTGACACCAACGCTTCCTGACGAAAGTACAAGACCATTAGATATATAGGCGGGTGAAAGAATTGGGTTGAACTTTTGACCAACTTGTTCCCAAGTAACTTGTTTCATCTCAATTATCTAAATTTTTGAAGTGGGCGTTCTATCTTCTTGGGTCCATTTATAGTTCGGGAAACTTCGCAGTGGTGCGGCTGCACCCCCTCGTAATTTATCCGCAGCAAATTGAGCCGCGAGATTACAGAGCAAGAATAAGCATGCATTTGAGATATGATTGTTGTGTACTGGACAATTTATGCTCAGCTTTATGTTTTGTGTCCTTCAGTTATCTGTTATTTCAACCGAACATGGTATTTGCCGATACACTAACCGTCGGACCATTCTTCATCTCCTTTTATGCTATCGTCGGAATCTCCCAAAAGGGCAATATGCGACAGAATGCACCGCTACGAATACATGCCATAAAAGGGGACCTGCAATCTAAGGTCCAAGCATCATGACTGTCCAAAACTCTTCCTTGTTGTTTTCTGCTAATGTCACCAAACACCTCCCCATGGTAGTTGGTGGTGACGGAAACTACCTTCTCGTTGAAGATCCAGATACAAAAGAGAAACGGCGGATCTTTGATGCTGTGGGCGGTGCTGCTGTTTGTGCTTTAGGCCACCATGATGAGGATATCGTTCAAGAAATGGCAGAAGCTGCAAAAGCTTGCACATACTCTTTCCCTGCTTCTTTGACCAACTATTATGCTGAAGAATTGGCTAAATTCTACATTGATGAATCCCCTGAAGGTGCCTTTGCTGCTGCCTTATGGACTTCCTCTGGATCAGAATCCAATGAAAATGCCATGAAACTTGTTAGACAGTACTATCAGGAAAAAGGGGAATTAGAAAGAACCATTTTTGTTAGTCGCAAGCAGTCTTATCATGGCTATACCATTGGTGCTTTGTCTTTGGGACACTCTGCTAGACAGGCTCCTTATAAGGATATCATTTTGCCTGAAGAACAGACTCCAAAAGTTTCCCAGGTTTATCCATACCGTGGCTTGTTAGAGAATGAAACACTTGAACAATACAATGATAGATTGTTGGAAGAAGTTGAACAGACGTTCATTAAGTACGGAACTAACAAGATTGCGGCTTTCGTTTGTGAAACCCTTTCTGGATCTACCTACGGTACCGCTCCATCCATTCCTGGTTATCTCGCGGGTTTGAGAAAGTTGTGTGACAAGTATGGAATTCTCTTATGGTTGGATGAGGTTATGTGCGGAACTGGAAGAGCTTCCGCTACTGGTGGATTGAATTGTTGGGAATCTTTCCCAGATTTCTCTGGGCCTGATATTCAGACGGTAGGTAAGACATTGGGTTCTGGCTATGTTACCATTGCTGGAGTTTTGGTTTCACCTAAGGTTAAAAAAGTTTTTGCCGAGGGTTCAGCTACCATTGCTGGTGCCCAAACATACCACCAACATTCTTTCAACTGTAGAGTTGCCTTGGCGGTGCAGAAGAAAATCGCCAAAATGGGGTTGAGAAAGAACATGTACACTATGGGCACTCACTTGGGCAACACCCTTAAAGAGAGAGCAGCATCTGCCAAGTACAAGATCATCGGTGATGTCAGAGGTTTGGGGGGCTTTTGGTCTATTGAGATTGTCAAGGACAGAAATACAAAGGAGCCATTTCCACCCAGCTTGGGAGTTGGTGGAAAGGTGGCTGCGAAATGCTTACAGAATGGTATGACTGCTATGGGATTGGGCGCCACTATTGATGGAAAAAAGGGCGATCATGTCAGCGTTGCACCCAGCTTCATCATCAATGAAGATGACGTTGAATTCATTGTATCGACTCTTCTTTCAAGTGTTGCCGAAGTGCAACAAGATTTGCAGAAACTTGGCGAGTTGTAGTCGTTAATACTGTTTAGTACTGTTAGAGCCTTAGTGGTACACGCAGCTTCTGCTGCTGGTATCTGGTAGATGCAATAGTTTATTTTACGATTTTTCTAAATTTTGACTAATTGTCATATTAGCCTCTTCGTATTTTTTTCAGAGGAATAAGCATTTTACCGAAAGCTTGAAAATGTATCTACAATTTTATGGGACAACAACATATATCAGCATTGTAACGTTTTCAATTGGCTGCTATCTGGTTCTGAATTTTGATCATAGAAAATTCCACCATAAACAATGTAGACATTACATGCAGCCTTATCTGTCGCGATTCTCCGTTTGTGTCAGCCGGATTATCTGTGCCTATCGCGCGGCAATTGTATGCGAAACTAGCAGATCCGCAGCATTCTTCTGTAATAGGCAATTTACGATACGATAAGACTCGATCAACATCGACGATATAAGGCCGATGGTCAGTTGAAACGAAGCCAAAAGGCAGAATTATGCCACTATTTGCATCCTTTTCCAAGCAAGTATCAAGAGGGTTCAAAATTAGCCGGGGACTTTCCGTGGGTGTCGCCAATGGTTGCCCAAAGCCCCAAACACTTTTTGGCTACAGATCCTTCGGCACCTATTCGAAGCAAAGATTCATGAACATAGACTGGAGACTTCATGGAATAAAGTTTCTATTCTTTTCCGTCGCTGCTACCGTTGAGTCATACTTCCTTTATTCAAGAGTAGAGGACGAAATCAAATGCGATTCACCCAGTTTGATTCTGGTTCACGAAGTCAAAAAGCATAACAAGGCCGACGATTGCTGGATCAGTATTGATGGGAATGTTTATGACGTTACAAAATTCTTGGAACTTCATCCTGGTGGCATTTCTAGGATCCTTCTGGTAGCCGGTGGTGATGCTTCGAAAAGTTTCTTCCAAATGCATTCACAAGAAACACTAGAAAAAATGCTGCCATACTTGGTGTACCTTGGTGCGCTCCAAGGCAAGTTTGAGGAAGAAATTACTGCTGAGGAAGCTGCCATTCTTGGAAATGTTGCTAACAAGCCATCATTAGGAGAAATATTCAATCTTTCAGATTTCGAGTATGTGGCCAAAAAAGTTCTTCCAAAATCCACCTACTTCTACTATGCAACTGGTAGCTCAGACGAATTTTCCTTACGAGAGAATCACTATGCATATAGCCGGGTGTACTTCCGGCCAAAGGTTCTTCAGGAAACTTCTACAACCATCGACACATCTTCTTCGCTCATGGGCACAAAGGTCGATCTACCAATATACATAACTGCCTTCGCTGGCTCCAAGTTTGCTCATCCTTTGGGAGAAAAAGTATTGCAACAAGCGGCGTATAAGTCGAATATCATGCAAATGGTGCCCATGTTGATGTCTTACTCCTTAGATGAGTTCTTTCAGAGTGTCCCTGAAGACCAGAACCAGTGGTATCAATTGCATTTCGACACTTACAAAGAGTTGGGCCAACCTCGAAAACAGAATTAAAGAAATAGAAAAGTATAAAACGGTGAAAGCAATTTTTATCAATGTTGACTTGGCAGATTTAGGTAACCGAGAGAAAGACTCGAAGAGAAGGGCCGAGGACGAGGCTAGTGCTGCTCTGTTGGCAACGGCTGCTAATAATGGAAAAACTGACTACCCTTCCAATCTTTCGTGGAAACATATAGAACGAATCAGAGCTTGCACAAACATTCCAATTGCATTGAAGGGGATTCAAAGAGGCGAGGATGTTGTGCTAGCAGCCGAAAAGGGAATCAGTGGAGTTGTGTTGTCAAATCATGGAGGAAGACAATTGGACTTTTCAAGACCTCCACTTGAAGTTCTCTCTGAAGCTAAACAGATGCTCAAAGAAAGAGGCCTTGATAATAAAATCGAGATCTACATTGACGGTGGAATCCGCAGGGGTTCAGATATAGTTAAAGCCCTCTGTCTTGGAGCTACAGGGGTGGGTTTGGGACGTCCATTCTTATATGCCATGGCAGGATATGGCGAAGAAGGTGTGTTGAAACTAGTTCTGCTTTTGGAGGGAGAAGTAAAGAACAACATGAAACTTTTGGGGGTTGACAACATAAAAGACTTGAATGAAGAGTTAATTGACACTACAACTTTAAAGTTTAGAGGCTCCATGGTGAATGACAGACTCTACGACGGTGTCTATGAGCAGTTGAACTTTCCAAGCTTCAAGAATGAGGTCGGTTCGATTAATTAGGAAATACAGATTTCAAAGAGAAAAGAGCGAGTAAAACTTTTATCGTTGCAAATTGCTTGTAGTCGTTTTCTTTGCGTGGAAAAATACCAAAAATAATTACATGACGAAGTAAACGAGTGAATACACTATATATCGACCTCCCAAATGATTTCTAATGAAGCAACATTGCATTCAGAAGGCATATTGCCAAGCTTTCTCGAGTATTGTAGTGGGAGCCGGAACTGTCACTTCTCTCTCCTCTGCCTCAACTCGCAAAAGTTGCTCAGAAATATTGACATCCAGAGGGTCCACAAACCTCCACACCCTGTAGTACGCCGATGATCCAATGTACAAGGAGGCCACAAAAAGAATCGTTATGTATGCCGCAAAAAAGTTGCTGGTTGACCAATTTTGAGGAAAGAACACATAAAATCCATTTGTAACAGCCAAAATTCCAAAGAATGAGCCTGTAAAATAGGCAAAGTACTTCATACCTGGAAACCTATACGGAACTCTTTCGTTAAGGCCCTGGTGATCAATTATTGTCCTGAATCTTAAATAGCACATAGCAACAAACATCCAACTGATGAAACCAGAGATTGACACTATATTAGAGAGCCAATTGAACACAGTGGAGCTAGATTGGGAACAGTTAAGGTAGGCCAAGAACACGAATAACGACGATATTGCCACGCTGAAATACGGTATACCCCATCTGTTCAACGTTGCAAAAAATTTTGGCGCATCGCCGTTGAGTGCCATGGAATGAAGTGATCTGGAAGCTGCATAGAGCTGACTTGTACCAGCGGAGTAAGCACTTGTCAAGATACAAGCATTAATAATGTGGGGCAAAACCTTTATACCCACCTCTTGAATTCCTATTACAAACGGAGATGCTGCGCCACTAGACTCACCGGCAGCAATAGCGTTCATCAATCTCTTGTTGTTAGATGCAACGATGATTCCAACAATGAGCACTCCGAACACGTAGAAGAAGATCAAACGATAGACCACTCTGCTGAAGGCTTTAGGCATAGATCGACGAGGATTCTGTGCTTCGGCTGCGCATGAAGCAAGAACTTCGGGAGTCAATACAAAAGCAAAACCACTCTTTACAATCGCAGTCCATGTGGCTAAAAATCGTCCTGTGTTTCCCGGAACTAGGTATTCAACAAAAGCCCCAGGGTGTTTCCAGTAATGAAATCCAAGTACGCCATGTTGATCTGGTGCACCACCAAAGAAAATAACAACTCCTAGTATGATCAAACCTGTGATACATAAAATCTTGATGATAGCAACACAAAACTCGCTTTCTCCGAAGTACCGGACTGGAAGGAAGTTGATGATAATCGTTGTGATGCCAAAAACTGAAATGAAAATTGCTGAATTAGCATCTGTCCAATATGACATGATGAGAGCACAAGCAGTCACTTCACTAGGTGCCACCATTGCATGGGCATAAAAGAGATTCCAACCTACTGTGAAACCAAGTGGCCGATTGAGATACTTTTTTGCCAACGAATAAGTCGAGGCTTCGCCAGAGAGTGGAAGGAAAATAACCATCTCTCCTAGTTGATTCATCACGAGCCAAACACACGTAGCCATCACCAAGTACGACGTTAGTAGCGGAGCTGGTCCACATGTACTAAGAGCGCTTCCAGAGCCAATAAACAAACCCGTACCTATGGCACCGCCAAGAGCAATCAATTGAATGTGACGGGCCTTCAAGCCTCTGACAACCTCGGGATCTTGACCAGATAGACTATCATCAGCGACTTGTTCAATTGAAATTATATGATCCTTCTTTAGTGCTTCTTCCCGTCTTTTAGATACAAAAGACGAGATCGAAAGTGTGGTCGTGACCGGTTGAGACATAGCAAATCCTGAGCACCAAGACGTGATATCACTGTCTTTATAACTGACATTTGGTTTTCATCAACGTCACTAGAAGTTTATTTGTTCCCAATTAGGTAACGTGCGCTTATCGTGTTGCATATAATTCTACAATTGTTGCGCAGCTTCATCGCCAACGAGCCCTTATCAAAGGTGGTTTTCCGAAGACATTTGATAAGTTTTGGGCGCAAAAAACTGCGTATTTGAGGATATGGAACTGAATCTCCGATATGACGAGATGAATTTTCCTGCATGGCGCCGCCCAATTAAGAGATTAGCAAAAGACTCGCGAAAAATCGACTAAACCGAATGAGGCAATGCACATGGATAACATGATTGTATTTCGGCTAATACCTAGACATCACATCTTTGGTATTTAAGCAGAAGCAGCCCAAGGCTTAAGCAATCATGTCAGCAACGACCACTTTAGAAGTTTCCAAATCTACAGCAGTGCCAATGAGCACCACCACAGGAAGTGCGGTTGCTGCAAGAGGTTCTCATAACATTGCGTTGGGCAAAGCTCATCCCTATCAGTTACCAACTTTTGAAGACAAGTTGAAGGAAAGACAGTGGATGTTGAATCATATGGCCGGAGCGTTTCGGGTTTTTTCCAGAAAAGGATACGGTGAGGGCACTGCCGGCCACATTTCAGTCAGAGACCCAGTCGACCCAACAACCTTTTGGATCAACCCATTGGGTATGCACTTTGGTTTAATTAGAGCATCCGACTTGGTTCACGTGGATGAACACGGAAATATTCTAGATGGTGGTGCTCAGACCGCTATCAATGCTGCCGGTTTTGCAATCCACTCCGCCTTGCACAAGGCTAATCCCGATGTTAATGCTGCTTGCCATACTCACTCCGTTTATGGGAAAGCCTACTCTGCTTTTGGTAAACCGTTGGAAATGATTAACCAGGACGTTTGCTCATTCTACAAGAGCCATGCAGTATATGAAGACTTTGGCGGTGTGGCAGTGGAGGCTGAAGAAGGACGAGCAATAGCTCATGCCATCGGAACCGGAAAAGGTGCGATTCTTGCCAATCATGGCCTCATCACTGTGGGCAAAACGGTCGACGAAGCGGCTTATTTGTTCACCTTGATGGAAAAAAGTTGCCAAACGCAACTTTTGGTAGATGCTGCAGACAAGGGCAACAAGAAAATCATAGGGGATAAAGAAGCAGCCTATACTGAGCTTATCAATGGTGACCACGAAACCCTATACACCGAATTTCAGCCTGATTATGAGATGGAACTACGTCTCTCAAATAACGAGTTTGTGCTTGACCCATCAAAACCTTTGTAAATAGGCTGAAATTGAAAAATGTTCGCGGTAAACCGTTATTATCACCGGTTGCGAAATTCACTTCTTGGAGCGTACTTACCGCAAAGTACTGTATACTGCAACTCAATTTGGTCTTCTATATTCTTTAGCCAACGTACTCCAAAATGATTTCCTCTAACTTCACCACTGGTTTTGACTCGCCCACCCGCGACTTGACAATTGGCTGCGAAATTATACCACTGATCAGCGATGAGGAAATATTGGAATAAAAATAACATATCAAAATTTGACTGAATGCAAGCGCTTGCGACGGTAGTCATGTAATCAGCTGGTAACCATGAAGAATAGAACTATTACAATATTGTACTAATACCATTTGAATAGGGAAGTGGAATTGGGCGTGCTCGAGCTTTTTCCTTTCGTACCGAGCCCACCAACTTGTATAGTATTAGATTTAGACTCAATTGGTGAATGCCTGTGTAGTGATGAAGTAAATATGTTGTTACCAACAAAATATACGCATACCCTATTTCTTGGTACGCACCCGGAAAACCTTCCCGATTTGTCGATATGCCCCGCAATTGCTGCAAAAATTCTCGCAACAACTTGCCTATTTAATAACGAATTCTTACTAACTGATCAATTAGATGAATGTCGATCTGGTTTTGCAGCAATTGACTCTTGACGAAAAGATCCACATCTTGTCAGGAGTCGATTTTTGGCATACTTATGCCATTCCAAGACTTAATGTACCTTCGATTCGCACCAGTGATGGTCCCAATGGAGTCCGGGGAACAAAGTTTTTTGATAGTGTTCCAGCAGCTTGTTTTCCTTGTGGCACTGGATTAGCAGCAACTTTCAACAAGGAATTGCTCTATGAGGTGGGAGAAATGATGGGTGTGGAAGCAAGACACAAAGGTGCTCATGTTCTTTTGGGACCCACTACCAATATGCAAAGGGGCCCATTAGGTGGGCGAGGATTTGAGTCTTTCAGCGAGGACCCTCACTTAGCTGGTTTGGTTTCAGCAGCCATAATCAATGGAATTCAAAGCAAAAAGGTAGCCGCAACCATAAAACATTATGTTGCAAATGACTTGGAACACGAGAGGAAAGCCAGTGATTCTGTAATGACGGAAAGAGCTCTTCGAGAAATATACCTTGAGCCATTTCGGTTGGCACTCAAGCATTCCAATCCAAAAGCATTGATGACATCGTACAACAAAGTCAATGGAATTCATGTCTCTCACCACAAACACCTTTTGCTTGATATCTTGAGAGACGAGTGGAAGTATGATGGAACTATCATGTCGGATTGGTGGGGCACCTACACGTCCAAAGAAGCAATTGAGGCAGGTCTAGACTTGGAGATGCCAGGTCCGACTCGTTTTCGTGACAACGCTACAATGGGCCATATGGTGCAGACCAGAGAGCTTCACATAAACGACATCGATCACCGGGTGAAAAATATCTTAAAGTTGATAAGTTACGCCAGTCAATCAGGAATTCCAGAAAATGGAAAGGAAGATACCTTGAACAACACAAAGGAAACGGCAGCTTTCCTTCGTAAGATTTCAAACGAGTCCATCGTTTTGTTGAAAAACGAAGGAATGCTTCCATTGAAGTCTTCTGAGAAAATTGCAGTTATTGGACCCAACGCAAAGTATGCAGCGTACTGCGGTGGTGGGTCTGCTGCCTTGAAGGCATATTATACTGTGACTCCGTACGAGGGAATCTGCAGCAAATTGGATCATCAACCTCCATATACTGTGGGTGCGTATGCTCATCAAAAGCTTCCTCCTCTTGCTCAAAGATTGGTCAATCCAGTTACGCACGAGGTGGGTTATAATATGAAATTTTATCATGATGTGGACCGCAAGAGTCAGTTTGACGAAATAAACACTCTGGACTCTAGAATTTTCTTGGCAGACTACCATCATCCTGACCTTCACTCCAACCTATACTACATAGATGTGGAGGGAAACTTGAAGGTTGAGGAATCTGGAGCATATGAATTTGGAGTCGCTGTATGGGGCACAGCAAAGCTTTTCATCAATGACAAGCTTGTAATCGACAACTCTGTGAATCAAGTACGGGGACCTTCGTTCACCAACTTAGGAACCATCGAGGTCAAAGATACAATAATTCTTGAGGCAGGAATCGACTACAATCTCAAAATTGAATTTGGGTCAATTCCTACTTCCACCATCAAATCCGAAGGCTCACCACCATTTGGTGGAGGCGGAATTCAGTTTGGGTTTGCCAAAGTCATTGACGCTGATGAGGAAATTGCCAATGCAGTTTCCATTGCCAAAAGTGTCGACAAAGTTGTTCTTTGCATTGGTTTGAATCAGGAATGGGAAAGTGAAGGTTACGATCGTCCCAGCATGGAATTACCGGGGCGTACCAATGACTTGGTGAGAGCAGTATTGGCCGAAAATCCCAATACAATTGTGGTCAACCAATCAGGTACTCCAGTTGAGTTCCCTTGGATTAAAAAGGCTCCTGCAGTGATCCAAGCCTGGTACGGTGGAAATGAAACTGGAAACTCCATAGCAGACGTTTTATTTGGCGACTTCAATCCTTGTGGGAAACTAAGCTTGACATGGCCATTGAAAGTTCAGGACAACCCAACATTCCTCAATTTCCGGACAGAGAAAGGAAGGGTGCTCTATGGCGAAGATGTCTTTATTGGGTACCGTTATTACGAGAAATTGCAGAAACAAGTCGCCTTCCCGTTCGGATTTGGGTTATCGTATTCTGAGTTTGTCTTCTCCAACCTCAAAGTCAATACTCAGGACAACTTGAAAGTTACAGTGGATGTGGAAAACGTGGGCCAAGTTGCAGGTTCTGAAACGGTACAGGTATATGTTGCCCCACAAAACAGCACCATAATTCGGCCAGTCAAGGAGTTGAAGGGATTCGAGAAAGTGTACTTGAAACCCGGAGAGAAGGTCACAGTCCATCTAGACATGGCGATGAGTGACTCAATCTCATTTTTTGACGAATACCAAAAAGCTTGGTGTGCTGAAAAAGGCGACTACCAAGTCCAAGTTGGTACAAGCAGCGACGACATTGAGTTGATAGGCGAGTTCAAGGTAGCAGCGACCAAGTACTGGAAGTAGATCGTCTTTTACTTGATGTTGGACATTTCTATAGATTCTCCCGGCATTTGACCCAATTCCTGTTGTTCGAGCATATTATCAAAAAACGTAGTCCTCAATTCCTTCCATCGTGTCATGTAAGTAGACAAGCTAATCAACACCACACCACTCAATACCTGTAAGCACCACCAGAGCAAGCTTTGAGGAAATTCTTTGGTGTAAACCCAAACAATGATCAAGTTGATAATATGGATGGTCAATGCAAAGTCCCATGCCAACTTGGACCTTCCAACAACCAAAGTCACAAATAACACACACAACAACGAGTCAAAAAGCCAAAGAACAAATAGGGTGAGTCCCATGGTGTTTTCCAGCGAAACAATTTCCCACAGAAAGATCCAGTCGACGGAAAACTCAAGCCCATCCAACGATGCAAAAAGATAAAAGATCACCAATGCTGTGAGATAATAAAAGCATTGGAGCAAAATTATCTGGAAAAGAAGTTTGGAAGGATTATTTATATCGGTGGCATAGTTTCCATTGACTAGCCGATGGTAGCCTGACGTTAAGAACATGACTTGAAAATGCGCGCAGAAGTTTAAAATAGAGAAATGAGAAACGAGAAATGAGAAGAAACGAGAATAGAGAAAAGGGGACAAGATAAAAGTATAAATAAAACTCCAAGGTAGAGGGAGCTTTTATGAAGATTACTGAATGCATCAACAACACCAACTTACATTACGTTTTTGACTAAAAGTATATTGTCTTCTCTAACCTTTACCACAACCTCTTAATTTTCACCTCCCTTTACTTTCTCTTTTTTGACTTGGCTTTCGTTTTGGGAGCTGATCTGTCACTCTTGGTCTTTTTATATGATCTCTTTTCCTCCTTTCTCTCTTCGTGAGCCTTCCTTTTTTTGGAATTCACCTTCTTTCCATGCTTGGTCAACAGCTGCATTACCGGGGTTCGTTGTGCCTGTTTCTTTTCTTGTTCTGATTGGAACCATGTCCTCTTAGGACGCGAGTGTATTTCCTTCTCGTGCTTCATTATATTGCTTGCTTTTTCCAATTGCATTTCCGCTTGCAAAATTTCTTTGGCCAGTTTTTCCTCTTCGAGAACCTCATCAATGGTGTCCTTTTTCGACTCAACGATGCTATTCAATTCCTCCACTTTTTTCCAGTCCACTGTCCTGGACACCGCTTTACCATTCTTCTGTTCTTCGAGCGATTTGATAGCATCCTTTACAATAGACCTGTCTTGATTGGATTCTCCAACAAACGTTATCGACCGACCTTCACGTCCAGCACGAGCGGTACGACCAACTCTATGCAAATAGATCTCATGGGTCTTGGGCATATCGAAGTTGATGACTATTTCAATCTTGGGGATATCCAAACCTCTGGCAGCCAAATCCGTACAGATAAGTACTGGCACGGCAAGAGACCTAAAATCCTTGACACTTTGCAACCGTTGTTCTTGAGTCAATGAGCCATGGAGTTCCAGAACCTTCATACCCAAAAGACCAAGAACAATTCTGAGTCTGTGGGCCATTTCTTTCCGGGAAACGAAAACAACAATTCTGTTTTGTTGCTGAGGGTCAACCAACCGCAAAAGGTGGTACAATAATGCTGGTTTCAAATGCTCACGTTTACGTATACGCACAAACTCTTGCACAAGTTTGGAGGCGGCTTGCTTGGGTGGGTTCACCATGATTCTTACGGGTTTGTCCAACGACAATTGGATCAAATCCTGGATTTTTGTGTTCATGGTAGCAGAAAAAAGCATGGTTTGTCTCTTGTGCTTGGGAATCAACTCGAGAATTTCCGTCAATTCCACTTGAAATCCTTCCTCCAACATTCTATCGGCTTCGTCCATCACGAGAACTTCCAAGTTTTCGATAGAAAACGAAGGAGAGTTTCGAATATGGTCAATTAAACGACCAGGAGTAGCCACAACGATATCTGGACGAGACTTGAGCTGCTGCTCTTGTTGCCTCAAATTGAGACCACCCACTGCCAAACCAAAGTTGAGGTTAGCGACGAATTGACCCAACTTCTTACCCACATCGCAAACTTGAATGGCCAATTCTCTGGTAGGAGTTAACACTATAACTCTTGTCGCCGAAACGGCAGCTGGTTTATAGATCAATCTCTCTATTATGGGAATGAGATATGCCGCCGTCTTACCGGAACCTGTTACGGCACCAGCAACTATATCCTTTCCCATCATTGCAATTGGAATAGATGCTGCTTGAATGGCAGAAGGCACAGTATATCCCAAGTTACCCACACCTTTAAGAAGTGGACGAGACAACTGAAGAGCCTGAAAGGAGGTAATCTTCTCTGTGGTCTTGGACTCTTCGTAAAACTCTGCAATGGCAGCAGCAGAGTCTTCGTCATTTTCTGAAATCTCTTGTTCTTGTTCGTCTTCCAGCTCTGCTTCATGCTCGTTTTCTTGTTCACTATTTTCTTCCTCTTCGTCGTCTTCTTGTTCGGCTCCCATACCAAATCCATCCATGGCCAAATCTTCATCGTCTTCGCCAGCATTAACTTCTTCTTCATCTTCAGCATTATCTTCATTTTCTTCTTCTTCCTCTTTTTGTTCTTCTTCTTCGCCATCTATCATGCCCAGAAGACCTCCCTTACTACGCAAAATGCCATCCAAGTCTACATCCTTGTGATTTGCAACGTCCTTTTGGTCCAAATCCCAGCCTGTAAACGCCGTCTCTTCGGCTTCCCCAAACACAAAATCAGGATTGAGATCTCCAGTCTTCTGCTCTGTGTCCGAGTCTCCACCATCACTCGCCTCGGAGTCACTGTCGATCGTCATCACGAAATCATCTCTGTGCTTCTTCGCCATGGTCGATGCGGTGAGATGCGATATGCGATGCTCATCGCGAAAACCTACACGACAGTACCGGTGCATTGGATGTATTCACTGAACTACTTATAGTGGAACTCACCGGTGACGTTGGCGAGCTCCTTGATATCATAGAATTCGTCATCGTCATCGTCACTATCATACTCGTATTCCAATTCTCCTCCAATGGCTTTGTGCTCCAAATCCAACAATTGGGTATTTTTTCTCATTTCTATCAATGCCTCAACCTGCTTCTCGGTGTCGTCCGATAGTCTTCCGGCCCACATTCCTTTCAACATCTTGAGACCATCCAACCAAACGTACTTACTGACTTGTGTATCGGTGTAGAACGAGAGCAAATGCCGACCCTTGGCTCCAATCAAAACGATATTTTCATGAGAAATGGTTCCTTTGACAGACACCAACATGCTGTTCTGTTTCTTATCCAGTTCACCAACATGCTCGCCTGCTTTCGACGCCTTGAAGTCAACAATGTCAGCCAACGGTATAGCTTGCTCTTCCATATCTTCGTAGGTTGGGTTCACCAACGATTTTTCCACAAACTCTTTGTAATAGACAAATTTTCTATTAGGCGCCAACATGATGAAGTAGTACTTGTTGCCCACTCCCAGATGACTCGAGTTACTTCTGAGCATTTGCTCTCCATACGACTCGGTGTACACCCACGATCCTTTGAGTAATTGTACCACTCGTTGTTCACATACAAAGTCCATGACTTCTCTTGCTAACACCAGGTCAAACTCCACAAGTCTACTCGCCCATTTTGATGAATGAGCGTCGCTGATCTTTTGGATCTGAACTTGGCGCAATGTTTCAAGGTCCTTTGTTGTGAGATCCAAGCATTCTTCCACAGACTTGTTGCCCTTACCCAAGTCTTCGTTCAACTGGCTAACCTGAGCCTCCAAGAGCTCCATGATACTATCGATATCCAGTGGATTTTCCAACCGGGACTTCGTCTCCTGCCATAAGATTAAGCAATTGTTCATTGTGTAGTAGATCATCAACTCCCAACTCAAAATGGAGGAGTAGATGTGGGGGTACTGGTCTTTCAGATGGAATATTTGTAACCACATGTCGGTGGCCTTTTGTATGAATAAGAAGAGTGGGAATGTTCTATTATGGTCGCTCATCATCAATTCTTCGTGAAACCGCTTCTTGAACGTGAAATTGGGGTCCTTGACAAAGATCTTCAAGTCCATGGCAAGCAAGATGGTAAAGTTTTGCACCACAAAGTTTCTGGGATCTTCGGTGAATCCGGCCTTGACGTACTCTTCAGTGGTGGCAGGAGTTCCGTACTCATTGAGGGATACCTCCAAAAAAATGAAGAGGTTATTAAGCATCACTTGATGCGACTTAATAGAAAGGTCGAATGTGGTGGCATTGAGGTACTCGTTGAGGCTGTAATAGGCGACTTTCAAGTGCGAGATCGAGTCAAGAATGGACTTGTCGTCAGTTTCAATCAAGTTGCCAACAGTACTGAAGAAGGTAACATGCTTCAAACGACCAGCAAGAGTAATGATACCATCGTAGCCACATAAAAGGGACTTGTTGATCAAATCGGTCACCAACTTGATCGAATTGTATGTGATCTTATTATCTTGCAAATAGAGTTTTTGGGTCATGATGTCAATGACGTCCAAATATTCAATCAACGATTCGTAGAGTGGTAGGTAGTTGTCTATCGAGTCTGTCTTGGACCGGAAAATGGACCCAGATATCAAAATTACCAGAATTTTCAAAATCGCCTTGTACGTTTCAGTAGACATATGGGCTGAAACGATGGAAAATAACGTGGAAAATACAGTGTGATCCAACACCTTGGAAAACTCATTGGATACAGATTCACTGCCCAAAATACAGTCCAAAAGCTTGGCCAAAACCACTATACTATTGACTTTTTCCTGTTTGTCTTTTCCAAGAATGTTGGTCTTGAGAACACTAGCGTAGGCCAAAGCGGTGCTGGCATCGAGTTTGGTCTTGGAGATATTATCTTGGTTAGTTTAGTTCATGTTACTGCCTAGAAAACACGTACTTTTGCTCAAAAGCTCATTGAGCTTGTGGTTGATCGTCCTTGACGACTCCGACATCGAAGTGATTTGTTCGTCTAATTCTCTCCCAAATGGGAAACGAGGGTGGATGTGCGGCGCAGAACAGCGCAGGCCTGTGTTTGGCGGCCGGTGTGCAGGCAAAGCTCTAGGCTCGATTTTTTTGCCTACTCCACTATTCTGAGTCAAGCCAATGCTTGCATAGCCAAAGGGGTTTATCAATTAATACTTGGAATTGCCATTGATCTCGCTTCCTGAAGCCGAATTGTATACAGAAAAGCTTCCAAAATCGAGTTTAAGTCTCGAAACCCCTAAGAAGAAACCGTCGCCTTATTTTTCTGGTTTTCTCCATCTTTGTATAATTTTGTCAAATTTACCGTTACATGTCTTTTCTACGCAAAGAGAAGAAACCTCGTGATTCCAGCTTGTCGGGTCCAAACAAGGAGTCCTCAGGTCCCGGAGAAGCCAATTTAACGGCCGACGATCATTCGGAAGACTACTTCAATACCCCAACCGGCTCAGCCAATTCTCCCAAAAATGGCAGTGGCCAGGAAGATTACAGCCCACGGTCATCGGTGGTAGCACTTCCCGCTGAAATCAACGAGATATCTCCGAAAAACGATGGTAATGCTCAGGTAAAAGATGACTACCATGGGTTCCACGCCAACCGGCGCCCATTGGGTGGCCACAATATCCCACCATTCTCACAGCCCATCAAGCCACGATTCAAGAAGAGAGGCACAAGACTTTTGGGCAAGTTGATCTACTCGAGTCGCAAGGACTCGGAACCTTCTGATCGTCTTCGGTTTGACTCGGATGAATCGGGCCACGATCTGATGGCTCTGACCTCGGCTAATCCTCCTCGTTCCACGTCCATGGCTTCTACCGGTTCTGGTAACCGTAAGAGCGCAAGCTCGGCCTCGTCGTCTCTGTCTAAACACAAGTTCCGCATTCCATCGTTGACAGAACGCCGACAATCCACCCAGGAGGAACCCACCACGACCCACCACGATTCCAATGCATTTGCTCTCGACATGAACTTGGACGAAATGCACGATATTTTAAAATCTCCTACAAAAACTCCAGAACCAGACGTCCTTCCGGAGCGGATCCAATACAAAAAAAACACCATCATCAAATTCTGTCGTCGACTCTCGAGTTGGCAATTCCGACGAAAAACCAGCTACTGGAACCTGGAAGGCTCCAGACAGTTGGGATGTCAAAGGTGACGATATTTTGGGACTGCCAGCACCTATGGTAGGTGAAGATCAACCCATTGCTGAGGAAGAAGATGATGATGATGTGGTACAAGAACAAACCACACCGCAGTCAGATGTGGCCGAAACACTGTCGAGCTTGCCTGTGCTTTACGGTAGCCACCAATATTCCCATGTCGTGCCTCCTCAATCAGACCCCAAAAACCTTACTAAGGGCCCAAATCATATTATTCGAGTTTTCAAAGAGGACAATACTTTCACCACCATCTTATGTCCTCTAGAGACCACCACTACAGAACTTATCACCATAGTTCAAAGGAAATTCTTTTTGGAGTCGGTAGCCAACTATCAGTTGAGTGTATATGTTGGCAACTGCGTGAAAGTCCTAGAATCTTTTGAAAAACCACTTAAAATTCAGATGGGTCTCCTCATGTTGTCAGGATACGTCGAAAATGACAACTTGCGTATTATTGGCCGAGAAGATCTTTCATTTATTTGCAAGTTTGTCGTTGAGAATATCAATTTGCGTAACTTTACTCATGAAGAAGAAGCCCTCAAGTCAAAGGACTACATTGACGTTGACATCTCGGGCTTAAAGCTCAAGAGTATACCCATCAAATTCCATCAGCATACTTATGAGATTGAAAAATTGAATGCTTCCGATAACCCAGCAATCTACATACCATTGGATTTCATTCAATCATGCAATAACTTGACCAGCATTATCTTTTCGGTTAATGGATGCTCTAAGTTTCCAATGAACTTTTTGGAGGCGACAAAGTTGACTTATCTTGATATGGAAAAGAATTTTTTGGACGAGTTGCCCGCAAAATTTGGTGTCCTTAGCAACCTCACAAAACTTCGTTTGAACTCGAACCAATTACGCTCGCTTCCCAAGTCATTTGGAAAGCTTGTGAATTTGAAGCAGTTGAATCTCTCATCCAACTACTTTAATGCGTACCCGGAACCAATCAGTGAGTTGGTCAACTTACAAGAGTTAGATCTTTCTTACAATGACTTGAGCGAGATTCCCGAATCCGTTTCCAAATTGGTAAATTTGGTGAAACTTAACCTTTGTACCAACAAATTGAGCAAAGCCTTGCCCCGACACTTCGAAGCTTTGAAATCCTTGAAGCGTTTGGACATAAGATATAACATGATTACAAATGTCGATGTTATTGGACGACTTCCCCACTTAGAAGTTGCCTATGCATCAAAAAACTATGTTTCTACGTTTAACGACAAGATGGAGAGCTTGCGCTTGCTTCATTTTGATCGTAATCCAATTACAAATTTGCAGTTTGAATATCTTCTGCCATTACTCACAGTTCTTGACTTGTCCAAGGCAAAAATCACTTCAATTCCCTCAGACTTTTTAACTAAAATCCCTAATGTTGAAAAGCTAGTGTTAGACAAAAACCATTTGGTCAACTTACCTCCTCAACTTGGAAGCTTGTCGAAACTTTCGCATTTATCACTTTATGGAAACAACTTGCAAGTTTTACCACCAAGCATCGGTGATTTGAAATCTTTACAATACCTCGACTTGCATTCGAACACTTTGGAGAGTTTGCCTGAAGAGATATGGAATTTGAGCTCTTTGAGCGTACTCAATATATCATCTAACGCTTTAAGCTCATTTCCCAAACCACCTTTGAGTGTTGCAAAGAAGATATCTTCTTCGGTCGATTTTCTGAATTATCGTGCAGTTGATCAAGAAGCGGAAAGCTCGACGGAGGATGACTCTAGGCGTCCTAGTTCATTGGCAGATTCATTGCTCGTTCTTACTGTGGCAGACAATAGGTTGAGTCAAGATTGCTTTGACTCCATTTCTTTCTTGATTGAACTCAAGTCTTTGAATGCATCCTACAATGACTTGCTTGAGATTCCTGAAGGGGCTTTAAGGCGTCTAAGCAAGCTCAACGATTTGTATTTGTCTGGAAATGAACTCACAAATCTTCCCGCTGATGATTTAGAAGCATTGGTCCACTTGAAATTACTCTTTCTTAACAACAACAAGTTGGCTTCATTGCCTGCAGAGTTGAGTAATCTCAAGCAATTAGCTCACTTGGATGTTGGTTCGAATCAACTCAAGTACAATATCTCGAATTGGCCCTATGATTGGAATTGGCATTCAAATACCAATCTCAAGTACCTCAACTTTTCAGGAAATAAGAGATTCGAAATCAAGCAAAGTCACATAAAGAACCCTGAAACAAAGGAGGATTTTGACAGTTTGTTGGTGTTGAAGAAGCTTAAGGTTCTCGGTCTCATTGATGTAACTTTGACAAGCACCTCTGTTCCTGATCAGAACATTGATATGCGAATCAGAACAACTGCGTCGGAGCTTGACAATATAGGCTATGGAGTTTCTGATTGCATGGGAGGCCGTGAGCATGTGTCAACGAGGGACATTTTCTTGCAAAAGTTCCGAGGAAACGAAAACGAAGTCTTAATTTGCTGCTTTGATGGCAAGCACGGTAAACCACATGTTGGTCACCGTATATCGTACTTGGCAAGGACTACATTTGTTCCTCGGTTTACCGAGGAATTGAACAAACTTAAGGCCAATGAATCAGTGAACGATGCCATTCGTCGTGCTTTTCTTCAGATGAACAAAGAGATAAACGGGGTTTTGATAGCGAAGAAGAGTAATCATTTCACTGGTACTCCCCTGATGAACTCGACATTCTCAGACCTCAACTTGAACGAAGACGGCGATGCTGGCTGCTGTATGTCTATCATTTACATCAAAAACAAAAAGTTGTACACTGCCAACGTTGGAGATGTTGAAACTTTATTGACAAGGAAGAACGGTACACATTTACTATTAACGAACAAGCATTATCCCACAAACAGACCAGAGTTTGAACGTATCAGAGCTGCAGGAGGATATGTTACCGGTGACGGAGCTCTCGATGGTAAATTACCAGTATCGCGAGGAATTGGTTTCTTCAATTTCTTACCTCATACTCACTCGGGACCCGACATAAAGGAAATCGACATTACCACTGCCGACGACATGATCGTCTTGGCGACAAAAATATTGTGGGATTATATTTCATATGAGCTTGCCGTGGATATTTTGCGACAAGAAAAAGAGGATCCGATGATTGCAGCACAAAAGCTTCGTGACTACGCCATATGTTACGGAGCAAGTGACAAGATTTCGGTGACAGTGATCACTTTGGGAGAGCAAAAGCCCAAGCTGAAGTTCGGCTCGAATGCCTTGTATCACAACTTGAGCCGAGAAGGTGATGTCTTCTCCAAGAGAAGAAGAGACAGAAGTCAAGTATTTGGCAGTGACTCTACTTCCAGAAGATTGGAGGCTGAAATCGAACCGCCAGTAGGTGAGGTGGCATTAGTTTTCACCGATATTAAGAGCTCCACCTTGTTGTGGGATGCCAATCCCGTGGCTATGAGGTCGGCGATCAAGATTCACAACGACAAAATGAGAAGACAATTGAGAATTGTTGGAGGGTACGAAGTCAAGACGGAAGGTGATGCTTTTATGGTTTCGTTTCCGTCTCCCACGTCTGCGCTTCTTTGGTGTTTCTACGTTCAGCAACAGCTTCTTGACGCAGATTGGCCCGCTGAAATCTTAGAGACCAAACAGTGTCGTGAAGTTGTTGATGCAAAGGGACATGTGATCTTCCGGGGATTGTCGGTGAGAATGGGTGTTCATTGGGGCTCTCCGGTATGTGAGCTTGATGTGGTCACCCGAAGAATGGACTATTTTGGTCCCATGGTGAACCGTGCTTCGCGGATCAGTGCAATTGCAGATGGTGGACAAATTGCCATGAGTTCAGATTTCCTTCGTGAGTTGAATACTCTTAACAAGATACATGATGACATAGCTGCCGGACGGACCACTATTTCAGATGCTTATCATGGAAACGTCAGAGCAGGTGAGATCATCGAACGAGAAATAGCATCTTTGCAAGTGACAGGAACTGCGTTCTACGAGTTGGGCGAGAGACGTTTGAAAGGATTGGAAACTCCAGACTTCGTCACGTTGGCGATTCCCAAAGACCTTGAAGAGCGGTTTACATTATTCCAAAACACACTCACACAAGAAGAAGAGAACAAGACAATGGGCAGGATTGTTGGAGCATTACCTGTTGACGCCATTTTTGGTTTACGTACCATTTCGCTCAAGTTGGAGTCTATATGCTCACGACTCAACAGTCAAAATATGGTCAATCCCGAAGGCCCTGAGACCCTCAACAACATTTCCGAGCGATTTGATGCTTCTGAAGAGGACGTGGTTCGTCTCTTTATGCATATTGTGACCCGGATCGAGCATTGTGTTGCTAGTCTTCAAATGAGACAGATTCTTGGCGGAAACGAAGGAATTGATTTCAAGAATCCGGAGACAATATTCTCTGTAATTGACCAATTGGCCAGCCGGCTCGAGCCGAATAAGGTGGGAAAGGCATCTGGATTCATCGAGGACGTATCGTAAGTTATGGGCATAATAAAAAGTAGCATCTTGGTAAAAGTGTTCCACATCTCCTGTATGTAGCTCTACATTCTACACAAGAAAAAAGTTGCAATTCTCACCATAACTACTCCATGTCCCGACCTCCACACCACCGCCATAACCTGTCAGCAACATCCATACCCTTTGTATCACCATACGGTTCAACTACATCGTTAGAGGATGAATCGCCTGAAGAAGTGGTAACGCCATCTATTCGAGAACGAAAGTTTGGACAAACCTTAGGACTGCGAACGACTTTCCAAGGTTCAATTGGATCAGAACCTACCAATGGATTGCCTGATTTGTTCCATTGGGGCAGGTGTTTCAGTACAAGATCGTCTCAGTACTTGAACCATGACTTTTCCGCCGACGAAAATAAGTTGGATCAACGAGATGACGACGGTTACGTCGGCTTTTACCACTATGCCAATGGACTTGATTTTACTTCAGGAATCTCGGCAATTGAGGCCTATATTTGCTCAATTGTGGGGATAAAACGTACAGAAGAGGTCTACAACTGGAAACGAGATATGACGAGTGAGTTCAGCTCGAAGAAAGAGATGGTGGTGACTTTTTGCCTGTACAACATATTTGCCAAAGCAGAACTTCGGACTCGGTACATTTTGTATCTCACGGGCTTTAATACCAAGAATCCCATAAACATAGACAAGAGTTTCCACATAATTCCAGATCTGCAGGGCAGTCGGATAAGGAAATCTTGCTCATTCACCGTTGACACTGTTCTGGAAATTCAACCTCTTTTCTGGCAAGAATTGACTGCATCGCTGATAATAAGGTTGTTTAATCACTTAGACAACCCAGCAAACCAATTGACAGGTCTCGTTAGTTTTCCCCACCATCTTCGATCAAACGAGGCGATTCAAAATGCCATCCGGACATTGATACCTTTTCTTCCCCGTGGATTGATGACTCCATGTCCAGCTACTTATGGGAAACCCACTGGATGTAATAACAAAGACAATAAGATCAACTTCTATAATAACAGCTTGACAGATGCATTAATAAGGTTGTGTCAATTTGAACCGAGCGGTGCTGTCGCTCAATTTGCAGCCGATCAAATTGCCATTCAGTACGGTCTGTCTGACGAAAACTGGAAGGTAATTGTACTAAGATTACTAAGTTTGCATAACAACTCGGTCCTGGAGAACCAATTCGTTATCGATCTCCATCAAAGCTTGACCGGTTCAGGCTTACTAACCACCACTGGTGCTCTTCTTTTACAAGAGCAAATCAGGTACTTGATCTCAAAAGGAAATTACGACACAGCTCTGCTCATGGCCCAGAAGGGAGTGGAGATCCTTCCATTAGATTTTGAGAGCTGGTATTCTCTCGTGGTGTGCTATATCTTGCAGAAAAAATTCAGCAAAGCGCTTCTCATCTTAAACAACATTCCATTAATTACCAACCAAAAGCAAGGACACTTGGATGATATCTGTGGTGTACGTGACTTCTTTTCCACCACTTTTATAGGGCGCCTAGCGACCCGCTCCGAACCCATATCAGAACAGACATTCAAGGCTTACTTTCCAACTCCTCAAGTGAAACTTTCAAGTTATTCGAGACTTTTGGCACAGAACCAAAAGAAGGGCGATCGCCTAGTTGAAGAAGGATCAATTAGCAAACTTTGGAATGACTATTTCTTGTTCAATCCCCAATCAAGGCACCCTTTCAATGGGTATCAATTCTACCAGTCGCCGCTCATGAACTGTTCCGCAAGAACACTATCCACTGTTGATTCCAATCTTACCAAGGTCACTGGTCCTGCTGCCTCGAAGATAGCATTGTCGGCACAATCAGCAGGTATTCCTTCGCTGTCTATTCTCAATTTCGAGACGATATCCACTTGGGGACGATGCTACGACTTACTTACTATGATGGTGGCTGTGGATGGATGGGATAACTTGGTCAGACGCAAAGAATCACTCTTCATCTCGTCGGCCCTCCTGAGTACCGATTTTGTAGTTGGTGAGCTGGAAGGCTCGAACCTCGTTGCCTGCTCACCATGGCTCGATAAGATGTTTTTTGTCTTGTACGAAGACTTGCGTACGCTTATGACGCTTTCACACCGCAATCGTGAGCAGCAGCACAGTGCTTTAGAATGGGAAATGATGGGATTACTTGGATGGTCCATAAAGTATAACTTGAAGGAGTCCATCAGTGCCTTAATTACGAGTGTCATTGCTACGTCTGCCAATGGAGATTTTGATTACTTTGCGACGGTCAAGCTTCTTGAAATCTACTACGAGTTGGTTTTGAGTGAAAACTCCATGGGCGACTCCTATACCCATGAAGTTTACTCGCGCAAGTTGATCTTGCAGCTGTATGGCAACGCTTATGAGGTATTCGTTTCTGACTTGGAAGAGAATTACCTTACTTTAGACTTTGTTCTACTCATCATACTCAAGTTGGTGAGCTGGAACTTGCGGTGGTACCAGTACATTCCAAATCATCTCATCACCAAAGTCATAAACGGATTGTGCAACAAGCACGATTCGGTGTATATACGAAGCAAGATGAGAGTGGTATTTGAGCAGAATAAGAAGAGCACAAAGGCTCGGGGAATGTTTTCCACTGCCTCCAAGGACAACTTTGAGTTTGTGGAAGACGACACCATTGTCGACTACTGCGAGCGTCTTATTAACTGGCTAGAAGACTTGAGACATACATAATCATTGCAACTTTTTCTTGGTGCCCAATACCTTCTTTCTCTGCTTGATCATGTAGGTGTACAACATGTAGAAACCAGGTGGGTAGGTGCAAATAATGGCGATGAGGGTCCATTTATACCAGTCGCCCAACACAGCACTGGCTTCGTTCAACGACAAGTAAATCATGGAAATTTCCGACGACACCCCAGTAGGATACAACACGTAGAAGGTGGTGTATCTCAACCACGTCAACCATTGAGGAACGGGACCCGCCAAGTTGGTAGCGTAGTACGAGTAACGAATAATTTCGGTGATGGACCAAGACAACGACAAGGTGATGTAACACCAATGGGAGTTAGCTGGCGAGTTGGGTAAAGCCTGGCATATTCCCCACACGATGAGCAACCTGGAAAAGACTTGGGTGGTTGTGGTGAAGATAGGAGACTTAACGTTTCCTACCAATGAGTTGTAGATTTCCACCACGGCCAAGGTTTGAATTGCGGTGGTAATTTTGTTGGTTTTGTCAAACAAAAGAGGCTGGCCAAGAGAGGCGCCCAAGAAGATGGTGTTGAAGAGCACAATGGTCCACAATGAAGCGGAGATGGAATTATAGGCTATGAGCCATTTGTTGGGGTGAGACATGAAAAGAAAATGAGAAATTCGCGATTGAAATTTCATTTATTGAGAATTGATTTTCGGTTCGTTTAATTTACCGCCGAGTATCTTCCTCCGCTGGCGCCACATGTAGGAGTATAGGGACAAGAACCCCGGAACGTACATAGTCAAACCAAATACCAAGAACCAGTAGTAGTTATCAAGGGCAACTACAAGCGACAGGTAAACCACAGTAGCTTCGCACACCAACCCCATGGGGTAAAGAACGATGAACAAGGAATAGCGAAGCCAAGTAAACCAGCGTGGGGCGTGGCCATTGACCAACTTGACAACGTAGTAGCTGTAGCGAGTCACTTCTGTGATCGCCCAAGAAAAACTAAGGCCCAAATAAGCAGGGTGGAAGTTTCCAGGTGCATACGGAAGAGTGAGAGTAATTCCATGGGTGATGAACAATCTGGCAGCAAATTGCAAGAGCACCGTAGTCAATGGCGAGGGAACCAAACCCAACACAGTATGGCCTGTTTCAAACACAGCATTGAAGAATTGAAGCAAAACAAGAAAATGGTGGGGTGGGGTATGCAGCAAGAGCGCTTCCATCACCGCTAATGGCATTGATTTCCCATAAAAAGATTGTTGGTTGTTGGTCAAGTATCCGTAGGCATCTTGGAACGCACGCCCAAGAACATAGGTCCATAATGCGGCAGATACACCGTTGTAGAGAACGAGGTACCGGTTCATAGCAAAAGAGCGACTTGCATGTGCGGCAGACAATAAGGCATACAGAACCGCATTCTGAAGCTTTTGAATTCGCAGCCAGAGTTCCAGTCGCAGGTTAGGATAGAAATCTATAATAAATCGATTGTATCTAAGAAGATTTCCATCGATGTTTGGGGATCGGATACCTATTCGAAAGACGCTATATCACCAATATAGTGTAGTGTGGATTTCACATAACTCACACAACACTACACCCACGGTGAAGGATATCATCACGTGATCGGTCCGTAATCTGGTCGCGGCTCATAAAGCGGTTGCAAAATTCGCATTTGTACTTGACTTCATTTGTGATCATGTCAACACCAACAATGCACGAACTGACACCTCCACAAGAAGTGGGAGAGCTGAATCCACTCCAACTGGAAGGAATGACTCCGCAACAAGCGGTAGAATGGCTTAGCCAACTTGAGAGAGAATTGAATCCACTCCAATTGGAAGGAATTACTCCACAACAAATGGTAGAAAGGTTTAGACAACTAAGGGAAGAGAATCGACAACGTAATGAAGAGTATCGACAACTAAGGGAAGAGAATCGACAACTAAGGGAAGTGATTGGAAGGGGAGTGTTTACACCTCGAATGGATGAACAGCCTTCTCGACCAATGGAGGAAATGGACATAGGAACTACGCCCGAAGCTAAGCCCAAAACACTGAAAAACCTGTGTTCAACCCTGTTTCCCCTTCTTTTTGCTCGGGTCGTGAGTACTGTGATCATTCTTATAGTTGCGGTGGAGTTACCCGAAGCTAAAGCGTTTAGAAAAATTTCGACAAAGTGCAGCTACTCTTTGGAACTGATTTGTGGGTATCTTACATTGCAACGGGCGCTTGGCGCATTCGCTTCCTATCGACGCAAAGACCCAGTCAAAGAACTTTTATGGAGCATTTTGACTCTTAGTTTGTCCGCACCGGTACATTATATCGCCTATGAGTGCTTTTCACGGCAAGAAAATCCAACTATATCTAAATGTTTGGTTTTATCGCTGATTATAATTGCTAGCGGCATTTCACCAGATACTGCTGAGTTCGTAAACGTTCGGACTTTTTGCGCATTGTGTGGCGGGGGCTTTTCATGGACTGTCGGGCAATTAACAGAATGGGCCGAGAAATTCATAAGATGGGCCAGGAATTGAGCTAAATATGTGGGTATCAATCATTTGCTCTCCTTAGCTTGAATGTGTTTAGCTCTATTAATATATATGATACCCACGTACTGTTTGTCACAAACAGCTTGTCAAATCATTCTAATACCCACGAGCTAAAATGCGAAGTGCAAGACATGTTCTGTCTGCCTTATCCTGGGTGTTTTGGATTGAACGTTAGTTTATAAACTTGATATTCTGGTATGGAAGTCATATCAACAGACTTATAAACTGGACACTTTTTACGGTGTGTCCCTTTTAGACTCTTGTTGATCTCTCAACTCTCAGACTTATTCAGTAAGCAAACACCGGAAAAATCAGACAACAGACAACTTTGACAACTTTTTTATTACCATTGACGCGAGGATTCTATTTAGTCTTGCATGATCGGGATCGGGATCCGATCATCTGGATCGTGCCTTCATTTTTAATCCTGGTGTACCGGTGTACTGATAAGACGAGAAAGAAAAAGACAAAGAAGGTCCAGAAAAAACTGAAAAGAGAATGAAAAAATGGAAAGTACAAGGATATAATTGAGTATAAAGACAGCAGAAGTAAGCTGGACTCCGCGATAGTCATTTTCAGGTGCATTTGACCTGCTATAAGAAGTACGACTTTTTTTCACGCTTTAGGTTTGGCAGATTATTTGTCCAATACGTTTACTTGAACCTGAACTTTGCAGCGCACCTCTGATAAGTTGATCACAATGGAAGAAAACGTGACTGAAGAAACTGATGTGGAAAGAATGGCTAAAGGAGAAAGGACCAAAACTCTGGATATTTTGTCCTGTATATTACTTTTTTTGACTATTTTCCCGTTAGGTTCGGGCTTTCTTCTTCCCTACATCTTTCAAACAAAAAATGATAATGTAAGGATTCCGGATTATATCTGGCTCAGTTCTGCAGCTTTTCATGTGATCAGTACTGCATTATGGACAGGCTTCACAATCGTTGACTTTCAAGATAAGGACTCAACAAGAGAGTCGAAAACTGGGGTTTGGTGGTGCTTGCTGTGTCTTGGTTTTTGCCTTACAATATCTGTATTTCTTCTCATTTGGTTCTGTCGGGATCGGTAATACAACTACGAATGTTCTTCGCTTTACATTATATACCAATGATATTAGCAGCTGGTCAGTGAAATTGAATATGTTTATCTTGATATTTGTACTTTACGTACTGTTAGTCTCAAACAGAACGACCTTCAAGTCTACGGCTACGTGATAGTTCATAGGATCATACCTCACAGAAAGACGCTATATCACCAATATAGTATCAGTGTATACCTATCGTTGAAAGGAAAAAAAGTACCCTACATTGACAAAAGTATGGAATTAGGGGGCAAGATTTGTTCTCGGTTCCAGTTCCTAAGGATTGGGGTCTTTAAGTGGGTACGAGTATTGAAATAGAAAGTATAAGGAAATAATTGAGAAGAGCATGAAACAGAAAGAATAAGGAAAATGAAGGAAGCGGAAAGTATAAGATATTGGGTAGAAAAGATAGCAGAGTCAGTTGTGCGATAGTAATTTTAAGATGTTTTGACCTGGTATAAAAAGCTTCCACTTTCTTTCACGACTCTTAGTTTGGCGTTTACTTAAACCTGAGCTTTGCAGCGCACCTCACCTCTGATAATTGGATCAAAATGGAAAAAAAAGTGACTGAAGAAACTGTGGGGGAAGGAATGACTGAAGAAACCGTGGGGGAAAATTCAACTGAAGAAGAAGGGGACAGAGGTATGCTAATTATGCTTTGTCTGTTACTTTTGTTTACTATTTTCCTGTTAGGTTTTGGCTGGTTTCTTCCCGTCACCTTTCGAAGAGAAAATGTTAATGTAAGGATTCCGGATTATATCTGGTTCGGTTCTGCAGCTTTTCATGTGATCATTACTGCAATATGGACACTCCCCGCAATCATGGCCTTTCAACTTAGGAACTTAAGATTTTTGGCTTATGTGTGCTTAGTCTTTATTGGTTTGTGCCTTACATCATTTGTATCGCTTTTCATTTGGTTTGTCTAGATCGGTAATAAAACTACACAGATGAAAGACCCTATATCACCAATATAGTATCAGTGTATTTCACATAACTCACACAACACTACACCCACGGTGAAGGATATCATGACGTGATCGGTTAATAATTTAACAATTGTTTGTACCCATAAATAGGAAGTTCACAATTTCCAGAAGAAGCCATATGTAACTTAATACCTTCAGAAGGTTATTTATTTAGACCGAACAGGAAACTTTGGTTGAGCAATGCTGATTCTTGCCGTATGTTCGTCTTTCCATATGCAGGTATTATAACTGCAAATTGATTAAATAGCACTATGCCAACAAACAAAATTCCATTTGAGTGTTGCAGCTGTTTATATTGCATCATGAAGTGTTATCCTGACCTGAAATACTTGTACCAGTTTACTTCTTTTATATAAGACTCAATATATCAGCGTCAGAAAGAGAGAGACAGCCTTAGTAATTTTGAATGATTTTCGGTATTTTTATTAATCAAAACACAAAAATCACAACACATAACAGATAAACCTATTTTAATGCGGCTAAAAACTCCTCCGTGGTGGTTAATTTTGCATATCCAAACGCCAAAGTAGCAAACACTGCAGCTGAAACTTGTTTTGCGGGGGTAGTAACTCCTCCATACTCCAAATCACGAGCAGCAACTGCATCAGTGATCACGGTTGCATTGTATCCCAATTCTGCAGCGGCTCTGGTAGTACCCTGTATGCATATGTGCGCCATGGCTCCCACAATAACCACGTCCTTAATCCCGTTATTATCGAGCTCTGATTTCAAATTTGTCTCAATGAACGAGTTGGGATGATTCTTGAAAATGACTAGTTCATCCGAGTTGGGTTTTACCTTCTCATGAATCTGAGACCCGGATGTATCTTTTCCGAAAAAGGGAGCATCCTTAGCCTCTCCAGTAAACTCATGGCGAACATGAATGATATGGAATTGGTCTGGTAACTTTCTTAATTCTTGCAAAAGCTTGGCTGAATTATCAGCTGCGCGATTGATATCAACTAACGGGTATAATCCACCCTCAAAATAGTCATTTTGAATGTCAATCAAGATGAAAGCAGTTTTAGGCATGTTGATTAAAGCAAGCTGATCCAGGTCAATTTATATGCTCAATTTCGGCGTTAAGGTGGTTCCACGCACTTATCGGCAACGGCTTTACTAATTGTAATGCAGATCACTTACGAGCTCAAGCAGGAAAGTGAGGGGTATGGTGCTTGGCGATGCATATAGATGCCTTCCTTTCAAAATATTGAAGACAAAAAAGTCACATCTTTAAAGGAATCACACAGTCGATACGATATGTGTTATAATCGGAATTGAACCTCCTCGTGAATAGAATCACCGTAATCTCTTTAATTCAAATTGAGAACTTGTCCATCATTATGAAGATTAATGACAGTCTAAGATGAAAGAAATCACTTACGTGACAGTTGGTTTAGGGATTCAAAGATAACTGACCTGACTTGTGGTAGCGAATTTGATTCAAGCTGCGGTGACTTTGTTAATCGATGATTGCGAGCTTATAATTCTTGCGAGCCACTTCAGAGATGTGCACGCGAATTTATGAGTTGAGAACCATCGCATTTACAATGCCGATCTGCGACTTGGAACTCGGCCCGCGAATTTAAAGGATTCAGGATACCGATTTTTTGACAATAAGGCATACACTAACTATTTACGCAGGGACAACCGCCAAAGTTCCCAAGCTTATTTTTCGCTTTTTCGTTCATTTTAGCTTCTTTGTTTGTTTTCACTTCTTATACTTGTCCAATATCGCAGCCAACGTGGTCTCGTCCCCAGCGATAAGCGACTGGTCCCAATCCACCACAAGAGGACTGCGAAATATGTCTTCCTCGGGTATATCTTTTTCCTCCACTGCCTTGTTGTAGGCGTCGTAAATCATGGCATATTCCTTCTCGCTGAACATCTTTATCCCCACCAGTCTCTCCTCCATTTTTTCCAAGTCGGTGCCCACGGGCAGTTTTTTGGTGACACTCCGAGGCTCTTCGTGGTGGATACTCTTCAGGTCATACATGAACGGGAAGCAATTGCGCAACACGGTTTTGCTGGTATCATCCTTCAAGCACGCCTGGGCGATGGTGAGAAACTGGTCGTACGTGGGCATCTTGTTGGTCATCAAATCAACAAGAAACAGGTCCTTGCTTTCTCCATAGTGATGATAAGCCTGTTCCAAATGATGGTATAAAGTGGCCCAGAGTCCGCAACTTGGGATTGTGGAAGATGGTGATGGTAGCAGGGGAGTTCTGAAGGGTTCTGAAAAGCGACATGATGCAATTGAAGAATGGGGCAAATAAGAAGGTGGAGCAATCGGCTCCGTAGTGCGGCCGCGCAGGCTTATCTCCATTGACCCGACGCAGTCCCAGCCATATTTCGCGCACTCAAATAATACTGTAAATACTCTTAGCAAATACAACCACTTCACATACAAGCACAGCATCACCATGTGCCGCTTCATGATATACAAGGGCCGTGACCCCATGGTGCTTTCTGATCTACTTACAAAACCTGCACATTCTATAATCAACCAATCCTTTGATTCTAGGTTACGTCTCGATATGAGAAACCCCATCAATGGTGATGGATTTGGTGTCGGATACTATACTTCCAAGCATGCTCCATGTATATTCAAGGCAATTACGCCCGCATGGAACAACGTGAACCTCAATAATCTTTCCCGGTGTACGGAATCCAGGTTGGTGTTTGGTCATGTCAGGGCATCGACTCAGGGTGTTTTGTCAGAGACAAACTGCCATCCGTTTTCGTACGGAAATATCATGTTTATGCATAACGGAGGAATTCTGTGCTTTGAGCAGATCAAAAAGAAACTCATCAGCTATATAGATGACGAATTCTTTCTTCATATTCAGGGTTCTACAGACTCCGAGTGCTGCTTTGCACTCTTCTTGCATGTCTTGAAACATATGGGTCACACTCCAGGCGCCAGTGAGGTGCCCCACGAAACACTTCGTGACGCCTTGTTACAGACAATCACAACTATCAAAGAGTGGCAGTTGGCTATCACCACAGAACCTTCCCTTCTTAACTTTGCTGTAACCGATGGGCTGCTGGTGGTGGTTAGTCGCTATGTCACCTCAAAGACCGACGAGGCTGCTTCGCTCCATTTTAGCACCGGTCTGCGCTTCTACGAGTACGAGCCTGGTCTCTTCAAGATGGAGCGTCTTAACAGATCTCAGGATGTGGTTTTTGTAGCAAGTGAACCACTCACGTTTGAGCGTGGAGACTGGATTTGCGTGCCTACAAACTCAATCATCACTATAAGCAAAAACAACACTGTCTTGATGCATCCCATAAGAGACGAATTTTACGGCGTGGAAGAGCGTGATTCCGGTTTGGCTCTCAGGAAGGGCCTCATGGGTGGAGTCCCCAAACCTCCGCACCAAGTCGATCTGGTGCTTCCACCATTGGAGAGAGAAGGTCGCAAGAGTACCATAAGTACATAATAACGAGAAAAAATGGAATATAGATTAAAAGCATCAACTAACCCTTGCTGGCTGCTCTAGTCAAATTGTTTGTGCCCTTGTCATTATCATCATGATCATCATCAAAGATAAGGTCCTCGTCATCCGACGATGAGCTCGAAGTCGAGCTCTCGCTCAACAACTCCACATCCTCCGTCTTGTTTAAATGACGTGGAACCCCATCATTGTCATAAAACGAATTCGACTTTTTGTATGAAAGTCCATCGTCGTTGGGATCTATATACGGATCTTCTTCTCCAGGAACTCCCAAGTCGGCAGTGGCGGTGTTGGTTAATTGCTCAGACATGTAGTTCGTGAAGTGATCATCATCGTCTTCCGACTCGGAATCGCCTTTGTTGGCGTCTTCTGACGCATCAAGATGTCCGATGTCATGGTCGGTGTTAGGGTCAAGAACAAGTCCTGGCTTGTAGTCATGAACAAAATCTGTCTCTTGTTCAAATGTATTGCTTGCATCATCATCATCATCTCCTCCACCCAAAATGGCATTGTACTTCTCCCTTGTATCGTACAAAACATGGTTAACATATTCTTCCCATACTTCGTCCTCAACCTTCTTGTCAATCAATTCGCTTAAAGTATTGACTGGGTATACTTGAATAAACTTGACAACTTCTTCGGCGATCAATGTCAAGTGACCCATGTAGCCCAAACGTAACCCTTTGTTGCTCTCTTCAAAATCGCTGCACAACTTCTGGCCCTCGATGATTTTGTCAGTAATTGCGCTGTGATCAAACAAATCAATGGCTAAGAATTTGTTGAACCCTATATCCATAGAGCCGTTCAATACCTGCTGAACAATATCAAATACAACATTATGCAAGAAGTTATTCCATGGGAACTTGAAGAACATTGCAAGGATACTCGAAATTATGCGAGTGTCGAGTAAAGATACTTTCAAAAAATCCCCAATTACAGGATTTTCTCTAATTTGTTCTTCAGTCAAATTAGCGTTGGCGTGTGGCTCGTTTTCGTCTGAATTTGCACCATGGAAAATTGAGTCTCCGTCACTTTGAGATCTGGAATTAAATGAGTCGATAGTGTCGTTCCCAAACTCCTCGTCACTATTATGGTTGGACTCTGATTCTTGCTTGTCTTCGGTGGGCAAGGCAATCACCTCATTGTACTTGAAGCTGATAGGATCGTATTCTTTCATTTTCATTCGAAGCTCGTCACGTTGTTTCACCACATTGTAACCCTTGTTATCGTTGAGTAGAGCCATGTTTGAACAATGCAACAATTCAGCAACTAGCTCGCAAATCTTGAATCTTTCGAATCCTAAGGGTTCGATTTCACCGAAAGGAGTTTTGAGTTTGGATGCTTCCCGGTTAGTAACTAGGAGCTTATTAAATTGGTCGATTTTACCACCAAATATCTGTAGCAAGTGGCCCAAATAAATAGGGTCACGACCAGTGGGAGGGTGACTTTCGAGCGTTATATATAACACAGGAAGTGCATCATAATCGGAATTATTCTTACGAATAATTTCTATGATGATACCCACACCATTGGCCAATGCATAGCCTCCTTTTAACATTATGGTACATAGCTTCTCCATTTGGTCGTATGATACAAGCTCACGAGTAAGTTCGTTGGGTCCGATTGTCGAGCTGTCAGTGGTGGAGTTTGCTGATATCGTGATTAAAGCTTTAAGAAAGTCTGCAGCCGACAGTTGTCTCACAAGCGCAAGCTCAGCATCATTGTCGTTGATGTCATCGATGTCAAGAGCATCTATCAAATGGGTTATGAGGTTCTGTTTTTGCAAAAAATCAATGATGCCAGTCGAGTTGTCGGGTTTATCGGTGGAAATGAGTTTGAGGAGGAAGTCCATAAGTGGAGGATTGGAGAGGTGACGAATGAACTTTTCCACCAATCGTGGTTGGTTTTCGATGAGATAGGTGACCATTTCGTCGCACTTCATGTCCAAAAGATGCTCCATAATCTTCATGAAATATGTCGACAAGTTGATGGAAAGAGGCTTGACGCTGTCGAGAACCGACCAAAGCTTATTGAGGTTGGCAGTAGAGTCCATGACAGTATCGGTGAGCGACCACACATCTGCACTCAATATCTCGGCCGCAAGCGCGGCGTGGCGGCTTCGGCGCTCCTCTTCTGTTTCTTCGTCCTGTTGTTTGTCTTCATTATCATCGTCATCGTCGTCGTCGCTCCTCATATCGTCATTAGTTTTGGCGTCATTTTTGGCTTGCGATTCATGTTTAGCATCCTTCTCGGTTTCCTCTGGTTGTTCCTTTATATCGAGTTCCGCAAGCTGATCTGAAACATCCAACTGACCCTCGTTGACCACCAATTCGACAAGTAGTTCGAGCACCTCATTTGTACGTAAAAACTCCAACAACATGGAATTGTTGGCAAGAAGTTCCTGGAGCAAGTCAGACTCGTCGAGAAGCTTGAGAAGCACTTCACGGGGCTTTCCCTTGCCGTGTTCATCGTCAGAAACATGGCTCTCGATCAAGGACGAGATGTTAGAAAGCGACGTGAAACCATTACTGAATTTCCAAAAGGACCCAGACATAATTATCGGGACGCCAGGCTGCGCTCAAAGAAAGGAGAGTCTCAGGAGAACCACAATTACCGGCGTATGGATAGGGGCCGTGTCCTAGTGTCTCCGTCCGTACCGCCGTCGAGGTTTTCGAGTGCGGTGCAGCAAAAAAATTTGAATCGTCGTGTGCGCACCGCTCTCACCACAATTTCCGTTAACTGTGCGAAAAGTTTGAATAAAGTTGAAGTGCCATGTTCAGATTTGGGGTAGCCAAAACGGCACTGCAGGCGTTTTCCAGGCCGCTTAACGCCATCAGAATGCTGTCCGTGGCCACCGCATCTCATAAATCACCCCTTCTGATTCTCAAGTTCAATTCTGCTGCCACAAATTTGTATGCCGTTTTCCGGCTCCACAATATGCCCTATTTGGTCACCAAGGGAGATCGAGTCGTGCTTCCTTTCAAACTCAAGGGTGCCGAGGTGGGCGACCAGCTACGCCTCAGTGACATAATCACGGTGGGATCACCAGAATACACATATAATGACAAAAAAGGTTTACCGAAAGAATGGGTTGATCTTCGAGCGAACGTGGTAGAAATCACCAAAGAACCATACTACGAAGTCTACCGGAAGAAACAGCGTTGTAGACGCCGTAAGACGTTTCCTGTGCAACCGTATCAGACAATCTTGATGATAAACGAATTAAAGTTGACGTGAATCGTCCACCTAATTGTACATAGATTTACCCTATAAAAGTTATTCCCGTCCAAGACTACTGCGTCGAGCATTGTACCTGATGTTCTGGGCTAACCGGGTGCGTTCAAACTTGAACTCTGGATCCTCCTCAATAAATGGATGCTGCAACAATTGGTGAGCTGTAGGCCGCTTCTCGGCATCGATGGTGAAACACTGGTTGATGAAGCTTTTGGCATGAGTTGAAATCAAATGGTCAATATCTCGCGGTATTGGCGGTGCCAGCTTGGTCTTTCCAATCTTGTAGATTGCACTTACAACTGCCTCGTTGGACCATGGCCGATGCCCGGCAAACATCTCCAAGACCACACACCCCAAAGACCACACATCCACCTTGGCACTATAACCCTTTTTCTTGTCCTCAACTATGCTGTCTATCACCTCTGGTGCCATCCAGAACACAGAACCTTGCATGGACATGTCTGCGTTATTTGTGTAAATATCTTTTGATCGCTTGGATATACCGAAATCTGATATTTTGCAGGTTCCGTCGATTTCCAAAAGCAAGTTATCTGCTTTCAAATCACGATGAAGAATCCCATTGGAGTGCAAGTATTCAAGCCCTCGCAACACTTGTCGGCAAATAAACCTAATAAGTGGTTCCTCAAAGCCACCATAGAATTTCATGCAAGAGGCTATCGAACCTCCTCCAACATACTCGAGGAACAAACTGTAGATTCGGCCCTGTCTTTCGAATCCCAAGTATTGCACAATGTTTTCATGGTCCAAGTCCTTCATCGTCTCCACTTCCTTATGAAGGGCATTTATACCGTCCAAATTGGTGGCTATTTTTGAAAGCACAACTTGCTTCACCGCTAGCATTTCTCCAGTAGTCACATTCAATGCCAAGTATACGGAACCAAAAGAACCACGGCCTATAAGCTCACCCTTAATCCAAGCAAACTCCTCAAATTCTCCATTATTGTTCTTAATCTTGGACACAAATCCTTTTTCAATTTCTGTCGATGTAACCTCAAATACTTTCTGTCCCCACATTTTTGTGTTTGATCGTGCAAGAGCATTACCACCTTTTGAGTCGTTTTCGACGTTCCTGTAGCCTCTCTTGGAGAGCCTCTTTCTCTCGAGCCGTTTCCTATGGGCCTCATTGGCAACAACCCGAATAGTTTTCATTCTCCTGATCGCGAGAGAGTTTCCTGAACCGGGCTCATCGTAATATACATCGTCGCTGTTATTCGTAGGAATGTCTGGAGACAAGTTAGCATTGGAAAATGTGCGTGAAATGGTCATTCGCTCTTTCATTGGGTCCTTGACTAGTGGAGAAACGGGATCTGCTTCAATGATAGGTTTGTCCAAATTGGTGTTCGGAAAGTATTTCTCAAGATTTCGGTACACTTCCTCAACAGGGGGCCGAACATCCATAGGAACATTGTCGACTTGTTTCCATGACTCATCAAATTGAAAGCTCTCGTCCTTAAGCATAACTCCCTTCTTAGTTCCGTCTGATTTTTGGTTGGCTTGGAAGCTCTTCATGAAAAATTCGTCACTTTCCATCGGCTTGACGAAGAACTCTTCTTCAGAATTTGTTTGTGAAATCTCGAGCAGCGGCACATCGTCGAAAGAGATTTCATTTTCTTTGAAAACGTCAATACTAGCTGGTGGTTTACGCAGTAACTTGGACGAATTCACACGCTTGCTTGCAGCTTTTCTGGGCAAAGAAAACGACCACTCACTCAGCATGGTAGAGTTACTGGACATCGAAGTATCGGACATTCCAGGCAGTAACTTCAAGCTTCCTTGTCTTACACCAAGATGATTGTGGCCGTTGAAGCTGCTCTTGTTCAGCAATGGTGGTGGGGGCGCTGCTCGCCGTGCAACAATGCTATTTTGTTTCTCCACTTCGACAGAAGAGTTATTATTGTCCTTTAGCGTTGAGACTGTTGTGGCCAAAACTGGTGATTTCAGCGTATCTGACACCGACGAGGAGTATATATTACGAATCAACTTTGGCGCTTTTGAGTCATAAGGGGACAATCTTCGCTTATCGAAATCAATTTCATGACCCTCTCTTCGCAAGACACGGAACGACGCTGGCAGCTTGGATTCCAGTGCGGAAGACAGAGGGACCAGTTTCGATGAAGTCGAATTATCAATGCTAATCTTGAGTGCTGGTGTTGTTCCTGAACTTTTTTCTCGTTTTTGAATTGGAAATGAGAGCTTCAAGGGTATATGTGGAGCATGCCCGTCGTTTCTCGTTGCTGCTTCGCTCTTCTGTGCTTCGTTAATCTTGGAGAGACGTTGCTGCTCATCTTTAAAATTCCAGTAATCAACTTGCCGGTCTGAACTAGTGCCCAACAAGTACTGGGGTGTTGCAGGATAGACTTTTTCATCATGATTTCCATGGATCTCAAACGAACGAGTATCTGACGATGTGGTTGAATAGGTGTTGGCGATGGACTCATCACCCACATCTTGCTTAACGAGAAGCATGAAGTTTCCCTTTTCTATAAAGTGAACCAATAGGTCTTCCGTTAGAGGTGGACCCTCTTCTGAGTCAATCTGAGTCAAGTGGTAAGTGATCTTTCCTATTGCTAAAACGTCGAGCGCCTTGTTCACCTTTTCCTTGATTGTTTCACTAGTTATTGCACCAGTAAGTTCAAAGTTCACCACCTTGAAATTTTCATTGTCACTGGTTACAAGAATAGACTTGTGGGTAGATTTTCTCAATGGTAAAAAGTCGCTCAAGTCTTCAGACGAATCTATTGGTGCTGAAGGTTCTTGTGGAGAGGGCTGACTGAAAAACGTCTGGGAAATGCGAGACACTGCAGATTTGACAGAGGTGCTCTGAGCTGTTTCAGTCAGGTTTTTTCGAGATGGAGGTGCAACATCTTCCTGATTTGCGCCAGATCTCACTGACTGGTAAGGTGGGGTTTCCTTGTAGATGCTTCTGGATGACATGTCTTTCCCGAATGAAGTGACCGTGGGGACTTGTGGAGTGGAGTTTGCGCCAAATCCCTGAGCCTGTTTAACAAATCCAGCAGCTCGGTCACCGCCGTACTTTTTTAAAGCGTTTATGAATTTGGATTTTTTGGATTGTCCGTCTTGTCCGTAGCCTTGCCAAGTGTGGGTTTTCTGGAGAGGTTCGCCCGCGGACCTCAATGCTTCTTCGTATAGCAAGGATGCACGTTTTGTGTTCTCTTTGTTAATTGAAAACGACCTAGGTTCACCTTCGACGGAGCTCTTACCATCGGAGGATGTTTTAGAGTGTTGCTTTCGAAATAGTTTGTATGTGATGTCTCGCTCACGGTTCTTACCTGATCCCGGTTCCACATACGAGTAGGGTCGCTGTTTGAGCGGAATCTGAGAATTGTTAGGCGATGAAGACGACGACGATGTTATTGAGTTTGAGCTGCTATGCTTCAAGAAAATGGGGGTAGATTTGCGGTTGTCAGCTTTGGGAGCAGGTATAAGCTGAGTTGGGGTACTCTCATACCTTAAATTTGATGGTGAATCGGGAAGTAGAGTCTCATCTTCTTCAACTGAATCCGCTTCACACTCAGCCTTGAGAAGGCCTATGAATCGGGAAACCGTATTGAGATCATTGTCCAAGTGCAAGAGTTTGCCAAATTGCTGCCATATCATGGAATTGGGTTCATAATTAGCAAGTTCGAGAAACCGATTGCCGGAAATTTCGTTGCGCCTAAAGGTGTCTTTCCACGATGAATTGAACCCATTGGAATCGAGCCATCGTATAACGTGCTGCATCTGCCACTTCCGTTTGGAGTAGTTATTGTTGTTTGACAGACCCATGGCATAGCGCACAAACCGCCTGTCTTTGCTCACAGTAGCTGTGGATGAAGTGGATATTGTGGAAGACTCAGAACTGTGTCTTGTATGCGGTTGAGGAATAATACTAGGTTGATACTTGTGCTTGATCGAGGGAATTTCGCCTATGGAATCCCCACCATTTCGAGTAATTTCCAGATCGTTATCGTCGCCTGGAGGGACCTCCAATGAGCTGTTACTGTAGGCGTAGCCACCAATGATCAGACCCAAAGGATTGGAGTTGAAACTTGTAGCTGACTTTGGCGGTGAGTAGGAGGTAGATATTGGGTTATCGAATGGTGTTTTCATGCTGGAATTGGAGTCCAGTCTCTGCTTGTAGTAGGGAAATTTCGATGGTTGAAATTGTCCTTCATCATGGTCTCCTATGGATGCATTGATCCCATCTTTTTCGTGACTTCCCATGCCATTGGCGGATTCTGGAAGTACCATGGCACCATCTCCAGGCGATTCCAACTCATGGACAGCAGACGATGCTGCCACGGCTCTTCCCGATCTAATCTGAGCCGATCTACGAACATCTCCATAAATCTCTCCATCAGAAACAATCCTCTTAGAAGGTACTGGAGTTGAGTATCCCATAAAGTGGAAGTCTGCCGTCTGTGTGTCATAGCTGACGGTACGACGATCCCCCATGTTGGCGCCAGAATTAGTATGACGTTACTATCAGTGGCTGTCAAGTGAAATCTATTTTAAACTTATAAGCCGCCGCCAGTGCACCCGCAGTGAAGCTGCTGCAACGGCTTCGCGCGCGAAGAGGTGAAATATACATACACAAGAACGGCATAGACCCAACCATTAAAACACACTAAAGTTCTTCAAATAATGACATGTCGCTGTTGCTAGCACTTGAATTGATAGTGCGCAGCATTGAGCACATCCAGTCCTGGTCAGGGACACCGCTGGATTTCGGAAACCTGATCTATGACGTGATGGTGCGTCTTCTTCGACTATTAAATTACAATGAAGAAGCACAAATTGAGCTTAGGTTTACTGTTAATCGTCAACAGCACGTAATTCTGGACTTTTTCGTGTTATATACGCCTTCTGGCAATCAAAACCAACTTGAAAAAATCGACCTAGTTGAACAGATCAAGAACTACAAGTACGAACATGTTGATAATCACACCCAGCTGTTGGTGCAATTGCTCAATGAAGTTGACCTGGACAGACTGGACATAGTTGCGAGTCTCGTGAACCTTTTTGAGTTTTTTGTCCATGTACATCGAACGGCTGAAGATGCCCTCATCGATTACTTGGCTCGATGTGTGGACTACGAGATCCAACACGCCTCAATTATGCGGTCCAATGCTGGAATGATTCTTGAGGAAGATGTGACAGAGCAGCTAATTGAAAAACTTGATCTGGTGGGCGACATCGCAAGACCTATTGCTGAAAACCACCGAGAAAATGCTATTCACACGGTCATGCCTCCTTCCTTAGATCTTCAATCTAATGATCCCGTGTTACTTGAATTTTACCAGTTCTTCCTAGAGATACTAACTTACAAGTATGAAGGAAAAAGTGGCACTGTTCGTGACTATAAGCGATACATACGGATCATGGTTAATCTCTACATGCGCTCACGAGCTGTTGGTTCCCTTGAACTCGACACTTTTGAAGTCAAAGAGGAAAAGGTGAACTTCTTATATGACTTCATGAACCAGGAAATTGTGAAAACTACTGACCGGTTGTTGGTTCGGGCCGCCAACAAGGCATTTGATGATCTCAAATTGCTACGCCAACAAAAACCGACCATCAACCAACCTCCTTCCAACATGCAAATCAGCGGTGAGGACTTTGTGCTTTCAAAGTCTGAGCGGACCGCAATCATATCCCACGTTCGTGAATTTATCCCAGATCTAAATGATTTCAATTTTTTCTTCGATCCCAATTTCCCAATACTTTTGCATACATACTTCGATCTCGTGTTCGTGGAAATGAAGGAAAGGGTTTCAGCAGGTGACTGTCTGTTTGTAAGCAGTCTCAAACGTTCAATTGACCAGATTGTAAGCTTCAACTATGGCGATGACCTCGTTGATATCAAGTCTGCAGTTATGCAGTTTTATGACCTTCATTCGCAACTTATTGAATCCCAGTCTACATTTCTAATGAGAGCGGCGTACATGATGTTTACACGATGCTTTTCCACGCTTCGTTCCCACTTCAAACTTTGGCATTTAAAGGCACTCAAGTTTGCTCATGATCGCCATGTTTTGCAGGAGAAATGGAAGATAAATACCCGAACTCGAAAAAAGTACCTCACCATCTGGATCGGAAGAACAACACAGAGACAAAAGGTTATGGCAGTAGCTTCATCGTACTCTGCGAGTCTGCTTGAAACATTAACTTTTCACAAGTGGCAGAATAAATTACAGTCAAACAACAAGAGATTACTCAAAGCAAATGATTTTGCATTAAAAAAATTCTTTGGAATTTGGACTTCAAAGTTCAATGTGACGAAAGAGCAGTTACTAGTGGCCCAAACGCACCATAAAAAGATCGCTTATAAGCCTGTGTTCAAGGCACTAGTTGAAAAGAAGGCCGCTATTGACACATCAATAGCTCTTGCCGATACTTTCGCTTCGGAAACAAAAGCCAAAGTTCACTTCTTGTTACTAAAATTAACCTTTGATCTGTGGGTTTCCAAGTTGAATGATTCATACTCAAGCCACACTTCTTCTGTCAAAAATAACTCTGAAGTGGTACTGCGACACATTGAACTGAACACCATGAGCTCCAAACTTAAGCATCTCCTCACTACTGAAAAGCAATTTGTCCTATCTAAATTCATGAGAAAAATTATCTTGAAACATCAGCTAAACAAGATTATGCAGTCGGTGTATATCAAGAACCTGAAGCATATCTTACGAGTGTTCTTCCAATTGTGGAGAAAGGTGAGAGTTATGAATGAAGTGTTAAATTCTTACAATGCTCGAAAGAGTCGATCGCTCAAGCGAGAATTCTGGAACTTGTGGGTAGGAGAGCTAGCTGTTAAAAGCGCACAACTTACGTTTAGGAGAGAGAGATTGTTGAAATGGGCGTTCAACACTTGGAAAGCAAATTTGACTTCAAGACAGAAAGATCAGGCTTCTTTGAAAAAGCCAGTGCTTACAGTGTTCCTCCAGAAGTGGAAGTTGAGCTTCCAGTTACTGCTTTGGAAGAAAGAAAAGGACCACGCTCAGATGAAGAATTTCCTTTCGGCTATGAGACGCAAGCAAGGACAAAATCAAGATAAAGCTGAATTAGCGCTTCAATTTCACGATGAAGCGTTAAGGAAAAGAGCTTTTGAAGCCTGGAAGATGAAGAATATTTCTGTTCGCCAACGGCTTCAAGACTCAGACACTTTTGTGCTTCGTAAATTTTCGTCCAAGTGGTTGTCCCAATACTCCAAAGTCCAAGATATGGTCTCTCTAGAAACGAAACTCGGTACTATTTCCGACAGACTAATCACCAAACTATATCTCAAATTATGGGTGCAAAAGCAACAAGAAAAGTACTCCTTGTACATCGATGAAAAGGTCAAATTCTTTGAGCGCCGTGTTCAAGGGCCATTGGTTGTATCCAGATTCTTTCGTCATTGGGTAGACCAATTGATAATTAGAAGGAACCAAGAGATGGAAATGGAGCAAAAATGCATTTCTTTTCAGCGTCATAGCGATACTTTAAAGTCATACTTACACCACTGGCGTGAGTCAGCATTGGCGATCGAGGAACTTGAAGATGATGCGATCGAATTCGAACTGAAAATGCTAATGAAGAAGGCTCTAGTAATTTGGTACGAACGGTATACAAGCAACGTGCAGTTGACAGACCTTAGCAACGATTTCAGGGATCAACGAGAATTTTCAAAGCTGAGAGAAGTCCTCAACGTCTGGTCCATGAAGGTGCTCAAATACGTTAAACGAAACGAGCAGAGTTGTACTTTGTTCATCGAAAAATGGGATCAAGCAAGAAAAAGAGATTTCTTTGATTTGTGGAGATCGAACCTACTAGCCAGCCGCAACGTCCGCGACGACGATGGTGATACTACAATGTCCAATCAGTCTCCTCTAGCGAGTAAGTCGACAAGAAATTTAACGGGAAGTCCTAGCTATCTCAATACGCCTCTCAAGAGGTCACCACCAAGAAACCTCAACACCTTTTCTTCCTCAAGATTAGAGTCAACGACTTTAAGAGTCAAATCTCAACGAATAAGTGCACTCAAGCGACGCTTTGAAAGTGCAAAGAGTAGCAGCGAAAGGGATGCTCGAGACTCTCGGCGAGTATCTGAGAGCTATCAGCAAAACTACGTCAGACTTCTGCCTCCAAAAGTCAGGAATTCTTACAGATCAATTCTGCCTCCAGAGCCGCCCAACTTCGACATTAAGCGAAACAAATACGCCGGCTGGGTCCGAATCCCATGGATGAAATGTCAATTATAGCTACTGCAAAGAAGCTCAGGCGGATCACGCCCATCTTCATTCCAACAGAAGATGACACAGAAAAGAGCCCCAATGTTATATTCTAGTTCGTATATACTCCCTCCAAATCGTCTATCTCGTTATTCAATTTTTCACCAACTTTATCAAAGTCCAAATCTTTGGTCTCTTCAACTTTTTCTTTTTGTTCAACGGATTCTTGGATTAGGTGGTTGCTTGACGCCTGTTGCGAATCTGGTTTTATCCTCTTGTAGACGTAGAGGTAATCCAGCCGAACAACCATAGCCTCAAGGAGGTGCTTTACAGTGTCAATTCGTCCATGTGTCAACTCGTTGAGAACCTGAAGCAAAAAGGCAGGAAGAACTGATTTGTCTTTTTGATTCTGCTGGACAAGAAAGAATAATGGACGCATGGAAATAGCTTCAAATTTTTTTGCTGAATAAATCATTGTCCAACTAGACCCGTCAAAGGATATTGAGCTCTCGTTGTAGACTCGATTGGACAATCGTTTTTCAGTTACAAGCAAAGAAAAACTGTCCCATAACTCCAGGAGTTTTTTTGCATCTTCTGTTTTGTCAAACTGAACTGATGGGCTGTGAACCTCCGTAAACTTGGTGATTCCCGTCATACAAGGTTCGACATCAAGATGGGCCACGCCAGGGTGTTCAAGCATATAATGATTAGCATATTGAATCACATCACCTCCAGGGTAATTGAAACTCGAGACAAAGCTCATCAAGAACGAAAGTAGAATGCTGGAGCAAATTCCAACAAAAAGCACGAATACGAGGAGTTTGCTGAGAAAACCTTTCGATGCTTGACGTTGAAAAGAAGCTAAAGCATTAGCTGCCAGCATCATAAAAACGGGAACGACATAGATGATGAACCTCCATTCTTTATGTGGCTGGAACGACATCACAAAGACGTAAGTCAAGCACGAAAGAGTCAAGATTCTCAACGAGTTTCTTGAAGGATGGGTTATGCTGGGAGTCTTTTTGCTGAATGGGTTTGTTCCGTCATCAGCTGGATCGCTCAAAAGTCCTGAGGGAAGTAAAAGGAGCACAATTGGCGGTTTGAAAAGTTTCCACAACAACTCAGTGAAGTATGCAGAGAATGGATGTGTTCCCCATTGAGCGGCTTTGCCTTGAATTACGTTGAAAAAAAATGCTTCCAACTCTGGAACACAAAGTCTACCCCAGAAGTACGAGTCAATGAAGAAGGAAGTGGCCAAGCCCACAAAGGCTCCTGAAAACAAGAGGAAAGTGCAGAACGAAAAGCTGTAATTGCCAAAGCCAAGCGACGACATGAGGGCTATTATACCACCCAAAATGCCTACTTCCAACCTCAAAACTACGCCCACGAAAGCCAACCACGTCAACCCAGTGATATCACCACTTATGAGCTTGCTGAATGCAAAGTTAACCACAGGTAGAGCAATGAAATTGGGAAGGGTTCGCGACGAGTAGAAGAGTAAATGAAACTGAGACAAAACCAAGAGTGTGAACCAAAACCCGGTAACTCCTCGTTTGTGTTTCCTCTCGATAAACACCACCTGGTTCAATTGATCTCTAAAACGAATCAACATCAACCCGTTTGCCAAACCTAGGATACCTCTTACAAGCATTTGCAATGTCAATTGCAGTGAATCTGTTTTCATTAGATCAATTCCAACGAGTGATAATGGAAATAAAATAACTTTGGCGATCGCTGCTATCACCAAGCTCCCCACAAATGACCGTGGGACGGCTCCTGGAAAAGAAATGTGGTCGTAGTTCTTCTCAACCACTTGGTATGGATAGAAGCCATAGTTCAAAATATCATGAATAGCTTGAATGTTGAAAGATTCCTCGACCTTGGTGTACGGAGCCATCCCCATGAAGAGGATTATTACCAAAAGGACGCAGGCATCGAGGATCCTGATCTTGGCCATGGTTGTGGAGAAGATATATTTTCGGTGCGGGTGCGAAAAATACAAATTGCGAAATTTGGTTCCGTACTCTCATGGAAGACATACCCGAACTAGTGACAGATTTGAAAGAAACAGAGGGAAAACAGTACTCCAGACCTTCTGCAAATGACAACTATGTGGCGAAAGAGCCAGAATTGCCGGTAGATACCGATAAGAAAATCCCAATAACTATCATCACTGGATATCTCGGATCGGGAAAGTCTACGCTTTTACAAAATATCGGTAAAAATTCCACGAAAAAACTCGCCATTATCCTTAATGAGTTCGGCGACTCTTCTGCAATCGAAAAGCTGGTCACCATTCAAAACTCGAACGATGCCGTTCAGGAATGGTTGGACCTAGGCAATGGGTGTCTTTGTTGCACCGTCAAAGATAATGGAGTTGTTGCCATAGAACAACTTATTGCGAGATCAAAAGGTTCCATAGATTACATTTTGTTGGAAACAACGGGCATAGCAGATCCTGCTCCGATTGCTAAGATGTTCTGGTTAGACGAAGGTCTCGCTTCTAATGTGTACATCGATTCTGTGATTACAGTTCTTGATTCAGAGAATATTTTGACTTGTTTGGATGATGTTGGTGGCCACTGGCACCGCCAAAACAACCACCTCAAGTCTGTTCAAAGTGTAAACCCCGACGATGTCACCGAAGAAGAACTTCGAATTGAGAAAAACCAGCTCGAAGAAGGAATTACTACCGCACACCTCCAAATAGCCTTGGCCGATGTTTTGCTCGTTAACAAAATGGATCTTATCAACGAAGAGAAACTAGCCGCAATCTGCTCTAGAGTCCGCAAGATCAATGCCTCGGCACCCATATACTCCACTCTGTTTGGAGACATAGACTTGGACAAGATTCTTGATAGGCATGCGTTTGAGGCTAGTTTGGACAAATTAACTACATCCTTGAGCTACACCACCGACGCTTCGTTCCACGACGACAGAATATCCACCATAACATTACTGTTTCCGTTCTTCACCACGGATAACTTTGGCGCTGTCGACATGTTTCTCAGGTACATTTTGTGGGAGAACAAAGCCAATGGAAAAGACATAGAGGTTCATAGAGTGAAGGGAATATTGGTTAAAGATGGAGAAACGAGAGACGTCCGAGTGATACAGGGTGTTCGTGACACCTACGACGTCATCAAGGGCGGCTCTTTGGCCGATGGAGTCAAAGAAAATAAGTTGGTTCTTATAGGAAAAGGATTAAATAAGCTGGATTTGGAGATTGAGCTTGATAGGTATATCTGACAAGTGGTAAAGTGCAAAATGAAAATTCAGTAGTATGACGAAAAGACAGAGTAAAACAGAAAAAGACAGAAAAAGAGAAAACAACTAACACAACACAGAACAGTCATATACCTAATAATATCAACTGTGGTCTTCCCCCACAGTCCCATTCTCGCATCCACACACCCGCACGTCAAGAAAATTCTGTCGCAGCTCGATTCTACAATGAGTGGTAACGAGCCACCTGCTTCGCCTAGCACCACAGGTGAAACTCCTAAGCCAAAGGTCAAGAAACAATGGAAGAGTCCGGCCTTGAGAATGATGGGGATTCCTCGTTTCTCTCTTCCATCTCGTAATTGGCTCATTTTCTGGACGGTCTTGGCAGGCATTGGTGGAGGAATCGCCTACGATAAATACGAACAAAAGCAGATCAGGGCAAAGTGGATGAAGCACGTCGAACACTTGAGCCAGGAGGCTTATCCCAATGACCGAATACCTCGAAAAATGTCAATTTTCATCGCTCCTCCTCCAGATAACTTTTTGGATGTGTCCATGCAATATTTCAGAAAATACGTCAAGCCTGTGTTGAACGCAGCCGCTGTAGATTACGAGGTGTACAGCGAGAACCGCCAGGGAGATATTCGTGCTAGCGTGGCTGAGAAGATTAGAGAATTGAGGAGAGAGAGAAGTGGTGTAGAGAATACTCAGAGTGACCAGAATAGTCGAAATAATTCCCCGAAAGATATGCTTGCTTCGTTTAAAAAGTTGACTGGTGGTGCTCCGAAGTCTGAGGACGACGAAGAAGTACTCGTAAAGCGCCTGGACTTATATAAAGTGAGAGACGTTCTTGGGTTCTATTATTTCAACGACACCATTTATCCTCACCGAGACGACGAGCTTGACCCGGAAAAAGCAGGTGGAGTCATTTGCATTGGCCGTGGTGCATTTAAGGAGTATATGGCGGGAGTCCACGAGGGTCTTTTGGGTCCTTTGGAGGCTCCCGAGCCAACAGTCGAAAAAGTTAGCGAATTCAAAAATGAAGATGGTAATTCTGATGCTACAGTGAGCACCGAAACGAAGGCTGAAGTTGCAGAAACTACAATCGACGAAGAGACTGGCGAGACGAAGGAGGAAACCAATCCAGTTCCCAAACCATTCATACGACCCGAGCAATATGCCGATGCTGAGTTGGCACCGGAACTCGATACCAGCAGACAAGTGTTGAACGACAAAAAGGTTCCTGTTCTCTTTGAACAGCCAGTTTATGTTTTCGCTTTACCAACAATTGTGGGGTTCACCAACACCCCTCGTAAGATATACCGATTTTTCAACCAGAGGTATGAAGCCGACGACTTTTGCAGAAGAACAGCCCAACTCGTAGACAACAAATCCAGGCCGTTTGAGTACAAGGACCAATTCATGGCTAAAGAGGAGGAGTCGGAGTGGCCTAAAAAATGGGTGCAAAAAGGAAAGGACAAGGGTTCTGAATGGGTTCAAGAATTGGTGGTGGACGATCGGATTGCCCAACGGTTCCGTGTATTCGAAGTTGACGAAAAGTAGGGACGACTTCACAACATTAAGTGTATGTAAATAGTGGAGATACTTAAGAGGGTCTTGCTTCCAGTTTGTACATGAAGTAAAACTTTAAATACAGATTAGGCTACTAATAAGTGAGCATAGCAGGCTAAGTCACCAAATACAAAGCCATCAGGTGAGATATCACTGGTCCAAATCAGAAGCTCATGAAATACGAAGCATAATTTTAGGTTGATTGTGGAAGTTAATAATATAGTTTACAGAGTTTAGTCCGTTTTAAGGCGAATTTAGTTGTACGAAGTTAATTGTGTAGGTAGTTTATAATGTCTCTAGTACGTCAGAGGTTTGCAAATCTCGTTTACTAGAGTTTATCATTTTTATCAGATCAAGCTTCAAAGAGAAGCAGATTTGCGATCAATTTACAGCATCTCCACTTCTGGTAATTCAGACAACTGTCTATCGGCTTTTGGCAGTTGCAAGCGCTGTGCTTAATCCACTTAATGACCAAAAACGTACAGAGATGAATTAACTATAAGGTGGAAATTATGCCTAAGAAAGTATCTATCACATTCACACAACATTTGCAAAAGTTTCTATTGTTTTGTACATACTTTCCCCGACTCGGACTTGTTCGCACCTAACGTTTTCGGCCCGCACCGAACGCCGCGCACACTCCGGGGCTCGGTCAGGCAAATGCGACAGTAGCGAGTGTGATTCGATACTGATTAGGTGAGGGTCCTGAGTCATCGATCTGGTGTCTGGATGTGCCTTGGTTGGGTGTGTTGTCGCCGTACGGAATCGGAGGAAAAATGGCTGGTGAGGCGGTATATGTGTAGTGAAAAGCGGTGGGAGCTGTCCGTGTTAACTTCACCATTATTCACCGACCCAATCACGAATTATTCCCATGGTCGTTTCGGCATCGAAATCGGCGCCTGCATACAGACCGGCGGACCTCGAGCAGAGCCGGTAGCGGCCCTGAGTGTGCTGCGCTCTCATTGGCTACTGATATCAGATTGCAGGAGAATTTTGCACGGTTGCAACCGCGTGCAACATGACCTTTAAAACTATAAATTCGCCAAGTCGCCATCGAATTTTTCATCCATAATGGTTTTGCCTCACGAGCCCGAATTTCAACAAGCTTACAACGAATTGGTTTCCGCTTTGGAGGAATCCACCTTGTTCCAAGAACACCCTCACTACAAGAAGGTGATTCCTGTTGTTTCAGTTCCCGAAAGAATTATTCAATTCAGAGTTTCATGGGAAAATGACAAGGGAGAAATCGAGGTGAACAATGGTTTCAGAGTCCAATTCAACTCGGCTCTTGGTCCTTACAAGGGAGGATTGAGATTCCACCCAACCGTCAACTTGTCGGTGTTGAAATTTTTGGGATTTGAACAAATTTTCAAAAATGCCTTGACCGGTCTCTCCATGGGTGGAGGTAAAGGTGGATGTGACTTCAACCCCAAGGGAAGAAGTGACGCTGAAATTAGAAGATTCTGTGTTGCTTTCATGAGACAATTGGCCAGATACATTGGTGCCGACAGAGATGTTCCTGCTGGAGACATTGGTGTTGGTGGTCGTGAAGTTGGTTACTTGTTCGGTGCCTACAAGCAAATGCAAAACAACTGGTCCGGTGTTTTGACCGGTAAGGGTTTGAGCTGGGGTGGTTCTTTGATCCGTCCTGAAGCCACCGGTTACGGTACTGTCTACTATGTGGAGAAGATGATTGAAAAGGCCACTGGTGGAAAGGAGACTTTCAAGGGTAAGCGTGTTGCCATTTCTGGTTCTGGTAACGTTGCCCAATACGCTGCTTTGAAGGTTATCGAATTGGGAGGAACTGTGGTTTCTTTGTCTGATTCTAAGGGAGCTCTCATTTCACAATCTGGTATTGTGCCTGAGCAGGTTGAGGCCATTGCTGCCGCTAAGCTCAAGTTCAAGTCATTGGAAGAAATCTGCAAAGAATCTGCTTCCATTTTCTCGGGCAAAACCGAGTACATTGCCGGTGTCCGTCCATGGACCAAGGTTGGTCAAGTTGACGTAGCATTGCCATGTGCCACCCAAAACGAAGTCAGCGGTGACGAAGCTAAGGCTTTGGTTGACGCTGGATGCAAGTACATTGCTGAAGGTTCCAATATGGGATCCACCGTCGAGGCTATCGACGTCTTCGAGGCCAACAGATCCAAGAATGTTTGGTATGCTCCAGGTAAGGCCGCCAACTGTGGTGGTGTTGCCGTTTCTGGTTTGGAAATGGCCCAAAACTCTCAAAGAGTTTCCTGGACTTCTGAACAAGTTGACGAAAAGTTAAAGAACATCATGTACACCTGTTTCGAGAACTGTTACAACACTGCTATCAAGTACTCTACCGAGAAGAGTGCTTCTGGCTTGCCATCTTTGTTGCAGGGTGCTAACATTGCTGGTTTCATCAAGGTTGCCGATGCCATGTTTGACCAGGGTGAGGTGTTTTAGATTGTATATTATGAAGTGTGAAGAAAATGATTAAAATGTGAAAAGTTAGAGTGTAGAAAATTTTCATTAGTGATATTAAGATTAGGCTCTGTTGCAAGCTTTTTTGCAACCTCTTTCCTGCACCCACCAAGTTATAATTTCCACCGGGTTGACCTAATCGGGATTCTAGTTTAATACGATATTGTTGAAGGTGATTATAGTTTAAAATGGCATCATAGTGCGCGGCAAGGTCCTCCCTCTTAACTACGTGGTCGGACCAATCCAATCGGGACGTTAGTTATTTGATATTGTAGGGACTTTGTATGAAATATACGCATGTGTGCAGTATAATTCCCTTGTGCTTCAGTGAAATGGCCCTTTAGGCTACGGAGCCATTTCCGGTCCGGTCCAGTTGACGAAGTGCAGCGTCGTTCCCTCTATCTGAGTCGTTTTCTCGTTCTGCGTCGTTTTTCTTTTCCGTGTCTTCTTCTCAGTCTTGCCTGGTTGATGAAAATCAGGTGAATTCACGAATTGAGTCAACTCCTCATCAATCCGTTGTTTGGTACCTTCAGAAAACAAATTTTTAGGCAGCCCGCGACGAACCACAACGTCCTTCATGTCCGACCACGATACAAACAAGTCCCCCAAACCTCTTATCTTATGACCTTTAAATAAACGATACTTTTCCACCACACTCAAGGAGGTATTTTCATCATCAAACATCTCACCTTTGTCTTCAATATATTGATAAAGGAGCTTGCGCCTCGATAAGTACTTCCGTTCTCCCTCTGACTTTGTCCAATTGGCGCTTTTCACAATTTGATGTTCCTTCATAAGTTCCATGATGGTACATACATTCTCTCCAAGACAAAGCGGGGCCACCTTTGGAGCTTTCTCGACTTTTTTGCGTTTCGGCTTATCGCTCAGCTTCAGCTTCCGCTTCGTCATACTTGTATCTTGAGACGCTTCATGAGCAGTTCCATGCTCCGCCGATGCATCTTCACCTTGTTCGTCAACAACGAGGCTGCCAAGTTCTTGCGAGGAATTAGGTGCCAATAGCGGTGACAGTGGCAGCAGCGGCGGCAGCAGCAGGCACGTTGAAAAAGTTGAAGTTGTCTTTCGTCGCTTGTTTTTCGGAGCGGGTTGATTATAATTTTCCCGCAACATCTGAATCACGTTCTCCATTCCAGCCTTGATAACTAAGTTGTCATTGTTCATTTAGTTCGTCATTTTCCATCTTTGTCAGTATTTCTTCCATCTTCGAGACTATATCTTTTTTTAAGCTTCTCCCTTCTTCATCAGCTTTGCTTAGTTTGCTTAACACCTTGGCGAGTCGTTGTGAGTGTCTTAGTTCAAGATCAAGTGTGCGTGTTGTGAAGACGTTTAGGATTTTTTGCAACCTTTCATCACGTTTAGCTTCGATGAACTTCGATGCACGCTCATCCAATTTGTCTGCAGAATCTTCCTCGGCTAGCGTAGAGAGTGGGTGTTCAGTTATGCTATCATCGTTTGAATAATTGGGATCTTGAGACTCTCGGTAAGACACCACACCTTTGTAGGAATTCTACACGCGTATGCTGAAACATTTGACATAAGTCTTTTGCAGCTATATGTCCACTATGGTGTTGACTTATACTGTGTTGCCTCTTCCGATGATGAATATATCATTTGTTGAGCGCAATTGGGGAATTATAAAGTTTCGTGTCACAAGGTATAAAGGTGAATTTGATTTAATGCGGTAAATTATTTTATTAAGAACTGTATGCTTATGTACAGTCCTTTTGTATCAAGAGATCGGAGTAGATAATAAATTAGCCGATTTTGAGAGCCTTTTGGACTTGTAGGGGAGTGTAGTGCCATAGGAGATAAGAAGAAAAGCTTGTACTAGTCAATTTTTCACATGAACCATTGGATCATTGGATCAATCTGATATTCATGGTTCGCATAATTTGAGATTTTGCAACAATTTGAAATTTTGCAGTTCAAGACGTATAATCAAAGAGGCACTAGCAAACTTACATACTTTTCCATAAACACGTACAGCTCCTCACTTTTTAAGGCTAAGGTACATTTTGCATTAGCGCCGTATCTGCAGTAACTTGGACCGCACCATTTCGCGGACTTTTATCAAATTCAATTGATCCATATGACCTCACTCTACAAGAGGAGTAGAGTAATTATTGTGTGCACCAATTGTAAGAAACGGAAAAAAAAGTGTGACCGCAAGGAGCCATGCTCGAGTTGTATCAGCAACAATTTGGACTGTGAATACACATATTTTAACCACAAGCCTTACACTCAAAGTGCCTATGTTCCTGCCGATCTCGGACAAAAAAATGAAAAAATTGGAAAAAGTGACCATCCGGCCACATATCCTTCCAGGTATGAATCACTAGTTGGAATAAATCCATATGCGGATCACTCAATTATAAATTTTTACTCCTCGAGTACACTGAATAGTCCTTTGTCTTGGGAGGCATTGATTGGGAAAGACAAATTTGTCAACAGCTTATGGTCAAGTCTATTCACAGCTGACGTGGAACCACTTCAAGTTGAAGAGAAGAAACAAAGTATAGATTCTTCATCTTTCCATTCAAGGTTGACCAACATTATTCCAGATCCTTTCACAACATCCCAATTGATAGATCGTTTCTTTTCATGGGTGTATACGTTCATTCCGTTTATGGACGAGGCCACCTTCAGGACGCGTACATCCTCAATTTTGGGCCAAGAACAGTCCACTGATTATGCATGGATAGGAATCTTGTTGATCATTTTGAGATTCGCTTCCTTATCTCAAGGCACAAATTGTTCTCATCTCGTCAAAACAGACGCAATTGATCTAGCTTGTGAGTGTCTAGTCAGATCTCACGATTCGGATGACAACTTTTCTGTCTTTGTCTTATCTTTCTTTCTCAAATTGTACCACAAATTTTCTCCTGAAGTTTCTGGAATACATGAAGGGGAAGCTACTCAGCGAGCCAATAGATCGTTGATTGTCCGTGCTAAATTACTTGGCTTGGAAAGGGGGAACTTTCAAGATTTCGGACCTGGAACAAAACTAATGCAACAAAAGATATGGCAGTTTTTGATTATGGCAGATATGTATCAAGGATATACATACGGCTATCAATTATCAATCGCTAATGGGGCCAGTCACATAAAGTTTGATGACCAGAAAAATCTACTTGACCAGAATTTCGACCAATTTGTGTTAGACATGTTTTTCCTGAGCTTAAAGTTCAACGATAAGTTGATTAATCTATTAAACTTGATTCTTAACCCAGATGGGTCAGCCACATCAGCAGTTTGCCAATCACTATCTAATTTCGAGATTATAATACTGAACGAAGCTGGGACGTTTGAAAATTGTCTACAAAATAGGGAATCCGATTTAAGACTATCACTTATAAAAAGACAATTTTCCATCAAAAACTATCTCGTTTTCGCTACTTTTCTTGTGTCGATCTTTTGGCACTTGTTCCTTCATTTCGAGGATCAAAATGTCAATCTTTCATATTACTACCTCGTCAAATCGACGACTTTAGTCAATGAACTACTCATATATTTGCCGACAGCATTATCCTGTGATGAATGTTTATTCGTTATTTGTCCATCCATTGAGAAGTTTATCAATAGAGCTAATCAAATACTTTTAGGTTTAGCTTTAAGATTTTCTCAATATAGACATAATTCTGTTCGAGACGATGCATACATAAAACGACTTGCTTCAATCGAAAAAAACTTTGTCAAGTGCATTCAATTTTCGTTCACGATTCTAGACAAGCTACCATCATACTATGTTAACGGTAAAAGGATCAAAAGCGTTCACTCGATCCTCTTGAACAAATTGGACAGTTTCGAATTTGCTTCAACTAGCAAAAAATTGCCTAGTCCGTTTGATGTGGTGCAATTAGAGGATATATTCATGAGAAGTCAGATCCCAGATTTTGTGGGATTGGACTTTCAAACTTTACAATTTGCCGACGAAGTCATGATGTTGAATTTTGATGTGAAGGATCGTATATTGGATTTTGACAAATACTTTCATGCTTAAGAGGCGAATTTCGACAGAGCTCTTAATTGAGGTCCTTTCCAATAAAACACAACTGGTATCAAGATCATCGCAGTCGCAATAAATCCCAAGACACTAGAGCCCCAACCTACTGGGTAATCTCTCAACGCAAGGTTTCTATATAAAGGCTTTGCAAATAGAGGTGCCACACCTGCAACAACCGACCTCCACAAGCAATTACTCGCAAAAGCTGAAGCCGAATAACGAGGAAATGACATCCCTAAATAATTGAGTAAGGTTTGAAAGATCACAAAGTTTGCCATGCCCGCTAGACAGGCTCCAACCAACGTCCCGAACCAATGAGCATGAGGAGTTGCGCACCATGAGAAGATGAAAATACCCATTGGTAAACATATTGCACCCACTATAGCCATTGGCAAAAATACTTCTGGGTATATCTGTTGGTTACGCAAAAGCTTCTTTGTGAACGCAAGGTAGATGAAAGTGACATAAACGAAAGACCCAATGATCACCCCAGCCAAAATACTTAGGAAGCATAGCCCTTCAATTATTGTGGAGAAACCAAAGACTTCTTTATAGACTATAGGGAAAGCTTCAAACCACAAATAAAGAACTGAGTAGATTAGTGCTGAGTACACATTGATCAAAAAAACCACTGGCTCCACGAGCGTGAGTTCAATAGGTCTCCAAAGATACTCTCGAAGAAATCCCTTGTCAATTTGATTTTTCATTTCGTCGCTTGTTCGAATATCATCATTTCCCGTCAACTTTCTCAATAACTTTGCCCTTTCATATTTTAGTTTTGGAGGGTAAGTTTCGGGTAAGAAAAGAGACAAAATAACAAAAGATGCACCTGAAAGTATCAATAAGAACCAGAAACAAAATCTCCAGTCTCTTTTAGTGCTCAAGACTGCACCTATTAACGGTCCCAATGACGGCCCACACAAGGAACAGATTGCCCATATACCAATTACAACTGGCATATAAGGAACAGCAATAATATCGCACACAGACGCAGCACCAGTTGCCAACACCGGAGAAGCAAAAATACCACTAAGAAATCTTAGAATGCAAAGCGATGCAATATTTTTGGCAATTGCGGTTGGAAGTTGAAGAATTGCGAAAAGGAAGAGGGTAATAATATAAACAGGATTCCGCCCGATTTTGTAGTGTTCTGTGATAGGGGATAAAAACAAAGGACCAATCCCATAAGCTATGACGAATAAAACCATAGGTAACAAGGCGACTTCTTCACTGATTGCAAAATCCTTCATGATTTGATCAATGCCTGGAGTGTAAATTGCCAGTCCAATGTAAACAGAAAGACTCAAGAATCCGATTTCAAGGCTGAATATTGCCTTAAGGTACACGAGCCAATTATGTGGATTATCAAGATTATCTTCATTATCCCATTCTTCTTGGATCAATTGATCATAAGAGTCATATTTCTCATTGTATGTTATCAAGTCTAAACCTAAATGGTTCAGGATTCTGTCATGGAAAAGGCAACCAATAAAGCTTTTTTTGACAAAGTGAGAAAGCATAAACATAGATACTCAAATTCAAGTCATTGTCTTTATATACTTTTCGCAACCATCGAAAATTTGCAACCTCGCCCAAATAGGCAAATCGCCGCCCTGCCTTGCAGATCCAGCAAACTTCTTGCGGCATATATAAAGCCCTGTTTCACTGCTCATATCTGTTTTTAATGCAATCGCAAAACAAATATTACAGCACAGGATTCCAAAAAGAGATCTCGAGTACTCATACTTGGAGAACCATAGACAACTGTATGGGATTTATGGTTCCCTACATTCGGGGAACAGAGTCTATACTTGATGTTGGCTGCGGGCCAGGAACCATTACAATTGACTGTGCCAGAAAATATCTCGAAGCCAAAGTTGTTGGAATTGATACGTTGGAAGAATTAGCCAATGTAGGAAAGAAAGTTGCAAGTGAGCAGGGGTTGAGTAATGTCAAGTTCGAAGTAGGGTCTGTGATGTCTCTACCATACGATGACGAATCGTTTGACATTGTCTATGTACACCAATTGTTGTTACATTTACCTGAGCCAATTGGTGCACTAAAAGAGATGACAAGAGTTGTTAAGCCAGGCGGGTTGATATTTGCAAGAGAAGCTGATTTGGATTCAACTATTGTGTACCCAATGGAGTACGAATCAATTAAATACTTTTTCAACCACTTTGCACTTGGAGAATCTACCGATACTACAGGCGGTAGAAAGCTTAAAGAATGGGCGCTTGAGTCTGGGACTGAGGCGAAAAATATAGTAATGTCGTCATCCACACAATACTATTCTTCGGTCGAGGAGAGAAAGCAACATAGACGTATGTATGCTGAAAGGTTACGGAAAAGCAAAGAAGGTGCTTTTGATAAGTACACGGTGAAACAAATTGAGGATTCCTGGGAGTTGTGGGAAAAAGACGAGAGATCATTGTTCGTGATGATCATGTCTGAGATTGTTATAAAAGTTTAATCAATTCTAAATTTCAAGAGCTTCTATACACTTTACCTCCAGTGAGACAGTGCTAGACTCAAAAAGAAACATACGAATAGATTGAGGAAAGTATCGTATATTCTAAACTAGTCAATATATTGGATAGAAGACATAGACATTAGATAGAGGAATATCGCATATTAGAAACTAGTAAAAATATACGATCGAAGAATTAGACTTTAGAGTAACTTCTCGAAGTCTAGATTGCCGTCTTAACACTCACGTGGAGGACGTGTAGAAGTCACCCTTCGCCAGTGTTACCACCCATAGTGACCCATAGTGACCCAGCTAAAAGTCTTTTGATCAACAAAACCTTGTGGTATTGGGGTTGCCAATACCACAACGAATTAGTAGGACTCAGAAGCTCCTTATATAGACCTCCTCGGAAAAGTTCTGAGGGTTTTTTTGGGATGCTACCATCGGACTTCCGATTGTACACCTTGGACGATCCCCTGTGTCGCTATAGGTCCTGTGTATTCCAACAGTCCCAATAACTTAAAGCTATGCTTATTAGGCGCTAGTACAATCTTAATCAAATTTTTTTTTTAGTGTATTCAATAACAATATTAATTCTTGTAATGTAAGTGATTGTAAATTAAATGTTAGACCTTTACTACTAAAAGAACCAATACTCATCTTATAGCTCGGAAAGGATGGGATGTAGAGTGAAGCATTTTCTTCATTTTGGCTCTTCAATTCGAGTCTAATCACATAGGCCTGTTCAGGTGGTTATCATGCAAGCGAAATGCTGTCAAGCAGATTCGCAGCCACAGAATTGCAACCCATCCCAATTAGGCAAATCGCCGCGGTTTCTTGCGGTGAGGATCCGCAACTAATTTGGTGAAACAAGGCTATATATACCACTATATTCGCATCTTAGATCCCTCAAAGAATTAGAATGCCAAACGACCAAGCATATTACAAGTCAGGATTTGACAAACTGGTGTCTGATACACACGCATGGCGCACAGTTTCTAATGCAGTTCCTTTCGTGATTCCTTATCTAAATAAGAAAGGAAGATTACTAGATGTGGGTCTGGGACCTGGCACAATTCTGAAAGATTTTGCTAATTATGTTGCGGAGGTGGTTGGGGTAGAACCAACTCAAGAGTTAGTTGATCTTGCAGCAAGCCAGCCAGATCTCCCCAAGCTGGTAACCTTCCAATATGGTCTGGCATACAATTTACCTTTTGAAGATAATAGTTTTGACTTTGTTCATGCTTCACAAGTTGTAGTTCATCTTGAGAAACCCATTGAAGCGCTAAAAGAAATGGAGCGAGTTTGTAAGCCCGGAGGCTATGTTTTTGTAAAGGACACAGACTTGAAACTGAAAGTGATATATCCAGAAAAGTATGCTTCTTTGTTGACGAACGCTGTGGATTCGAGAATCAAAAACCTGTCGACTCTGCCCATAGCCGGAAGACAGCTTAAAGAGAGAGCTCTAGCTGCAGGTTATAAGGTTGATAAGCTAAAATATTCGTCGCTGGTGTGGTGTATTAGTAGCTATGAGGAGCGACATGAATGGGCCGAAAGGTTTTGCTCCCGTTTAACTAAAACGAAAGAAAGTAACCTAGAAGGTGAACAGTTGGAAAATGTACTTCGTGCTTACCGCGAATGGCTGGAGGACGAAAGTGCATTGATGATCTTGATTCATGGGGAGCTAGTATATAGAGTCTAAAACAAAGGTGGATTTTTTTTATCATCCAACTCTACAATAAAAAACGAGCATATCTCATTCTCAACAAACTTTACCATCCTTACTGGACAACTTCCCTATTTCATCGAGTAGTATCTCTCTCATTTCACTTAAATCCTTGGTCTTGCAACTCCTGTTCCTGCATGCACCCACTTAAATTGTTCGCGCGCAAAGTATCTATATGGCCAACCTTCATATCAATGCCAACTTGCCGCTGTATATCCCTCTCCACCACGAGTTAGTGCGCGAGTTCGAGACCGCAGATTCCAACCACCTGCTGGTGCTTCAGGAAGTACAGAACGCGATCGACGACGTATCGGCCCAGGGAAAAGCTTATATAGACTTTGTACTTAGCGACGACAATCGGGCCCCAGTGCAGGTAAACCAGGATACCCTCAATACTTTACTCACCACATTGCGCCAGCATATAGTCAGCAAGTATGAGTTGGAGTGCTGGAAGCAGTCGGCCCACCAGGCTCGCGCAAGGATCAGAAATCAGCAAAGAAACGAGCCAGAATTGACGGTAGAAACCATGGACTTGTATCGCGAATATGGTGAAAAGCGCCAGTTTGCCGATGAAATAATTCACGATTACCAAGACGACAAAGAGTTGAAACAGCAAGAACGAACGATGGACCAAGTTGTAAACACTTATGACACATACGTGCAACTTCGAAACTTGGTTTACATTCTTCAAGACCCTTCCAATCCTCTTCCCACCGATGCCGATAACGAAGACGATGTAGCTGTTGCAGGTGGAAAGATTTCGTTGAGGGACCCCCTTTCCCTTGACTACTACGAGGAGCCGGTAATATCGCGGAAATGCATGCATGTGTTTTCCAGAGCCACCATTCACCAGTATCTCGCTGGATCATCTGGTCGTCTGGGTAAAAATTGTCCAGTCGATGGCTGCGAAGCAACGATCAGTTTCAACGACTTGAAACCCGATCTGATTCATGGGCGCTCCGCATGCAAAAGTGTTCACGGAAACGGCGGGGCGGGGAGCCAGAGAAAATATAGAAACGGATATAAAAATATTGATAGTAACTTCCGGTAATAAATAAGTAGTAAGGTTTCGCAGCCAAATATTCGCGCACGGTTTCTTCCTCATGTCAGTTAATCACCACGCCGTGGACGTTCCCGTCACCGATCTCGATGACGAGGACGATATTCTCTTTGAAGAAAGGCACAATATGCTCCACGACGTGTCGGATCTCGATTTTGAGCGTCCTGAACCCACTATTTCTTCAAAAATGAAAAACTGGTTTTCGAGACCGCCAGAAAACAGCTACGAAATGGTCAATTTTGACGACTTGGGATCTTCCGATAGCTTCGATTTAAACAAACAACCCGAACCCAAGATCTTGCGAACACGAAGAAGGCTTTTCCTTTCTTTTGGGTCACTTCTTCTCATTGGTGTGGTCGCAATAGTTTTCTACATTTTTGGAAAACTGTCCGGTTCAAACGTTTCCCATTCATTCAAGCGGATACTATCCAACTCTACCCATGACTTCTATCCCACCACCATTGTGGTATCTCTAGATGGGTTTCATCCTCATTACATCAACGAGAAGAGGACTCCTACTCTCCACAATATGATGATCAGTGATTACGGAGCTCCCTATATGACACCTTCATTTCCATCTTCCACGTTTCCTAACCACTGGACATTGATCACAGGCCTATACCCATCGGAGCACGGCATAGTTGGCAACACTTTTTACGATCCACAATTGCAAAAACAGTTTGTGAATACCGATCCTAAAAAAGGAGGCTTGGACCCTGATTTTTGGCAGGGCGGCGAGCCGGTGTGGAAAACAGCCCACAACTATGGTGTCAAGTCCGCAATACACATGTGGCCTGGAAGCGAGGTTCCTGGGGTTGGTATAAATGGTGGTCCGTTGCATGTAGATCGGTACAATGGAAGTGAACCATTAACTGCAAAAGTTGACCGGGTGATTTCCTGGATTGACAACGATATTGCCTCCAGGCCAGAGCTTATACTCGCGTATGTTCCAACCATTGATCTGGTGGGCCACAAGTACGGTATATCTGGTGAACATCTCGACAAGTCGCTTCAAGAAGTTGATAAATTCGTGCTGTCGCTTTCGAGTGAACTTGAAAAACGTAACCTCAACAACATTGTCAATTTGATAGTCCTTAGTGACCATGGTATGGCTCCGACGTCCAATGACCGTTTGTTGTATTTGGACGACGTTGTGGATTTGAACAAGATAGAACATGTTGACGGATGGCCCTTATACGGACTTCGGCCCAAATCCGACTACAGTGTGGAAGAAGCATACAAAGACATTAAGGCTGCGCTCAAAGGCAACGAGAACTTTCGTCTTTACAAAGTAGACGAGTTTCCCCCAGAATGGAACTTTGGTGCTGGCCATCGATTCAGCTATCGTCTTGCACCATTGTGGATTGTTCCGAACGTAGGATATGCTATTACCACACACAAGAACATGGAGGAGAACAACAATGACTACAGCCCCAAAGGTGTACATGGGTACAACAATACTGAGTTGTTGATGAGAGCATTATTTTTGGGTAAGGGCCCATACTTTGAAACGCTACTTCAAGCCGAGAAGAAAGTCAAACCGTTTCCTAATACGGAGGTATACAACATGATATGCGAGTCTTTGTTCATATCGCCAGCGCCAAACAATGGGTCCTCTTCTTTTATGGCGAAGAATAGTCTTCCTACAGATTGGAGAGATATGCTAGACTACCCCAGTTTACCCTTTGAGATTGAGCATATTGTGAATAATTCTACTTATGACATGCTTTACAGAAGTGTCGAGCAACAGGAAACAAACCAATCGCCTGTGGAGCATGGAGAAATCCACGATCCAACTACCTTAGTAACAACCACCAAGCTGGCTGACCACAAAAATGAGCACGAACACACCGTCACTGTCACCGCATCTCCCAATCCTAAACCGACAGAATCGAAACCTCCCTCCTACTGGCGTCCATCTTTCAATATTGGAGAGGGACTCAAGCATTTGGGCCATGAAATCGAGCAAGGCGTGGGCAGTGTGGTGGAGGAGATTGAGGATACGTTGGGAGGGTTGTTTAGCGACGACAGAAACTTATAAGCAGGCACCAAGAAAAAGGGAGAGAGGGAATACTATTACGAATTGTATGATGTACATTGAAAAACATTTACCATGTCTCGTAGGGATCTTTATCGCACTGGCTGATGGAGATTGTAGCCGAAGGAAGTTCCAGTTGCAATTGAGTTTTAAGATCAGCAAGAAAAGCACGCTCGGTATTGGAGTGGTTGCATGCAATTACTGAAGAGCCTTGTTCCTTAAAGTACAATGCTTCGTGATGAGAAAGCTCGCCGGTAAAGTAAAGGTCTGCTTCCACTCCGCGGAAAACCGATCCTCCGGAACCGGCGCAGATAGCGACGGCTGAAATTTTATGGTTTTTGTCTTTTCCAGCCCCTAAAGCAACCTGAACATACTTCAATCCAAGACTCTTTTTCACGTTTTCCACCAATTGTTCTAAACCAACCGGCGACTCAAATCGAATGAGTCTTCCCATGCCACATTCTGGGTCTTGAGAATCTGGCTGTATGATATCTTTCGAGGCTAATTGAGATCCCAGAGAGATACCACGGGCCAAAAAGTCATTGACTCCTCCTTTGGCACTGTCAACAGCCGTATGAGGCGAATAAACACTGATTTTATTTTGGATAAGTTGGATGAGCGAACGTTGCTGAGGGTCTTGTGGGGTAATAGATTTCAAGCCACGAAAGATAAAAGGGTGGTATGCCATGATTATATTGGTTTTGTTCTGGATTGCTTCCTCTGCTACTGCTCGAGTAAGGTCAATGGTGAGTAAAACTCGAATTTCATTGCAATCATCGTCGGAACTGGAATCGACTAGGAGCCCAGTATTGTCCCAAGATTTATCAGCAAGTCTGATTGGGTAGAACTTTTGGACTGAGTTAGCTTATGTATGTGTAAAAGCAAAAAAAAAGAACATACTGGCATTGACAAACGTCTTTACTGCTTGCTTCGACATGTCAAGGAAAAAGTTAGGTGAAATGAAAAAAAGAATGCGCAAACCCGGAATCGAACCGGGGGCCCATCGATGGCAACGATGGATTTTACCACTAAACCATTTGCGCAGGAGTAGTTCTTGCCTCCTGCCAGAATTGAACTAGCGACCTTTGCATTACAAGTGCAACGCTCTACCACTAAGCTAAGGAGGCACAACTGTTAGAGAAACTGGCAAACACCTTTAACATTGCAGTGCATAATATCCTTGCGTTTTGACACTTGCATGCATATATGCATATGTTGCATACGTCATATCTGAACTCAATGTCGGTGGGATCAATTGAGTGGAATATTGTTGCAGAATCCACCTCCTCTTCCTCGTAGCATCCTTGGGCAAACTCTCGGGAATATTACCGTATTACTCATCTGTACTCTGCATACAGCTTGGTAAGTGCACATTATAGATGAGATGGGGTAATTTGCAACCCCTTTGAAATTATCGATAAAACCTACAAAAAAGTTTATGCTGTTGAGGAATAGCTTGGAAGAACTGCTCTTGACGTCAGAAACCGCTGATGAGGCCAACATTCCATCGCCCATCAACAAATCTACTCGGATAGATGTGGGCGCAAATTTCTCGGAACTTACCCCGGAAAAATACACAATTGAATACGAAAACGAAACGCTCTTCATTGATTCGCTTGATTGGAGGCAAAGTAATCTCCTCAAGGCACAGATCGTCACTTCTTATGCGTGCTACATTATTTTTGGCATGGCGGAGCAAACCGTCGGTGTCTTGATTCCCAAATTTCAAGCCTATTATGAGGTTGATGATATGCAGACAAGTTTCATATTTTTAGCAGTTGTGTTGGGATACATTATCTCTGCTGTTTTGAGTGAAACAACCCATCAGAGAGTCGGAGTGAAAGGTGTTCTTATGGCTGGAGGAATTTGCATGGTTTGCGGGTACTCGATGATTTCGTTAAAACCACCATTTTTTCTTCTTGTATGCTTCTACGTTTTAAACGGATTGGCATTGGGCGGCCTTGATGCAGGCATCAATACATGGATGGGAGGATTAAAGGATTCAAATCCAATTTTGGGCATTTTGCATGGCTGCTATGGAATTGGGTGCATGATATCTCCACCTTTGATTTCTCATTTACTCTCCAGAAAACACAACCCATGGCAATGGAACTACTACTACTATGTATTGGCGTTGTTGGCTGTTTTTTCACTTGTAACCGTTGCCGTGACATTTAGATTTGAGACAGCAAAAAAGTTCAGGTACCAAACTGTCATGAAAGCGAGTGCGAGAGCCAAGCAAGAAAATGATGTGGAGTTACAGCTGCTTGATAACGAAGAAGAAGAAACACCAGTGGAAGACCATGCTGTTCCGTTTCTGGAAGTGGTCAAATCAAAACTTGTTTGGACTTTTGCAATCATCTTATTCATGTACGTTGGTGGAGAGGTTGCGTTCGGGTCTTGGTTAATATCTTTCTTGATGAGAATCAAAAAGCTCACGTACAAGAAATCGTCGTACATGGCTACCAGCTTCTGGACAGGACTCACGGTGGGAAGAATGTGTTTGGGGTTTGTCACCGAGATGTTCTTTGCTAATGAATTGACAGCTAATCTAGTCTATATCGGAGGCTCGTTTGGCGGATTGTTACTTTTCTGGCTCTTGGCGTTCACCAACGCAATCCCACTACTATTCTTGATCGTTTTCCTTACCGGGATATCCATTGGACCAATCTTTCCCACCACAATCGTGGCTGCGATTAACATTCTTCCGGTGAAATTTCACACTGCCGGAGTGGGTTTTATCTGCGCTTTTGGAGGCGGTGGCGGCGCAGCCATACCCTTCTTGATCGGAACCATTGCTGAGTCGAGTGCTTCGGGAATGAGGATATTTCCTCTTGTAATTTGCATTCTGTATGGGCTCTTATTAATAGGGTGGGGAATCATTACCAAGAGATATAATCATTAAATAGCACTTTATAGATCAAAAACAGGTCTCAGTTTCCACCCTGCGCTTTCCATTCCTCGGGAGTGAATCCCTTTTGTGTAAAAGCATGAATTGATGCTATTTCTTCTTTAAGAGCACTGTTGACTAATCGGTGTCTGGCCAATTTGTTCTTGCCAACGAAGAGCGGAGACACTATAATGACGGCAAATGCTTGACCACAGCCGCCAGACATATCTTCTACTTGAACCAAAGTTGCCTCAAGCTTGTCCTCAATGAGACTTTTCAAGGTGTCCGCAGTTAAGCTCATTGTACAAAGAAGAAATTCGTCACATTCGCGAATAATTTTATTCACTAGACTTACGCTATACTAATACAATTAAGATTCATGAGAAGTTTCGCCATATGACTCGGGCAATGCCTTTGAAAGCCCACGAGACACAGTATTGGATCTAACTTCCAGGTTGGAGTACGTCACAGGTTGCGATAATTGAACTGCAAAATTTTTGAAAAAACCACTGTTGTCTTTGCTCACCTTTTCAAGTCTGCTCATCACCTCCTTGGTGGTAATGTTGTTGGACTTGGTGTTGATTTCACTCTTCTCAAAAAACTGCCACAAGTCGTCAGGAATTATACTCATTTCCTCGTGCTGCTCAATCAACTGATTCACAACCTCAATAGCCAAAAAGTACGTTTCTCCTGGAGCTGAAGGGTCTGTTTGCTGACTTTGCCTCGAAACAAGGACATTGGGCGACACAACCGTGGCAAGGTTATGAATGTCCATTTTTGATCCTGTTTCTTCATCAATCTCAGCAAACGAGGCTACCCAGCTGAAAAAGTAGAGCAATACCTCCAACAAATTTCGATGGCTTCGAGGAAGCATACAGTAGGTCAATTGTAAGAGCCTTTTACGTAACACCAAGTCCTGTTCTCGCTGTGACTGGATCCACAAGTCGTGCAAGTTGTAAGTCAAAAGTGGATTGGGCAATTCTCGAATCCATTTTTTCATCAACGCAGCTAATTGCACCGCCGACTGTTGCGAAAAGTCCGGGGACTTGAGAGGATTCTTGTTGATTTGGTCCGTCAAATCTTTCAACTTCTTAATGTTACCATTAAGCCGAAAGATACCTTCAACAGACATATCTTTTTGTCTCATTGCAGTGATTATGTCGTCAACAACAATGGGGATTCGAAGTTTGGCCGGGCCCACCCCCAAGTCAGAATCGACGCCATATTTCTTGGTTAATTCTTGCAAATCAACACCGAAAACTGCCATATTGCGATCTTTCTTTCCCTCACCTCCTCCAATCTTCAATTTATCCCAGAAGGTAGGTGCTTTGCGGGTCTGAATTAAGCTCAAAAGCTCTTCCTTATTGTACTTGTTGTTCAGGATTTGAACGAGTGCCTCAATTGCTATGTGTCTCAAAACGAAATGCTCGGATTTTGATAACTCAGAATAATATTTGTTCCTCTTTGGGGGAGCAGAAGACTCTGATGTCTTCGCTCCTGATAGCGCCGCAGTACCACTCAAGGATACTGTTCTCACCGAGTTCATAGGTTTTTGCTTCTCATACAATGAATTATGATGTCTGTAAGCGTTAGGTCTCTGCTCTCTGGCTTGTTCGGCAGCCACTATTCTTGGGATATCATCAAGCGTCAAAGACTTCTCATTCTTCAACAAATCGCTAGTTCTGTCTAGATGACTATTGGTGAGATTTCTTTGAGGTTCATCTCGAATTCGTAACGATTTCTTTCGACTCACGTTGAAGTGATCACTTTCTACCTGTTGTGTAACGAAAGACAATTGCGAAGAGAAACTCGATTTTCTCGCCCCTGGTGTCTTCGATCCCTCCTCATCAACTATGTTTTCATTACTTTGATCTTCCTCCTTGGCTTCGTCGGCATCAGGGGTTTCCAACACGACCGATTTACGAGCCTTTTGCTTCACTGAGTTCGATAGCTTTTGACTTTGGCGCTTCGTACGTAATCTTGTGACATCATTTAAAGTCTTAGAATAATCTTGCTCTGCCGCATCTCTCACGGCACGCTCTTCGGCAATTGTCGCCATCTCATTTTGAGGAAGGGATTCCTGAGCATCAACGCTCATGATTGCCCTGGAACGCGAGAGTGCTATCTTGAGGAGAAAGATTAACTGCGAAAGGTTCGATACTTTTTCAAATCCGGGAAGAGAATCGGGTGTAGCGCAGGTTGCACAGAATATCTTCCCGTCCTTGAAAGTGGAACTCTTGATATCATCAACCAAAGAAGTTTTGCACTGTGAACAGTTGAAGCAGCTCAAGTGCCAGCGATGACTATTGTATCTGATGCAAGCCTTCTCAATGCTCTTGTTACACTCAGTACATGCATCCGATGCATTTGGTGCAACAGCTAGTCTTTTATCAATCGCTTCGACATTACTCTTGATCGAATCAGCTTCGATAATTGTGAACTCTTCGTAAAGCTTTGTGCGTGCAAAAAAGGTAGTCGTTGCCGTGGCTGTGCCTCGGAACTGATTCACCTTCAATGAGTTACTAAGACCAATTCTTATAAGAAGCTTGAGATAATGAGCACAGCCAGTGATCACAGACAAAATCTCTGTAGACATTGGACCAGATTCTGCAATCTGCTTGGACTTTCGCAAGAGTGCCAAGTAGCTCATAATTTTCCCCGAAATGTTACGAGGCTCCCTTTTCAACACTTGAAAGGGAGATTTGATTGGTGCTTCAATGTCTGAAATCATGGTCTCCTCCATAAGATCATTGTCAATTGAATCGCACATTCCCTGGACATAATCGATAGCACCGAACAACACATCCAAGTATATAATCAACTTTCCAGTAGCTAGCAAACCACCACCCTGATTACCTGTGCATGCGTTGAGCAACATGTCCGAAATACATGCCGCAGTAGCTTCTTCGTAACCAGAAAGTGTGAGCCAACATGTCATAACTGTTGATTCAATTTGGTTTTCAATATGAAGTAATGAATCTTGCAGAATATTCGATTCTTTCAAGTTGCTCAAGTCAAGCTGTGAAATACCTAGTTGTTTTTCCAATCCCACAGAATCAGCTGTTATACACACATTCCAAAACTTGTGAACCATGTAACATTCAGGATGCCACTGTTGGTTACGCCCACCTCTGAAAAGCTCAACAAACTGTTTGACGATAGACGAGTGACACCCTTCGCAATGAGAGGCATACATTTTCGAAAAGTGGTAGTGACAATAAATGCTCCCAGAATGTTCATAGTAACTTTCATCAGACTCGAATACACGCTGACATACCACACACTTGAAGTGTTCAAGATGGTATTTGTTGCCAAGTGCAGTGATGTAGGGACCACGGAGAGCTCTGTTACAATTAAAACAAAGCAAGTCCAATTTTTTGAAGTAATCGTACTCACATAGGGGCACTTGAAACTTATTGCCAGAAGCGTCAGTGGTCTCATACGGGAAGAATTTGGAAGCACACTGCTTACCACATTCAGCGCACGTAAAGCAATGAACATGGAAAGCATGCGATAATGCACGCACGAATTGTCCTGTTATATCCTGTTTACATACGTGACAAACCTTGCGCTTTTTTCGAGGTGAAGAGCCGGAGGCAGGAGCAGATACCTTGGACGAGTTGGTGATATCGCGTGATTGAGAAAATGGTTGTGATTGGGGTTGAGACGGGGCCCTGAGTGAGTGAGCCCTGGTTGAGTGATGAAGGAGGTTGCGACTGAGGTTGCAATTGAGGTTGTTTCTGATATTGAGATTGAGGCGGTGGAAACTGAAATGATTGTGATGGTTGAGATGGTATTGCTGGGAAGCTTCCAGGGACCAAAGGCTCAGTTTGGGACGACTGAGGCACATTGGAAGGAGAAGCCACGGAGTGACGATTGAAAGGCAGTCCGGTTCGTTTGGGATTAGCATGCGCAGCCGGCGGGTATGAAGGCATAGGAGGTATTAGAGTGGTCCAATTAGCGGAGTCTTCATGGCGGAAGCTGCTGGTATGACTATGACTCCTTGAATGCGAGCGCGGCAGATTTGTGCCTTGAAACTGAGGAACCGGCGACTGTGGCACCTGGTGGGCCGACGCAGACGGTTTATCAAAGCCCGACGAAGACACAAACGTCGAAGACTGTTGATTAGAGGGGCCCAGTTGAAGTTTTCTGGAGCGGGACATTAGGATAAATGAGTGAATAATAGTTGGATAATATAGCGGAGTTTCAAGTAGATATCATTAATATGGCCAAAGTGGGCTTATAAGATACGAATCAAGCCAATTTGATTAAAAATCACCGGTTTTTGATTTGAAAACGTCGACGCGGTAAACACCGTCGTCCACCAGCGCAAAACGCAGGAGAGGTTTCGGAGTGACAAGTGGTTTCAGAAGCACTGGTAGCGTCCCTGAGTGATTAAAAGTCCTCCGAAAAAGTTGGGGCAACGTGAAAGCAGATGCCAGGTCGCTGTGGATTTGTAAACGGTGATGTTGTTTTTAACGAGCCGTTTGTGAGCATTAAGCGAAATAAGCGCTGACATAAGCGGCCAAAAATACTATAAAAAGACTCGGTGTAAATACCAGACTAAAGTGCGCGGGAGAGGTTAGGGGCGATGATATCATTGACAGGCTGACAATCTACAATTCGGCTATTTTGACTTTGCACTTCTAACATTGTACTATTCATCGTGTACAATTTCTCTATACAAATTACTCTCACACACCTTTTCAGGTGTTTTTTGTAAGATCCTCCATGCTGCACTCGCGGAGGCCCTGCCCCGGAACACGGCGCCAGTACCGGCGCGAACTTCCAAAGAGCACCTGGCGACTTTGTTTCCACACCTGAAGCAAAATATCTTTTCGCGGCAACAACTGTGGAAATACTATTTGCAATGGTTTTTCTTCTGTATCGTCTTTTTGCGACCGTCTTAGTATGCACATGTAGAATATTACTTGGCCGTAACCATGAAAGCCCTCATTTATTACGATATCAATGATATCTTTCAGGGCAATGAACATGCTCTTGTCACTCTTATTGGTGAATCGCCATCCCAGAACCGAATCCAACTGGATCCCAACGTCTCGAATCACCAACATGGAGTCTTCCGGTTGTCGTTTACACATCAAAAATGCCAAAATCAAGATCAATCCCAACAACACCAAAAAACGTGGTTCGTTGATTGGAACGTTTTGAAACCTCTGTGCCACCAATGACCATACAAATGTGCTTTCGGGGTAGTTCAGGCGGCCCCAGATCCCCTGGAATCCTCCCATGCTGAAAAATTCATGTGCTATGATCGCTACGATTGCAACCGAAATCGCAGATGCCAATGATAATTGTATATATCGAAAAAGTCCGGGCCGAGGCTTTACGGTAAACTTGATGAGCCCACTGTCGGAATCCTGAGGCATCGGAGTCACCTCCAACACGTAGTCCTTGGGCGAAGACATGGTATGAATATCAAAGTGATAAAGGTTGACTCAGAGAACGAGTCAACACGTGATGTTGCGAGACCTTGCACAGAGGACGAAATGGGAAATGGAGAAAATAAGAAGATGGGATGAAGAAGTGAAACTAACTTTAGTGTAGGCAATTGAGTCTGAGGAATTGATCTACTGCTCGGCTCTTTCGGTTTGTTTGATCCATTTTTTTTTTGAATGTATTTGATACTGATAGTTGCAAAATTCATTAAAGTGCAGATACTGGAAAGATCTCAAGTTATTGAAGAAATTCGCCAAACTTAGGACACGCACTTGTTAAAAAATGCCGAAAATTGTTTTCTTCCTCCATTTAGATTTCTGATGCTTGTGAAATTTTCGCACCACTATTGCTGCAAATTTTCAGTATCGCTTCTACTTTTACCATATTGGTACAGTATTGTCAATATTCCACACTTAACAAACTACTCACGAAAGTGTACTTTACATATAAACGTCGTATTCTATTCGTACTATTGTCACTTTAACCTGATAAGTTCGCGGTAAAATTTGGCTGCGAATTGAGCAGTGAACAATGAAATAAATGTCATTCTTGGTGATCAGAATTAATACTCGATAAGCCATATGGCCACACCTTCATCAATGCCAAACCTAAAGTTTTGACTTATAATTTGCTCAATGTCCTTTATTGCGGTTCCATTAAACAGACACCACAAATTTCTGCTTGTCTATTCCTCCTCGCGCTTCTTATCGTCTATCAGACCCACCACCATCTCATTCTTTCGAAGTTCCTTCAACTTTTCTGCTCTTGTCATTGGCTTGGATCCAGTTCTTATCTCTATTTCTCGGCGACGATTCGCCTCGGCATCCTCCTTGAGTGCCCTTTCTCTTTCCAGCTTGATCAATGCCATATGCTCCTCATGAGTCACCCGCACCTGGCGGAGTTGTTCATTGTAGTATTCCAACGATTCTATCTTGTTATTTGACTGCAAGCAGTACTTTTCGAAATCCACAGGAAGTTTCCTTTTGAGTGCCAATTCGACAATCTCGGGATACTTCTTCTCCTCCAAGTTAAACTTCAGTTTGATCTGCTTCCTTGTTCTATACGGGAAGAGCTGTGCAATGAAAGTAAAGTCAGTACCCCAGGTGCTGAGCGCATTATAAAACTGAATTGCCTCGTCCGGTGTCCATCGGTCGGTGTGTTTTCGTCTGGAATATGTAGAAGATGTCACAGGGTTCTCAAATGGATTGGACTCTTCTCTTGACATAGTCAGGTTGGTTGTATTACGATGTCTGTTGACTATGGTGGAGTCTTCGTCCACGCCCAATTTACCAGATTTGTCAAGTTTGAGTCGTAAACCTGAAGATTGTGATGCTGGTTCGTCGTGGTTGAGAAGCTCATTTTGGGCCTTTTTCCTCTGTGATTCTTCGGTCTTGAGCTTCACGGTGTCCGCATCATTCAATGCCCGACGCTCCAACCGTGCCTGAAGCCTTTCCAGCCTCCTTTGTTTCCGCTCATTACGAATCCGCTTCTGAGCCGCTTTTACCAAATTAAAGTTTTCACTTATTTGACCAATCTCCAATGTTGGCTTACACAAATCAGCCATCGTTATATCACTCACGTCCAACTGAACTCGCTCCAAAAGAGGAATGTCCTCCTCGCGAATCATACGAGGAAGTTGTTTGATGCTGGTTATTCTTGTCTCAAGGTTCTTGGGAGCTACAGGTATCTTCTCTGGACCATCGTACTCGCCATCTTCTTCATCTTCCGGCACGCCTTCTGAAACAGACTCTGTGAACTCGGCCTCCGAAGCATTACCATTTACTCTGAATTTGCGTAGTTTGTTGGTTTTCGGATCAATTCCCATCACATATTTCTTACCAGTTTCGAGAGCAATTTCTGCCACTTTCTCGACATTTGGACCAGGTTCAGCCACCACTGTAGCACCACCACTCCGCAACATCGGTGTCTTCAAAACGGTAGGCCGCTGAGCCACCAGAGACCTTCTTCTCTTGGTAGGCTTGGCTACCGGGATAGAAATTCGCATCGGAGGAGCATTTTCTTCAGTTACATTTGAGGCGGTTGGACCCGCTGAGATCGACCCTAGCCTCTGCCGGACCACTGGAGGCGTAATACCCGATAGACGTCTTTGGGAAGCAACCAGTGATTGTCTTCTTGTGATTGTAGGTTCGTTAAATATATCGTTTTCGCCATAGTCTTCCTCTATATCGCTTTCGCCTTCCCCAGTAGCTTTTGTGGGCTCGGATACTACACCTTTAGACGAATCCTGAGGGTCTAGCGCCTCTTCTTCCGCAACCACGGCACTTTCAGATAATTGACCGATGCGAAATTTGACAGTATCTTCACTAGCAGGTTTTGCCTGTGTTGCTGGAGGAGTTAACGGGGTAGTCAGCGTGACCGATTTACGCCGCAAAGCATTTTTTTTGATTTTCGGAGCGAAAAGTGACTTCTTTACAACACTACTCATGGTGTTATCTCATCGAATACAATTAAACCCGTACAATGCACAGAACACATCCAGTGCACCAATTACCTAATACAAACTACTATGCAACAAGCGCTTCGATGAGCATCTCAATGAGGGCCCAGTTGCAGAATACATGGAACCTTCCCAGTGGGGAATGGGCGCTTTCGTTGCTAGATATGGATGGCAAGTTTGTAGTTTCTTCCAGTTCCGGGAAATTGTACATTTTTGATGTTTCGAATACTCAATCTGAACCGGTAGTAATTGCAGCCCATGATAGCAGTATCAATGCCATTGTCAAAATAGATAATCTTCATATTGCATCGTGTTCTGGCGATGGAATCAAGGTGTGGGACATATCGTCTCCCCAATTGCCTTTTGAAGACGCTAACAAACGCTAAAAAATTCGCCGTTTCTTTCATTGACTTATGCCAACCATCGTCTAGCTGGTGGAACTGAATTGGGCAGGTCAAGATGCCGAAGTTCATATTTGGGACTTGAAAAAAGACAGTATAGAGCCAGTACGCTCATTTATCGACTCACATCATGACGATGTAACATACCTTGAATTTCATCCTTCTTTATCACAATACTTAATGTCTGGTTCAACCGACGGTTACGTTAACATTTACGATCTTTCCCAAGAAGACGAAGAGGATGCTCTTCACCAGGTTATCAATTTTGCATCGGTGCATTCGTGTCAGTTTATTCAGGAACGACGGATAGCAGTTTTATCTCATATGGAAACTTTGGGATATTTTGAGTTGAACAACCAAGACTATGAAAATGCCGAGGAACCACAACCCAAAATCATTGGAGATGTTCGTACGATATGGTCGGACTGTGAATATGTGATCAAGGCAAGTCCACATTGTGGATATGTTGCTTATGGTGCCAATTCTCAGAGAAAATTAACTATACTTCCTTTTGACTGCGAAGCCGAACTGGTAGATCAAACCCAACCATGCTGGTTTCCTGGAGCCCACGATGAAGAAGTGGTCAGGGACGTTCTTGCATTAAATACAAACACAATTTTGACTTGTGGTGAGGACGGTGCCATCAGAAGTTGGGTGATGCCATGGGAATTGAAGTACAAACCTGTGGTTACAGAAACTGTCAAAGAAGTACCAGCTAAAAAGGAATCCCACAAAACTGAAAAATCAAAGGAGGAAAAGAAGAAGAAAAAGAAGAAGGAGAAGAAACAGAGAAAGAAGGATGTAAAGTTTAAACCATACTGAAGAAAAGAGAAGAACTCATAAACTTTTGAGAACTCAAGAACTGTACCTAGAAAGCCAGCTAAGAACTTTGAAGCTCAAATCGAAGGAACTAGGAACTCAAAATGTCAGGATCGTCAAAGTGAGAAATGATGACAATTAGAGCTTTTAGCTTTATGAAGAGGTCGAGAACACCAAAGGAATAGGAATGAACAATGAGAGAAGAACTCAACTGTAAATATTAATTGCTCTAATAAGATTCTAATTATGCTAGGAATTTTTTACTCTTGTTCATTTCCTTCAACTTCTTGTCCCCTTCACCACTACTGGAACCATACCACCAGTGGGAACCGTGAATTTGCGGTGGCCCACCACGGTAATGAATGCTCTTATCATGCCCGCATGCGATGTGATTGAGACATACTCATCTTTAAAGGTATCAAATAAATTTTGCAAGAAGCGGTTGGCTCGAAGAAATTGCTCATAATACTCTTCTCTGCGCTGGAATGAATCGAAAAGTTGGTCTTTCTCGGTGAAATTGTCCTCAAATGTAAAACTTGGAAACCGGTTCTGGATCTCCAGTTTCTTGCTTCTTTTATGACATAAATGCAACCCAATTGTTTCACGAACAAGCTCCGAGACAATTGGTGGGGATATTTCAATTCCTCTCCATGTTTCCTCAAGCGTACGACAAGATCTTTGAAGAGGAGACACAAAATGGACGGTAGGAATAGGAGCGTTCATTTGAAGCTGGTGACCCCAAGCGTCTCGATTTTCTTGCGCTTGCTTGACTCCCAATTCTGTAAGATGTGGGTCAGGTCCCCAGGTGATTTCGCCATCGTATCCCAAAAATCTCCATTTATCATGCCATTCTTGTGCCAGATATTTGGCACTTGCAATATTGTGCCAACCTTGGCCATGCCTAGCTAGAAAAAGCACTTTGTAACAAGTATTTTCGTTTGATTTAGCATTGAGCTCATGCACCTTGGACCGTATTTCCTCCCACGTCATTTTCCGCCCGAAATCTTGCTTCGTATACTCAAAAGCCATGTCATCGGTTTCATCGTCGGACTGCTTGAAAAATCCATCAACCAGCTCAAATGTCCAGGAAAACCCTCCACAATTTTTCTGCTTTTCTAGAGCCTCCGCATACACAACGTCAGCTTCCGGGTACCCATGCGCATCATGCCAATCTCTGGCATCCGCCGTTAAAAGGGTAGACATGAATTTCCATCGACATCGACCTGCATATGCCACTACCCGTCTATTGAGAAAAATACGTATGCGCCATGCACCTAAAGAATGTGCATATGCACGAACTGCATAGGCCCCACCTATAATGAGCAAGTAACGGCTTGTTGTTGGGGCTGCTAGCGGCAAAAGTTGCATTTATGGGCATGCTCATGGTGTAAATCAATGTAGATAGTTGCAAATCAAGCCAAAAAATACTTTTGTAGCCCATAAATTGGTCCTGATGCCCATCGAAAAAGACGCATGCGAGACGCATATATCTGTCAGAGAAGCAGCTGGCGCATGGGTAAAGGCCATATTGCAAAAGCCTTTTTTGAGTAACTATTACCAGGGAGCTGATTACCACTATCTACTCGATCGTATCTCTCGTTCAATACCCCGCCCCTGCATCAAAGTTGCTCGCATGTCCACGCCAGGCTATATTTACCGTTTCGCTTGGCAGGCAGCGGCATGCGGTGTACCGGTGTCCGCTGTGGCTTCCTTCAGATTATCCGGAAATGAGATCTTCATTAGTTTATTTCTATATTGTTCAATTTTCTCTCAAAACAATAGAGGTGCCCACGAAGTCGTGAACAACATGTCTCAATTTGAGGACACACCCCAGGCACCAGGTGCCATGAAATTGGAGGATACAAGCTCACGACAAACTCCAGAGCTCGATGGGAAACACCCGTTGGAAAATCACGACGGAGACACGAATGGCGCAGAAAACAAGAGAATCAAGCTAGAAGAGCATACAGAATCCAAAAATGGCCCCACAAAAGCGGAGCCGATGTCGGTAGCCCTGAAAGAAAATGGGGGCATGGTGGTGGTGCCGCCAGCACAACCGCAACTTTTCTACGTACCATTGAAAACCGGGTTAGTTTACGACGTACGAATGAGATACCACGCCAAGATCTTCACGTCGTACTTTGAGTACATTGATCCTCACCCGGAAGACCCTCGAAGAATTTATCGAATCTACAAAAAGTTGGCCGAAACCGGTTTAATTCACGATACTTCATTGTCTGGAAGCGACCATTTGGGACCCTACATGACCAAAATTCCCGTAAGAGAAGCCACTGCTGAAGAGATTCTCGAAGTGCATTCAAAAGAGCATTTGCTGTATATTCAATCGACTGAAAAAATGTCGCGAGACCAATTACTCGAAGAAACGGAAAAAGGTGACTCTATCTACGTCAATAACGACTCCTACTTGTCTGCCAAGCTCTCGTGCGGAGGAGCAATTGAGGCTTGTAAGGCAGTTGTTGAAGGAACAGTGAAAAATTCAATGGCTATTGTTCGGCCACCGGGCCATCATGCTGAGCCAGATACCCCTGGAGGTTTCTGTTTGTTCAGTAACGTAGCGGTGGCCGCCAAGAACATTCTCAAGAACTACCCTGAGTCTGTGCGAAGAATAGTGATTATCGACTGGGATATTCATCATGGAAATGGTACGCAAAAAGCATTCTACAACGATCCCAGAGTTCTCTATATCTCACTTCATCGCTACGAAAACGGCAGATTTTATCCAGGAACGAAATACGGCCATTATAGCAATGTTGGTGAGGGTCCTGGTGAAGGTTACTCGGTAAATATCCCCTGGAACTGCCCGGGAAAAGGAGATGGAGATTACGTCTATGCATTCAACAAAATCATATTACCTGTGATCAACGAGTTCAACCCGGACTTGTTGATTGTCAGCTCGGGTTTTGACGCTGCTGATGGTGATATCATTGGCGGATGCCATGTCACTCCTGTAGGATACGGGTATATGACCCATTTATTGAAAGGAATTGCCCGAGGAAACCTTGCAGTCATATTGGAAGGAGGCTACAATTTGGATTCCATCACAAATGGTGCTCTAGCCGTAACCAAAGTGCTTCTAGGAGAACCTCCAGAGAACACCATTTCTGCGCTTCCGCTGTCTGACACCATTGAAACCGTTGACGAGGTCATGAAGGCATTGGCACAATACTGGAAATGCATGAGGATAGGAATGCCCAAACAGTCCTTTGAAGATGTCTTTGACCTCTCCACCAATACCAATGCATACAAGCTCACTAATATCGCCGATACCATCCGATCGCACCAGGCCAACGAGCTCTTTGAAAAGTACAATTTTGTCAACTTGCCAATTGTCACAGCAGCTACCGCAGATACGAAGAGTTCCTATTTCACAGATATGCCTTCTCGCAAAGACGATCTCATTCTTGCAAGTCCTGATATATATAATGCCGAGACGTTGGTTGTCACCATTCACGATCCACACGAAATCTGGGCTAATATCGAACCCAATTCTGGAACCATTGACGGAGGCTCTTCGGTTGTTCTTGAGCATCCAATGGTGCAAATAATGGAAAAGGTCAAGTCTGAATTAGCAGAAAGCTCGGAACCATCTAATGAAAAATTGGGTTTCATGGATATCGAAATTCCATCCTTGGCTCTTCCCTCGAAGCCCATCGGCTCTTTGGCTAACCCTTCTGTATCAACCTACAGCCCTACCATTTTCTCACAGGAGTTGCTTCTCTACGTTTGGGACAACTACATCACTTATTTTTCAAACATCAAGAAAATCGTTTTCGTTGGATTTGGCGATGCGTACCAAGCAATTGTCCATCTTTATTCGAAAAGGCCACCACAAGAAATCAAAGAGGTCGTTAAAGGAACCATAGCATTTGCAGCAAAATCTCCATTGAAGCCATTGGTATCAGTCATGGACGAATCAATGGTAGATTGGTATTACCAAAATTCTGTGGTGTTCACCAGCCATCTCAATTCTTGCTGGACTTCCACTGGTTCTGGCAGAGCTGCAGACTCGGCAGACGAAAACAAAAGACCAAGAAGAAAGTTTGGTAGGGTCTTGAAGTCAGGAAGTGATAACTTGTGGGATGTCATTAGTGACAAGTTCAACGAAGGAATAGACTTTGTCTTGGATTCTATAGAGGACTTGAGTGGGACGGAGGAGTCTTCGTAGTTGTATATTGTGCTAATGAAAGGTAATGGTTGCAGGATTGTAGTATGAGTATTCTGACATCGCTTGTAGATTTACAGTAGTCTCATACGTAGCTTGGGAACCGCTTTGCAAACTGCTTTTCGAGATCATCGATATCCGGAACCAAACTGTCGTCGCTAGAAACGCTGGTTCTTTTGTGTTTCTCCTGCAAAAAAGAAGGCTTTTTGGGCTTCGGAGGAGGTTTCTTGGCTGGTTTCTTAGGAGGCATTGCCGGTTCAGTTTTTTTTGAGCTTTCGTACGATAGACTCTTGGGGACTTTAGGAGGCTGGATCGTTCGTCTAGTGATGGTATGGTTTTTCTTGACGATAGGGTTTGAAACCGTTGCTTCCGCACGATTTATGGCATCAATATCATCCAGATCAATAAAGTCTTTCGTGTCTGTGAATCTGCCGTATCCTTCGGCAGTTTTCTTCACCTTGTGGTCATTGGAGCCGTTGAGAAGTCTGGCCATTCTTTTCTGTATCAGCAAGCTAGATTCTTCCAGTTCAGGTTCCTCAGGACTAGTACTTGCACGTCTGAAAGAACCCCCAGTCAATACCTTTTTCATAGTTCCAAACGCACTGCGCTTTTCCGTAGAACCATTGTAACCCGTCGAATGAGTGCTACTGCTTCCGGTACTGATTCTTCTGATTCCCTCTTTCCACGACTGGCGGAAACTGCCTCCAGTATTTTGTCGCAGGCCCAAACTTTTGGCGTTTTCTTCTTCCTTGCTCCGGAGGAAATCTAGTGTACCAGGACCGTCGTTTATATGGGAATTTGTAGAATCGCCCAATTGTGAGTGCACGAATGATTTGAGCAGGGTAGCAGAAGTGGAGTCAATGTAGCTCAAAGGACGAGAGCTTGAGGATGATTTGGCAACGCTAGCCGAAATATAGGTAGAATGGGGACGGGGAAGTGCTTTGGTCTCAAGATCACTTTTTGTAGTGAGAAGCTTGGATTTGTCAATTGATGCAAATGGATCCTTTGGTTTTTCCTTTTTGACAGGAATTTGGTCCGGTTGTGGTTCTGTAGTATGAGTCACCAACGAGGGTTCCAGTCTTGAAAACTTGTCCTTCATTGTGTAAGGCAAGACGTTGGGTACTGGCTCGTTCTTCATCGCGCAAACTTCTTGAAGCAATTGCACTGCGTTAGGTCTGCGCCGGGGGTCTTCCCGCAAGCAGCATTTGATCATGTTCTTGAGACGAGGCAGAAATATCAGGCCCGGTTGGTCGTGGGGAATCTTGAGGGTAGTGGAAGAATGAAGAATCAGACGTTCCAAGTCAGCCATGCTAGCATGGCCCGGCAGCTCAAAAGGCGTTGTATAGTAGCACAATTTGTAAAGAAAGCACCCCAAGGCCCATATATCCAGCTTATCATCGATGGGAAAACCCCGTGAAAGATCTATCATCTCGGGAGCCCGGTACTGGGGAGTGGTATAATGCATTATATCGTCATGAAGAAGCTGGAGTTCCTGAGGAGTCTGTGGCACCGGAGCGTATGGCACGGCCAGCCCAAAGTCACACAACTTGTAGGAGCCATTGGAATCAATGAGAACGTTTTCAATCTTGATATCACGGTGTAGCAATGGCGGACGTAGGTGATGGCACATTGCAACTCCAACGGTAACGTCTCTCATGATGGTGAGGATTTCCGGCTCGGTGAGTTTGTACGAGAGTCGAGAGTTCATAAAGTCAATGAGTCCATTGCGAGAACAGTATTCCATTAGTAGAAACACTTCATACTGCTGCGCCGACGTCGGGGCCCCAACTTGCCCAGCTGACACCAACCGAGAAGCATGGGAATCAATGTATGAGACGATGTGGTCATTGCCCTTGAGACGCTTCATGGCGTCGACTTCTTGGCGTAGAAGATTGAGTTGAAGCTTGTTGGGAACTACCACTCGCTTCAAGCATGCTACGGTTTGGCCCCGAAAAGGCGGGTTGATTTCACAAGTATAAACGTGTGCAAAACCGCCCTGGGAAATATATTTGATTATGGTCACGGAGTGGGAGCCAACAGTGAGCCGTTTGCCCGGCGGATATGCATTTGGGGGTACTGGACCCATGGGGGAGGTGGTTGGTGAAAGAAACGGCCGCGATACCGGGGTTGAGCGTGGGTGCACGGGTGCGCATCAAACAAAAGATGCAAACCGATTTACTTTAATAAGAAGCCGATTAAAAAAGCTAGGAGTGATTTTGATGAAATTGTACTTTGAGGCTGAAAAGTACCTTTCCGCCAAGGGAGGAGGGCTAAATACCCAAATATTCAACAACAAACACCTTTCCTCCTCTCCAAAACATATCTATGCTCTTGTATATTCTACGATGAGATACAAGCCGTATCTCGAAGAGGTGATCAAAAAGAGCAAAATACGACAATCTTCTAAGCTTAAGAAACTCAAAGTGAGCGATTCACTTCTCTTGTTGCTAGTTCATGACTTGCTTTTCTCTCCTCGTGGAAGAATCGAGCTGGGAAAGCATCCTATTAAAGATGCGGTTCTCGAGAATAAAACCCGACTTCAGGCCGAACTTATCAAGCTTAAGCTTCGATACAAGGTCAAAACACTCGCAGACCTTCCCAACACGGTGGAGCAGGACGAAACACCCATACGATGGATACGTATCAACACAATTGTGGCATCTGAGGAAGAGGTGATGAGAGAAGACTTTTTTGAAAAATTGAAGTTTGTGGACTCTACAGATGAAATTGCAAGTGGCAAGATATACAGAGACACGATAGTCACAAACTTGTACGGTATACATCCGTCAGAAAAGATTACTAATACTGAAGCTTACAAAAATGGCAAGATCATTATTCAAGACCGAGCATCCTGTTTTCCCGCCCAAATCCTCAATGGCGACCCAGAAAACCAGCACGAGGTGGTAATAGACGCCTGTGCTGCTCCTGGCAACAAGACTACTCATTTGGCGTCTTTTCTTCCTAAAAATGGAGTAGTACATGCATTTGAACGAGACGATAAAAGAGTCAAGACATTGAAGATGATGACGTCCAAGGCATTGGGACCCAATAAGGATCTCATTCAAATCACCCACGCCGACTTTATGACGATTATACCCAGTGATTTTCCCAAAGTTACAGGAATAGTTGTGGATCCATCGTGTAGTGGCTCAGGTATATTTGGACGAGCGTTGGAAGATGCACAACTGGAACAAGACCGAGAAACCATAGATACTGAAAGACTCACGAAATTGGCCAGTTTCCAGTTTAAAATCGTCAAGCATACTATGAAGTTTCCCGGTGCAAGAAAAATCGTGTATTCAACATGTTCGATCCACCCTCATGAAAACGAACGAGTAGTAATGGATTTACTTGCAGACCCTGAGGTGAAGGAGCAGGGCTGGAAACTTGCACCCAAGGAGCAAGTGCTTCCCAACTGGCACAGAAGAGGCTGGAAAGACGAATTTGTTAGCATGAGCCGAGACCCACAAGTATGCGAACAATTAGCAGGAGGATGTGTTCGGGCGGTTCCAAAGGAAGATGGCGGCATTGGATTTTTCGCAGCATGTTTTATCAGGTAGCTAAATCTATTTACAACCTTCTGATGATATCATCGATCACCTCTTGAGTGGAAGACGAGCCTCCCAAGTCTGGAGTCTTGATTTTGTTTTCGGCCAAATTGGCATCCACAGCCTCGTAGATGCAAGCAGCAGGCTCAGCGTAGCCCATGAACTCCAACATCAACGCTGTGGATCTGATGGTAGCCACTGGGTTGGAGATACCTTTTCCTTCAATATCTGGAGCAGAACCATGACAAGGTTCACCAATAGCAAAGTTGTCTCCAACGTTAGCTGAAGGTACAACTCCCAAAGATCCTACAAGAGCAGCAGCTCCGTCACTCAAGATATCACCGTACAAATTTGGAGCCACCACCACATCGAAAACCTCGGGTTCTCTGAACATACGGTACACCATCGAGTCCACGATTTGTTCCTTGTACTCCACAGCACTGTATTCGGCAGCATTGGCGTCGTAAACACGGCGACAGGTTTCTCTGAACAAACCATCAGACTGAGAAAGCACATTAGACTTGTGAGTTACCGTGACTGAAAGGAGAAGTATGGAGCGATTTGAGAGCAGTTGAAGCATCTCTAATGGCTTGTCTTTGCAATGCAATGTCGTAAGCCATCTTGGCAATTCTCGTGGTGGCTGTCTCAGAAATTCTTTTAATGGCCTCAGCTACCTTGGAAACCGTCTTCTTTCTTGTATGTCTTCTCTTCCTTGACATACAAATCTTCGGTATTTTCTCTGACAATAACCATATCAACTGGTCTGTCAATGCCCTCCACGGACTTGACAGGACGAACATTGGCATACAATCCCATCTTCTTTCTCAAAGCAACAATTGGAGAAGAGTAACCTTCGACCTTGACGGAAGGTGAAGAAACAGCACCAAACAAAGCACCATCACATTCCTTCTGTAAAACCTCAACGGTTCTGTCGGGCAATGCCGTTCCAGTCTTCTTGAAAAGCTCGAATCCAGCTTCCAAATTGACGAAATCAAACTTTAATTCGAACTTTGAAGGAAGGTTCTCAAGCACAGCTTTACCGGCTGGAATCACCTCTCTTCCAATACCATCGCCCGGAATAAGACCAATCTTCAATGTCTTGGACGCGAGCGCGGCAGAGGAGTGGGAAAAATTGCGTCTAAATGCAGTGGCAGCAGACATGGAAATAGTGGTGATTCTTGAACTATGACTCAACCGAACCGGCACCGGTACTCGCTGGTGTACGGGTCTTTTCACACGCTAGTCGCTAAAGCTAGTAGGCTACGGTACGATACTGTTGTACTATGATGTCATTCTATTTACAGTCATTACTCTCCCTTCACCAATCCCACCTTGGCTGGTCTCAACACCCGTGCATTCAATGTGTAGCCAGGCTGTTGAACATGGAAAACTGTTCCTGGTTCCTTGTCGGGTTGAGGAATCTCAAAGGTGGCTTCGTGCATATTTGGGTCAAATTGCTCGCCCATAGGGTCGATTTTCTCAATGCCGTGCTTGGCCAATGTCTTCTCGAAAACATTGCGGGTCATATCTACACCCTCATACAAGTTTTTCACCTCATTGTTTGCAGCCAATGTATCCTCCTTGACGGCATTGAGTGCCAAGCTGAAGTTGTCCAACGACTCCAACAAGTCCTTGGCAAACTTTTGCAACGCAAAGTCTCTTGCCTTCTGAACCTCCTTCTTGGTAGACTCTTGTAAGTTGCGGAAATCAGCCACGGCTCTGGCATAGTGATTTTTCATATCAGCAAGTTCTTTGTCCTTTTGTGTCAACTTTCCTTGCAATTCCTGGATCTGCTGTTGTTCTTCAGACAAAGGTTCGGCATTTTCCTCGTTTTCGGCCACAGTTTCCTCTTCTTTTTTTGGTTCGTTCTCTTCGGGTTTAGGAGCCTGGGACGATGAAAATCTCACCATCATGGGACTTTTTTGTCCCCATACAATAGGACGGGCCATACGCAACCCAAGGGGTGCTTGGCGTGCTCCAACAGCTCTTCTAACTCCTTGGAATACTGCTCTTTGCATACTAAGTTCTTTTCGCCGTTCGGTGAAAAAAATCCATCGACCCCGGCTTATATAAGCGCAACATGAAATCTTCGATCTTTGGCTGCGAAATACGGCTTAATATATACAAGTAGCAACAACAGGTTCATATTTAATTAAGATTGTTAGTTCCTTGAACGGCGTTTCTACCACAGCGATGGACCAAAGGTCTCACCTGGCTTAAGCATGGTTCTGATAGCCAAGTTATTCGAGTCCAAAGTTCCAGCCACCACACTATTTCCCCACCAGCTAGGGAACTGAGCATTGGTCAAATACAAGCACAAAAACACCATCAAAAGTGCCCATGCCAACCCAATGTCCAATCCAGCGGACAATGAGTAATTATACTTACTCCACCAGTGAAACCATCTTTTCTTGATAAAGTAGTTGAAGGTGAGCCCGACCACACAGTACGAGGCGTAATTGTATGCGGTAGCAGGAGGAATGTAACCTGTAGCCGAGAAGAAAACGGGCCAATTGACGTGCTTAACCAAACTATTGGGCCATTTTTTCAAAATCAACCAGTTGATGACGGGAAGAATGGCACCAATAAGGAAGAAGAACAATAAGCCGTAGTAAATTTGGCCTTGAGAAAATTGACGCTGAGGGCCAATGACTCCCCAAATAATACTGGCGGTGAAGAACACTCCACCATTAGGACAAGTGTAATGGTCCTTTTGAGTTGGCGAACACAAGTCTTCGATGGAACCATAAGCCCATCTCAACACTGCAATTTGCACCAATGAACCCCAGATGGTAGCGATGAATTGAGCAGAGAACAAAAGACGAGGGCTGATTTTCATATAGTGGCCCAACTTCATGTCGGAGACAAATGTGACGGCTTGGTTGTTGGTGATGTAGCCAAACGTCTTGAAGAACATCATGGCCAATGGTTTACCAGGAAGCATGTAACCGATGATAAATTCCGTCACCACGTTCAACCCCACGGCGATGTTGGTGATGGCATAAATTACACCCACGGGAATCAAGAAAACAATGGCAATAAGCAAGGCAATTATCAAACACCATACTGGCATTTGGGTGTCCCAAGCACGAACAGTAGCGATGGACAACCCAAAGAACACCAAGAAAACAGCGCCAAACCACCAGGTTGGAACATCTTTGTAATTTTGTTTCATGAGACGAGTATGAACATCGGGCTTATCTTTCATCTTGATTTGGTTAATGATATCTTTGCCGTGGAACAAGATGGTGTGAACAATGGTGGATGTCATCGATGCAAACGACAAGCCGTAACTGATAGCAAATGTGGTGGAAAGGAACAATGGAGAGTAAGCTTCGTAAGCTTTCTTGTTGAAACCCAAATCCTTGGAGACGATTCTCAGCACATTGTATGATTGTTGAGTATTGTCAAACGACCCAGAACTGGAAATGGGCAAGTACTGGGCGTACCAGGTGTTGGAGTAGTGGATAGCAGGCACTATAATCCAGAAGATGAGAACGATAGAAATGGCAATGGTGAAAATGACTGGAGCTGGAGGAATTAAAGGTGATCCAATATAGGCAGCAATTTGGTTCCAGTCCAAACTGAAGCAGTTCGGGAACAATCCCAAACCAGTTTGAGCACCAAAGATCTGGTTGACGATGACGTTCTTTGGTTTGATCCAGGTGATCCAGGCAAAGTACGATAGCGCCTGGAAAATGAAACCGGGGAAAAAGTACCAGCAGAAACTGGAGGTGAAAATCACAGCAAAGAAAGCCATTCTACTGATTTTCCACCCGTTGGCGGGAACGTTCTTGTTGATGTGCATGTTGGTCAAAAACGTAGCGGTGATCAACTGCTGAGGGTAAATCATGGAAGAAGGGTAAATCAAGATTTTTCTCATGATTCCGGCAAGAGCAAAGCCAATACACTGGGTACTCCAGATAGCCACAAGATCAAAACCCCAGCCAAAGTCTTGCTTGTAGTAAACATTCTGAGCAAGCAAAATGTCGGTAGCGTAGGCAGCACCACTAGCACCAAACGAGACGTTACCCATGATGGTGATAAGAGCATGTTCCTTAAGATTGAATGGACCGGGGTTCAACTCGAGGCCAAAAATCTTGATGTTGGGAAGAAACCGAGCCCATGCCGTGCCGATGGGCCAGGCCAAGATGGAGGTGACATAGGTTGAAAGTTGGGCCTGAGGACTGTGGAGCGAAAATAACAAGTTTAATCCACAACCAATGGTGGTTAAAATCATGCCGATAACCCACATCCGGATAGTATTTTGCGGAACAGAAGGGTCGTCGGTCGAGGGTACCGCTGCTCTGACCTCGGGGTATGGCGAGTCGTCTTCGACTATGGGCGCCGCATAGACGTCTTCAAGAATGGTATTTTCAAGTTTCGAGTCCATAGGGTCGAATTCCTGCGACCTAACCGTGGTGAGCTTGATGGACTGGCCTGGTGAAAGGGGGATATCATCAGAATCTCCCACCTTTTCCTCGACAACATGGTGCTTTTCTTTGCCCTTGTCAAAGGCACTTCTAAGTCTGTCCATGTGGAATCTTGCAAAAATTATTAGGTAGGGAAAGCCACCTTATATCGCGATGATAGCCACGGCAGATATGGTGCCGTGCTACCACAATCGGGCAAGTACGCACGGCATCAGATGCATAGGCCCCGCAGCCATTGACGCACTATTGTTCGGCCAATTATCGAAGCCTTCATGCATCTTTCCCGCATACAGTGACCGCATCCAGCATGGAAGCGTTGTCCTCGCGGTGGTACGGCGCTGGGTTTATGCACCTATCATTTCTTGCATGAGCAAAAAAAATCGGATACAGCCGCCAAGCAAGAAATTCAGCTGGAAAAAATTCGTTTCAGCCGGAAAAAATATGCAACTTGAGTCAAACAGCTTAGGCTACTTTCGAACTTTGTCGGTTTAAGAATCGACCGATATGACTTCCACAGCCATGGTAACCCCTGCCGATGCATGCGGCGTATCAATCGGCTCACGATTGATTGATTGCGCGGGGACGCAAAATCGACATTTTTTTTGCATTGCAGATCTCAGCTATCTTTGGCCAACCGGTTCGCCGATATCCGATAGGGCCGAACTTGGTGTATCTTCCTTTATTTCAGTTCCAGCGGCAATCTAACACAAGCCACATTGGCTTATTTCAGGCTGGGTCCTAAAAAACCATACTGCAGACAAGACACTCTTGACGGGGAAGCGCCGGTACTGCACCCGGTTCCCGACCATCGGTTAAAAAAACCTTCGGGTCGTTCCGCACATGCAGAATTTCGTGAATCCGCATGCAGGACCAAACGCAGGCTCATCTACCTCATCTCACCTCAATTACGAGTTCACCTGCAACGCTTTTTCGTCACCATGAGACAAAAAAGAGCTAAGTCCTACAGAAAGCAGATGCTCGTGTACCAGCACACCTTCAAGTTCAGGGAACCATACCAAACAATTGTCCATAGTGATCTCGTAACCTTGTGCCAAAGCGCTTCTTTCGATGTTGCAAAAGGCATAAATCGAACTATTCAAGCCGAGATCAAACCTATGATCACCCAGTGTTGCATGCAAGCTCTCTATAGCACAAAAAACCAAGATGCGATCGAAATAGCCAAGAAATTCGAGAGAAGACGATGTAATCATCCTCCAAAAGCTCCACTTGATCCATCCGAATGCATCGAATCAATAGTCAATGTTGATGGGAAAAACAAGCATCGCTATATTGTAGCCACCCAGGACTACGAATTGCGCAAGAAACTTCGCCAAGTGCCAGGAATTCCACTTGTATATATGAACAGGTCGGTGATGGTGATGGAACCATTGTCGAAGAAATCAGCCCAAATTTCTGAATCTTTGGAGACGTCCAAGTTAACGGGAGGATTGAATGATGCCAAAAATGCCGGCATTGTTCCAAAAGATGTTCCTGAGGGTAAAAAGAGAAAGGGTCCAAAGGCACCTAATCCTCTCAGTGTCAAGAAAAAGAAGGTTGAGGCAACCGAAGCCTCCGACGCACCTAAGAAACGCAAAAGACGTCATAAAAGCAGCAAAGCCGGCGAAAACCATGAAGAACAATCGAACGAGTCGAACGCATCAACCGAGTCGAACGAATCGAATGAAGCACAATCGATAAGCTAATCCTCAGTAATCCAACAAGTTCAAAGGAAAATGAACCAGGTGATTCAGCATTATTTACACTATATAGACCCCTCCAAGATAGAAAATGAATTATTTTCCAATGAAGGTGATGGCTCTTTTACTTCCTTTTCGTCCAGTTTAAGTGCCAAGTCTTTTTCGTTAACTTTTAAAATGTGTTCAACATCGGCATCTATGAGACAAAGCTTAGCATTGAACGCCAACGACTTGTTGCGTACAGCATTGCGAACCGACTTCATTGCAAGATACAATTTGTTCTCTTCCTCCAAAGTCATCTGCTGATACGATGTTTCCGAGTAAAACACATAGGTAGATTCCCTCATCCAATGCATCTTTGGCTTCTCTATTTTGAACCCTTCGATCAAAGGCATTAACTCACGCTCAAGCTCATCTTTAACAATGCCAAAGAAGACATCTTGAACAAGAATCGCATTGAAGAGAGATTCTGCAATGTCTTTTTTTTTCATCATTTCAGCCTTATTCATCTCAATCCGGTACTGTTGTCTTGAAAGAACCGATTGCTGGATTGTAGTCTCGGGAAGAAAGGTGTGCTTAGTGATAGCAATGAACATTGACTCGTCGTCATGTTCAGAGTAAAGACGTAAACTCTTGGCCAAGTCACACAAGAAGGCTATTTGTGCACTGTTGAGTCCGGAGAAACGACGGAAAGTGACGGACGGAGGCTCGTTAGAAGTTTCTTCCAGCTCTTTGGAAGACTTCACATCATTCTCTTGAGTGGGCTTCACTGCATTCTCTTCATACTCCTCTCCATTCTCTTCAGACTTCTCTCCACTCTCATTCTCCTTCAACTGAAGACTCTCCTTTACAAAAACCCTAAAGACAACCTCCATTCTAGAACACCACAGAGTTTGACGTTCAAATACATCCATCAACGAGTCAGAGTAAGGAAGCTCCAACTGGTCTTCTTCGTCGCCTAACAAAACTTTACGAAGCTCTTCATCTCTGGCTGCTTTTAAGCAGTCTTCGTCACAATCCAAGCTCAGCAAAATCAAAGATGCACTCAAAGTGCTGCCTCCACAACTTCCGACCTTCTTTTTACGTCCACATGGGCACTGAATTTGTACAGTTTCTTTGCACAAGAAGCCATCACAGAGTAAAGGCTTCCCTGGTTTTTTGAAGTGGCATTTAGATTTGCACGTGTGAGGACATTTGAGTCGATACTTTTTGCAATACAGTTGGCAGTTGGCAGGGCTGGCGTGAATGTTACGTTCTGTGCAATCAGAGGAACACACATTGAGACAAGGGTGACCACAGGCTTTGGTTTCAGTACACATTGTACCACAGGAAACGTTGGTTTGTGAGCAAAGAACATTTTTGATTTCCTTACGTCCACAATTGCATCTTTTGGTTACCGATGCGGTACATTTGGGACAATTTGTATTATCGTCATGGCACTCGTGAACCTCAGGTCTATGTCCACAAGCTTTAGGACGCGCACATTGCTCGTGACATTCAAGAACAGTACCACATCTTACCGGAGCATCGATTCTGGTTTTTCCACAATGACAAACTAGATCTTCATTTGAAGACTCTAAACATATTCCGCAAGGTCCAGCGTGACATAAAGCCTCACAGTAGTGACGTCCACAAGATTTGAGCCTGTTGCAAGTTCTGATGCAAATATGAATAGGTTCCATAGTCATGGTTTCGTCTTCATTACGCAAGGTTCGAGTTCCGTTTCTAATCGCTTTCTTTTTCTCTCTTTCTCTTCGTAGCGCTTCCTTTTCAAAGGGACAGCATACCTCTCTGTGATAGTGCTTACGACAATTGAGAAGCACTGGACATTTCCTGGTACATTTGGGCTGGTATCCTTCTTGAAGGAATCTACAAGGCACCATGAAAGCGGAATTTCCACAGGAACATTCCCGTTCCAAGACATTGAAACAAACACATTCTCCAGAGTGACATTTCTGGATACAAGTACAGCCACAAGAAAGAAGCTTTCCGCAAACGGAGTCACATTCTGGGATTGGGTCGGTACATTTTGTTCTCATTTTGGGTTCAACAGAAGACTTTCCACAGTGGCAGGTCTTCACCACATCTGGAGAAAGTTTACATTTTCTTGATACTGTGGGAAGTGGCTGGCATTCGATCTCATCATAATGGACCGAACAATCGTAGTAAATTTTTGTTTTCAATCCACATTTGACAGTTCCTATCCAAGTTTCCTCTCCTTTCACGTCGTTGCACTGCTTGGCAAAACGCTGGTAGCAAGCGACGTCCATTTTCAGTTGCCCACAATAACATTTCTCTTGCACTATGCGATCACAAGGACCACAAAATCCACTATGACAAGCTTTTTTCGGGCAGCCGTGTCCCAAATCACACACATTAACCTCACACGGAACGTTACACTTCCATCCAGTCTCGTATGGAGTGATCAAGCACGGCAATTGGCGCTCGTGTTTTCCGCAATGGCACTTCATTAGCGGTCCCAAAGCACCACAAACAGGGTGGTGACCAGGGTGGCACGCTGAAGAACAGCTGTGGACACAGCCAGGATACGGCGTATTACAGGGATTTCCACAACTAAACGGCATAAAGGAATTGGGGCGAGGATTTGCAACCTTTCCGCACCAACAGGTAAACTTTTGTGGAACCGTTGATGTCACCACATTGCAAGCGGGACATCTCCAGGTTTTCTGGACCTTGTCTGTGGAAGATCCATTTTTAGCCCAGTCCTTAATACAATCCAAGTCGTAAACTCGAAAGCATTCCTGACAGGACCAGATTTTCGACTCCAGGTCGATTTCAGAAGTGCACACCAAACACGTATAAGTGCCGTCCTGGATCTCGCGGACGATCGTGGCGGTTATAGTCTCGTCGGGCTCGGCTTCTGAATAGGCATCGGAGTCAGAATCAGGATCCAAAGCGGAATCCAAATCGGAATCGATTTCCGAGTCCGATGAAAAATTGTCATTTTTGGTGACCAAAGTAGCAGGTTCAGCATTCAGCAGACCAACCATGTCACCTTCGTGTAAGTTTAAGCTCGTTCCGATGCGTGGGTCCGGCGGTAGTCGGTCATCGGGTCGTAGACGGGGCATAAAAGAAGAAATTTGGAAATGAGTCAAGATTACAAATTGGGCTCCAATGGTGTGTGGATGTGGTATTCGGTTGCAAATAAAACATTATACATTCATTCTAATTAATTCGGACGCTTCGGCGCTTGAAGAAGTCCATCACTTTGCGAGCTGCACTGGCTTCCCTGGCAGATCCCGTGGAAGTCGTGGATGTGGAGCCGGACGATGCTGGGGGTCGTTTCATCGTGCTTCCTTTCGACAGACTGGTGTCGTTGGAGTGATTGTCAGAAGTGGGTTCCAACGCTCTACGGTTGGTGGATGGTGGAGGAATGTAGTTGACGCTGGTGGATGACGAGTTGTAGGTGCTGTAGAACGAGAGAAGACTGAATCTGTTTTTCTTTTTCGCATCGCGGTTTTCCTTATTCTCTTGGTGGACTTGGTCTCGTCTCTTTTCTCTCTTGCTCGCTATCGATTGAGTATCAACAGACTTGCCCCTATTATGGCCCTTGGTTTTTCTTTCTGGCTTCACCAAAAAAACATCAGAGTCACCGGTCTCGCGAGACCTTTCTTTGACAATTTGAATGGCTTCTGACGATTTCTCCTTTGGACCATAGTGATCCTCAATGAAAACTATTGGTTCTCTTTCTTCAGGATACACCTCAGATTCGACCAGCGAATCTGGATGCGACGTCTCTTCGACCTTGCGGTCTTGTTTGTCGGGGGCTTCTGACGTTTCGCTCTGTTGGGGCTGTTTGGAGTCCAAAGGTGTAGTCATCGTACCTTCATTCTCAGGTTGTACGGGCGACACTACCTGCGAGTCAAACACGGGGGCCTGGTTGATCTGTGGAGTAATGGTGGTATCTTCTTGTTCGGCCCGTTCATCCATATCAAGGTCAAGTCCGTCGATCTTATCTTCCAAATAGCTAAGCACGGAATTTCGCTTATTCTCATGGCTGTTCATTTCACTAGTCAACACGCCATTAACGTGGACATGTGTAACCACCGAGTTTCTGCGAGAATCCAAAGATGCCGACGACCTGTCCTTCGAAACTGGACTTCCCAGAAGTACATTTTCGTTAGTAAACGTCAACGAAGTGTCTGAAGTTGGTGATCCTCTGGTGGGAGAAACGTTATTAGGGTAAGGGAGATTTACCCCAGTGGGTATCTTGAAGTAATCAAATAGCAGAGCGCTGCTGGAATTACCAGAGCCCATAGATGACGATAACGAAGAAGGATGGTAAGATGTAGGACGTGGCTTCTTTGTCTGTGGAAGACGATTGTGTGCTGACATGTGGGTAAAAGGTTGTTCCAATGCTTGCTGGGGTTCAACGTATTCAAATGCTGGACGGTCAAACGTCAATCTTGTAGGACTCTCGACAATAGTAGAGATTGGTGTTCCGGTATAAGTGGTTGAGCGAGCGATAGGAGCAGGAAGTTGAGTCTTGGATTTGTGAGCGGGAGGAACATGAGCAGTGGGTTTCAGGTAAACCTGTTCCAACAGTGTCACCGAGTTTCGTTTTTCACTTTCAGATACCACTGCCATTAATGCCGAACTGGCGGTGTAGTAAGGGTTTGAAACCGAGGCAGATTTGGCATGAGTACGGTATGCATTAACTGGGAATTGCTTTGTTGGTGAAGGTGTTTTCTCGGTTTGACCCACGGCGGTGGTGAGAGACGATGATGTGGTGGCCACTGGAGGATTTGCATAAATATGGCCATTGTTGCTGATGGTAGAAGCCGATCTTCCTCTTCCTCCTTGAGCATTCATGAGATAACTATTTGTTCTCTCATTGACCATCGAAAACCGGTTCGAGGCATTTGCAGCCGTGTTGGGGTGATTTCCAGACGCTGCCGATGCAGCAGCTATCTTTCTATCACGATGCATCTTGTCCCAATCGGGCTGTCTTATCGCAAGCAAGTTCTTATAAGGTGCTAGCCATTGGTGTTCACGGATCTCATTGAGAGTGATACGTTTCTTAGGGTCTGGTACAATGATCTTTCTGAGTAAATCACGAGCAAGAGGTGACACATATTCTGGGAACGTGAGAGGAGTTCTGCAAATGTAGTGGTACAATTTGACGATATCGGCACCATCTTCATTCTCGGGATCATCATCAAAGGGAAGATAACCAGAAAGCATAGCATAAAGAATCACGCCAAGGGACCAAATATCAACTTTTCTTCCCTCGTACGGTGACTGGGTGAGCACCAATTCCGGGGCAGCGTAGCATGGAGAGCCGCAGCTAGTCTTCATGTAGTCAGACTTATCACGGTTATAGGAGTTGACGAAACCAAAATCGGAAATAATGACATTTTTGTGTTTATCCAAAAGCAAGTTTTCGAGCTTGAGGTCACGATGAACAAGGCCCTTGGCATGCATGTGGTCGACACCAGATACAAGTTGGGCAAAAAGTTTTTTGGCCACGTTTTCCTTGAGAAATTTGTGTTGAAGAATGTAGTCAAACAATTCCCCGCCGCTGGCGTATTCGAGGACAATTCCAATATATTTACCTGATTTCATCACTTCCACGAGATTGACGATATTGGGGTGATTAAGGAGTTTCAATGAGTTGATTTCTCGGTGGATTTTGATTTCTGAATCCGAATCTTTTTGGATTGACTCACGTTTGATCAATTTGATCGCTACTTGGGAAGGAAAATTTCCGTCTTTTCTCCATCCTAGTTTGACCTTGCCAAACTCGCCTTCTCCGAGGGTGGAGCCAAGCACGTACGATCCAAACCGGACCTCCCTGTGCATTCGTTTAGTCATAACAGAAGACGAGAATGAAACGGTTTAGAACAAAATGATGGATGCAGGTGGGAATGTTTACTTTATGGTGGACACACGAGGCCCGATGGGGTATGGTAAACAAAAATAGCGGGTGTGGGTGCAGGATGTGGGGGTGTGTGGGTGTGCGAATCAGATCAGGATCAAGAAGCGGTTTCGGGTGTGTGGGTGTCAAGATCCGTGGCAAAAATGTTGTAATTGAACACGATAAAGAGCAGGCTAAAACGTGTGGCACCGACTTAAGAAGATACTGGGGAGCCCATGGGATGGTATTGGGTCGAAATCCCGAGTTTTTCGGTGAAATTCGTATGGGGGACACGTCAAGTAATAAATAAGAAAAAGCACGTCATGGATACGTTTCGACTTATCTACTTGCAGCCGCGGCACCACGGGTGATAGGGTGCAAAGGCGTTGAACGGGCGACAGAGAGGGGAATTGTGCGACGTGATGCAACCCAATTGGTGCATTATCGAGGAATGCGGCGTAGAGCGAGCGTATGTGCAGGCAAAAGAAGGGAATACTTTCACACCATTGTTCAGACAATAAGAAGGGATGTATGTGATATGCCCAAAGGGGAAGAAGATGACCGACCGGTCAGGGGTGCCGAGAAAGGTAGTGAGCGACGAGATCAGTGAAGGGAAGAAATAGTAGATTAAAGCCTAAAGAAATATGGAGAGAGAATCAGTGGTGATAGATGAAGCTTGTTAGTGTGCAATTGTTCGTCAAGCAGAAAATACTGGCAATTGTGGCAATTGTGTCATTGTGGGTAGACGGGTTCGGATGGTCGGCTAAACTTGACGTCGGCTTGGAATCGGGTATTTTTGCAGCCGATATGGAGACAATAGTGCGAATGTTGGGCAGATAGGGGCAATTGATTAGTGGAGGATAAGGCATTGGATCGAAAGGAGAGGATACTTAACAGTTCAGAAGTGAGGAAACTCATATTGACTTGACTGAATAGGCTTTACTGAATAGGATTGTGTTATCATGATTGACTTATTTAGGACTGACTTATTCATGATTGACGGTAGTACAGGCAAATCGAAGCTTGATTCACAACTGGTTGAAAATGAGAAACATCGATTTGTGCTTGTGAGAAAGGGAGTGGGTATGTGAAAGATTGTGTGAGACAATTGTGTGAAAAGTGCTGTGAAAAGATTATGAGAGAGAGAATGAGAATGAGAATGAGAATGAGTGTGAGAGAAAATATGAGAAAGGTTCTCCATTACAGACCAGCAAACAAGATCAAGAAACAGGAATACAGAACAACAGAATTGGCATTGAAGTGAGTGGATTTTCTAAGCAAGGTCAGTCCAATTGGTTGATACTTTGGTTGTGGTCATATTGAATAAATCAATTGCAAACACTTTCTATCACTCACACGAGACTTTTTCATTCACTTCGATCAACTATTAATTTCAATCAATTGTTCACTTCAATCAATTGTTCACTTCAATCAATTATTTACCCCAATACTTGTTCGCCCATTCACTTCATTTCGCAGCCGTCTCCCCTCTCACACCCATGCACCACCCGCACCCGCACCTCATCTTCAAACGCGATCAACACAGCAACGCGTTATGACACAAGAAGCAGATAATGACAGCGGCCCGTTGTCCATCGACCAGCTAGAAGGCAACGGGATCACCATGAGCGACATAAACAAGCTCAAAAGCGAGGGTTTCCATACCATAGAAAGTATTGCGTATACTCCAAAAAAGGCGTTGCTTCAAGTGAAAGGAATCAGTGAAACAAAAGCCGACCGGATTTCGGCTGAGGCGGCCAAAGTGGTGCCTTTAGGGTTCACCACCGCGTCAGAATTCCACTCGCGACGGTCGGAGTTGATTTGTGTGACCACGGGATCAAAACAATTGGATACGCTTCTTGGAGGTGGAATTGAAACCGGATCAATCACCGAGGTTTTCGGTGAGTTTCGTACGGGAAAGTCCCAGTTGTGCCACACGCTCGCGGTGACGTGTCAGCTTCCTATTGATATGGGTGGAGGTGAAGGAAAATGTTTGTATATTGATACCGAAGGAACGTTTCGGCCGGTGCGGTTGGTGCTGATTGCTCAGCGGTACGGCTTGAATCCGGACGATTGCTTGGATAACGTGGCTTACGCGCGGGCGTACAACGCCGAACACCAGTTCCAGCTCTTAAATATGGCGGCGCAAATGATGGCAGAAAGTCGGTTTTCGCTTTTAATTGTCGACTCCATCATGTCATTGTATCGAACCGATTACAGCGGCCGTGGAGAACTTTCGGCACGTCAGGCTCACGTTGCCAAGTATATGCGTACGCTCCAGCGTCTTGCTGACGAGTTTGGCATTGCCGTCGTGATTACTAACCAGGTGGTGGCCCAGGTGGATGGCGGTGCATCGATGTTCAATCCCGACCCCAAAAAGCCCATTGGAGGTAACATCATTGCTCACAGCTCCACCACTCGGTTATCGTTCCGCAAGGGCCGTGCCGAGCAGCGGGTGTGTAAGGTTTATGATAGTCCATGTTTGCCCGAAAGTGAGTGTGTATTTGCCATTTACGAGGATGGCATTGGCGACCCGCGCGAGGACGAGGAAACGTAGTAATGAGAAAAAACGTCAAGAACGAGTGCGGCGCCAGCCGCGCTTGATGTAGTGTCTCTGATCTGAGCCTGCGGTTTCATTGTGAGTCTTATCTCATCGTCTCCGCACGCCGCATGCATTTCCTGCATTCCCCCGAGCCGCCTCCTGCACACAACCCAAGCAAATTTTATCTTTTCCATCAGTCGTGCCAATTCTCAACATTGTGACCAACACTCATTCCTGGTCTTCCCAAAATCCACTAATTCACCCTAAAAACCGTTCTCGCAATGGACGGCCGGGTCAAATCTATCCTCCCCAAACCCCCACTCAAACTGGAGTCTCCTTCCATGCAAAACAAACGTCGGACCGATCAAGGCACTCCATCCGGAGACTACAATAAACGCCAAAAATCAGTCACGGGATCAGACAGACATTTTCTGATCGACAGTGATGGTCACCATGAGTCTCCGGAAGGTTCTAGACCTTCAGCGACCGGGCATCGTCCAGTAACTTCGTGTACATTTTGTCGGCAACACAAAATCAAATGTAACGCATCGGAAAGATTTCCTGGTGCGTGTCTGAGATGTGAAAAGATGAACCTCAAATGTGAAATTGATCCGCAGTTTCGTCCGAAAAAGGGACTGCAAATCCAGACGTTGAAACTGGATGTGAATGACCTCAAAGCTAAAATGGAGGTGTTGGCTCGAAACGAAAAATTGCTTGTAGAAGCATTGAGCCAGAACGGGTTGGCTGGGACACAACCACAGACTCAGTTCTTGCCTGCTTCCACGGATTCGCCCGGACTTTTTCCTGAAATTAATGATATTAACGATTCTGTTCCTAATACTTTGCTTCCAATAACTTCTGCTACCTTTGAGCCTCAACCAGAACACATGGACACTTCCAATTACAAGGAGCCAGAGTACCCACTTCTCAGTGAATTTCGCCTCGGAGACGTGGTTCTTTCGGCAGAAAAAGCCAGTGCTCTCCACGATATTTTTGTGGAACGAAGACTTCCCTACCTTCCTATAATGCTGACGTCCACAGCCAACACCCTCTACCACAAATCACAACTTCTCTTCTGGACTGTGATGCTCACAGCGGCGCTTCTGGAACCGGAACCTCAAATGTACATGTCTTTGGCTTCTCTCATCAAACAGTTGGCCATTGAAACTTGCTGGATCCGCACACCCAGATCGACCCATGTCGTCCAGGCCCTCTTAATTTTGTCTACATGGCCACTTCCCAACGAAAAAGTGCTTGACGATTGCAGTTACCGGTTCATAGGACTTGCGAAAAACCTCGCTCTTCAACTAGGACTCCATCGAGGTGGAAAATTCATCCAGGAATTTTCAAGAACCCAGGTGAGTTTAGGTCCCGATTCAGAAACATGGCGAACAAGGTCTTGGCTCGCTATTTTCTTTTGTGAGCAATTCTGGTCGTCGGTTTTGGGGCTTCCTCCATCCATCAACACCACCGATTACTTGGTGGAACACGCCCGAGTCGATCATACGCTTCCCAAGCCTTTCCGGTGCTTGATTTCACTCCTGATTTTCCAGTGCAAATTGGTGAATGTCATGGGTATATCTGTCACTCGACCAGACGGACTAATGGAACCACTGAACAGAGCTGCCTCGCTCAATATTCTCGAGCGGGAACTCGACCGTCTTCGGTTCAAGCTTGAAATCGACGAAGGTTCACCGGTGGAAGTTTACTTTTTGTATGTGAAACTTATGATTTGCTGCTTTGCTTTTCTTCCTGGAACTCCCATCGAGGACCAGGTTCGCTACGTCAGCTCGGCGTACCTTGCTGCCACGAGAATCATCACTATCACATCGCAAATGCTTCGCAATGATACCCACTTGGTGGAATTGCCAATCTACATTCGTCAGGCTATCACTTATTCTGTGTTCTTGTTGTTCAAGCTTCATTTGAGCAAGTACCTAATGGACAGGTACGCCGATAGCGCCCGGCAGCTGATTGTTACGGTGCACAGACTCTTGAGAAATACACTTTCGTCATGGAAGCATCTTCAAAATGACATTTCAAGAACTGCCAAAGTATTGGAAAATTTGAATATTGTGTTGTATACTTGTCCCGAGGTGTTCTTAGCGGAAAGCATCGATACTGGAGGAGGAATAATTACTCGAATGAGATCACATTTGACGGCTTCGCTCTTTTACGATTTGATATGGTGCGTTCATGAAGCCCGTCGTCGCACGCAAGAAAAGTCAAATTCCAAGCCGCAAAAACTAGAAATTGACGATAGTGTTTTCGAGCAACGAAACTGCCGTCGGCCCGTTCCGCTTCCCTTCTACAATCAAATCACAAAGGACGATTTCAAGACCATAACTACAACCACTCCAAACGGCACCACAGTAACCACCTTGGTTCCCACCGACCACGCCATGAACCAGGCTCGAGTCAATGCTACAGATGCGAAAAAACCATTGGAAATCAACGGAATAACCCTCGCCATGTTGGAAGCCACAGGAAGCACAAGGGAAACGGGTGCAAATAATCAGGTGTCTGCCGTTAGCGCCGCCGAAATGGGAATGGTGCCCGACTTGGGTGCAGTCCTGGGTGCAGTCCCCGTGCCGGAGCCGCTGCCGATACCGCTCAACTACAATATTACCAGCGAGGTAGCGGACCAAATGGATAATTTTTTCCAGCAACAGTCACACGGGTGGCTCAATGATTACCGAGATGATGACTTTTTGGGGTGGATTGACGAGAACATGGTTCAGGAGTAGTACGGGAGTTGCTGGTAAGCAACTCAGTGAAAGAGCTCACGTGCGCTGCGCACGTTACATTTCGCAACCATTACAATGCGAGGTTTTCGCACTAATTTGGCCTGCATTTGGCCTATATCGCACTTGCTCCATACTCTTCTTTTCACTTTACCATGATTCCAAGACAATTTATCCGTGCTTCAGCTCCTGTTTTCAGAAGAAACGCATTCAATGCTCCCCGTGTGTCGGCATTGAGGTTCTACTCCAACTTTAAAGCCGAAGAACAGCCTCGGATCAGAATCGGGTCCACTGCTCCCAATTTTCAAGCCGATACTACCCAGGGAAAAATCGACTTCCATGAGTTTATTGGCAACAATTGGGTGGTTTTGTTCTCGCACCCTGCTGATTTCACTCCTGTGTGCACCACGGAGTTGGGAGCTTTTGCCAAACTTGCACCAGAGTTCAAGGAAAGAGGTGTCAAGATGATTGGGTTGTCGACTGAAGGAGTCGAAAGTCACAACGACTGGATTAAAGACATTGAGGAAGTTGCTACTGATGGTGCCAAGTTTGGATACCCAATCATTGCCGACGCCAGCAAAGAGGTGGCTTTCAAATACGATATGGTGACCGAAGAAGACTTTGCCAATATCAACTCTGGAATGGTTGCAACTGTGCGTTCAGTTTTCATCATTGACCCAGCCAAGAAAGTCAGACTCATAATGACATACCCTGCTTCTACTGGAAGAAACAGTGCTGAGGTTTTGAGAGTTATTGATGCTTTGCAATTGGCCGATTCAAAGGGTATTGCTACTCCAATTGACTGGAGTGTGGGTGAAGATGTGATTATTCCTCCATCTGTGTCGAACGAGGATGCCAAGGCCAAGTTTGGTGAGTTCAACGAGTTGAAGTCGTACTTGAGAACCACCAAGCTGCCAATCGATTGAAGTAGTTAAGCTATATGATTTACGCAAAAGATTAGCACGTATAACGTAAATGTGACTCAACGTACACCAGCATTGGGTACACTTGTTGCTGGGTTGCCATGCTCGTCCACTAGTGGATGGTCGTTGTCAAACACCACTGTGCCGTTTTCGGAGGTGCGAAGCTTGGACTGGAGTTCCTGCCAAAGTTGCGACTTTAGACGAGGAGCTTTTTCAATCGAATCAAAACCTTTGAAATGTAATGCGCTCCCAATGGGAGTGTTCTCGTGGGGAGTTATCAATGACACATTTGAAATATTGTTAACTTCTTTTTCAGCAGCGAGTAGCATCGCTTCAGATTTGACTCCTCTCATCTTTGACGGTTTCAAATTCGTCACCACCACAACTCGAGCCTCAGACATGCGCTCAATAGGAATGTAGTCCACGAGTCCAGAGCACACCTGGAGCGGTTTGGCGGCATTGACATCTATTTGGGACACATATAATTTATCTGCACCCTCATGCCGCTTGCATTCGATTATTTTTCCGACGCAACAAGATATGTAGTTGGGGTCTGGTGAGTGAGTGTGCTTGGACCACAAGTGCTAGGCATACGTACTTCTTTTGGCAGCTGTAGTCGTCAAATAACGAACTAGCATTAATGCAAATGTATCTATGATCGACGATTCGCACCCGGTGCACCCCGACAACGATGATTATTACCGCATTGGGGCTAAATGAGACGCGTTTTGACGTGCTTGTGCAGTATGCAATGCGTGAAATTTGCATCGGGTTTCTTCTTAGTTACAACCACCATGTCCCACTTTGTGTCTTCTCCTAGCAACATTCCGTCAGATGCTGCGCAGTTGCTTCGGTCTTCACAACCTCCATCGTCCATAGGACGCTCTGGAGCTTTTACGCCCCAACCGGCGCTCTATAGTGAAGCTGGTATAAGTCAAGCCGGCGGGTCTCCCCGACCACCTCCAGCTGTAATTCCGGGCAAACGACGCCAGATTAATGTTCCCAAGGTTGTGGACGTCACCGGAGAGAAAGTTCGTGAGAGCTTTGAGGCGTTTTTGGAGGATTTCGTCGACAATCAATCGTCCGAAGACAATGACAGCTGGCAGGGCCGTGTCTACTTGGCGCAAATCGAGGCAATGAAAACTTACGAGTACTCCACGTTGTACGTGGACTACCAGCACTTGGTTTCCCGTGAAAACGGAGTGTTGGCGACGGCCATTTTGGAACAATATTACCGGTTTTCTCCGTTCTTGTTAAAAGGGTTACGACTGGTTTTGAAAAAACATGCTCCGTCTCTCTTGTACACCAATGCTCTCGGCAATGGTGAAGATAATGACGAAGATATGGCTGCCGACGCCACAACCTCTTCCACCACCACGTCGCAGGCCAACGAAAGAGTGTTCCAAATTTCATTTTTCAACTTACCCACCGTGCACAGAATCCGAGACATTCGGACCGACAAAATCGGATGTTTGATGTCGATTCTGGGTACGGTGACGAGAACGTCAGAAGTACGCCCGGAGCTCTATCGCGCCTCGTTCACCTGCGATATGTGCTCGGCAATTGTGGAAGGTGTGGAGCAGGTTTTCAAATATACCGAACCGACGGCTTGTCCATCCTGCGAAAATCAATCGTACTGGACACTCAATGTAGCCAAGTCTCAGTTTGTGGATTGGCAACGAGTACGGATCCAGGAAAACTCCAACGAAATTCCTACAGGATCAATGCCGAGAACCCTCGATGTGATTTTGCGTGGGGATACAGTTGAGCGCGCTAAACCAGGAGATAAGTGCAAATTTACCGGCACGGAAATTGTCATTCCTGATGTTTCGCAGCTTGGGTTACCTGGTGTGAAGGCCCAGTCGGTGCGGGAGAACCAAGGGTCTTCGGATTTGAATTCTGGAGTCAGCGGATTGAAGGCACTTGGAGTGCGAGACCTCACATACAAGGTTGGATTCTATGCCTGCCATATTTCGTCGTTAATCAACCGTAGTTTTGGTGACGATAAGAACAATACCGAGGTCGATTTCCAGGGCTCGGGCGACCAGGAAGTGTTTTTGAACTCGCTCAGTGATGCCGAAGTGGCCCTGTTGAAGGAAATGGTGAAGGATGAATACATCTATGACAAACTTGTGAGATCCATTGCCCCAGCGGTGTTTGGCCATGAAGGTGGTCAAGAAAGGGTATTTTGCTCCAGATGCTAAGCGGAGTGCACAAGAAGACTGTCGATGGTATCAACTTGCGAGGAGATATCAATATCTGTATTGTTGGAGATCCGTCCACTTCCAAGTCGCAATTTTTGAAATATGTGTGTGGATTTGCACCCAGAGCGGTTTACACTTCAGGAAAAGCGTCGAGTGCTGCCGGGCTCACCGCCGCAGTTGTGAAGGACGAGGAAAGCGGAGAATACACCATTGAGGCCGGAGCGCTCATGTTGGCCGATAACGGCATCTGTGCCATTGATGAGTTTGACAAAATGGATATCGGCGACCAGGTTGCGATCCACGAGGCCATGGAACAACAGACCATTTCCATCGCCAAGGCAGGAATCCACGCTACGTTGAATGCCCGAACTTCGATTTTGGCAGCTGCAAATCCGGTGGGAGGACGCTACAATCGCAAATTGGGATTGCGGTCCAACTTGAATATGACGGCGCCGATTATGTCGAGATTCGACTTGTTTTTTGTGATTTTGGACGACTGTAACGAGCGAGTCGATACCCAGTTGGCATCTCATATAGTGGATTTGCACATGTTGCGTGACGAAGCCATCGATCCGCCGTTTTCGGCTGAGCAGCTCTCGAGGTATATCAAGTACGCCAGGACATTCAAGCCAGTAATGACGAAGGAAGCCCGTGATTTCCTCGTGTCTCGGTACAAGGAATTGCGGGCCGACGATGCCCAAGGGTTGGGAAGAGCATCGTACCGAATCACAGTTCGTCAGTTGGAGTCGATGGTGCGACTTTCCGAAGCTATCGCTAGAGCCAATTGCGCCGACGAAATCACCCCCACGTTCGTTGCCGAGGCGTACGATCTCTTGCGACAAAGTATTATTCGGGTGGAGATGGATGACATTGAAATTGACGAAAATGACGAGAATCCACAGGATATTCCAATGGAGGAAGAAACCCACGAATTTGATTCTGGGGTTGCCGATCCGGTCGCCGATCCGGTCGCCGATCCACCCCGGAAGAAAACCACCATTTCCTACGACAGATATGTGTCCATGATGAACTTGCTTGTCAAGCGGGTTTCGGACGACGACCACAACGGCGGAGAGGGACTTACTGGCGACGAACTCACCAACTGGTATTTGACCCAAAAAGAAGAAGACATCCAAACCGAACAGGAATACTATGAGGAACGACGTATGGCGTTCAAAGTGTTGAAGCGCCTCGTCAAAGACCGGATCTTGATGACCATCACCAACCAGGCCGAAGACCGCGAAGCCGAGCCTCGGAGAACGGTGTATATTCTTCATCCAAATTGCGCCATTTTGGACTTCTTTGACCAGACTCGCACGGAAGAAGCCGACCAGGAGGTCGACGATTAGCGGCAATGAAGAGTAAACAGCCGGTGAAGTAGTGCATTCGCTTCGGTGCTCACGCGGCGCCGCAACATCAATAAGCCGCAATGGTTACGCCGCTTTGCGGCTAATCTGCAATGATAGTTGCGTTCTGCGGCTTGCGGCTCAATGGCTGCAAACTGCCATCTACAGTCGACCACAGTCAACTTTCGTCAACTTGCAGCCAACTACACCATAGCTTATATTATACATAATTACACATTATACAATATCTAATACCTCAAGACTTGGTCTTCTTATTGGCACCCCCTGCCGTTTGATTCGATCTTTTTTTTGTCTCTACTTGATACCCCTTAATATCTTTATCTATAAGATAGTCGCCTGGGATATCCATGAGCTGATTTGCTCTCGCCTGTTGCGGCTGCTGGTTCAATGGTGGAGGCGGTTGGTTGGTAGGGGACTGGGCAGCGCCAGATCCGTGCACCTGGGCTACTTGTACTTGTGGGCTTTGGTTCTGAGAATGGCCCGAATTCTGCGCCATTTGAGGAACCTGCTGCATCAGTTGCTGATATTGCATCATTCCCATCTGCTCGTATGGATATCGAGACGACAACGACTTCCACTCAGCAGGCAGAATCAGCTGCGCGCACGCCATACAATGATCCACGAATGCCTTTGACAGAGGGAACATCCGCTGACACGCACGGCACCATCCAGCATCATCTTTACCGGACGTTGATCTTGAACCAGCACCTCCCTGGTGCTTGTCTTGAACATAATGCACAAGTCGAAGGTGTCTTTTCAAAACGTCTAATCTGTTGAAGGCTCCCCCATTGCGGTGACAAGTGGGGTCGTTGCGCCAATAGGGACAGTGGAACATGGGTGCCGAGTGCAGCTTGGCATGGCGCCGCAAATCCGATTGCCTAGCAAACGACCACTGACAGTCGGGAAACTCGCAAGTGTATGGCCGTCCCGTGGTGGCTCCAGACGGAGACCCAACGTCCTCTTTCGCCTTGGGCTTGCTTCGCAGTGTCTTTTTGGCACCATTGGCCGCTCCCAGCGTCGCAGATCCAGGTGCGTTGTACGACGAAAATTGTTGTACTTGATAATCATTAACTTGGGGTTGCTGTTGTGCTTGCTGCGGCTGTGATGGCTGCTGCTGTTGAGCTTGTTGGTGCTGCTGTTGGTGCTGCTGTTGGTGCTGCTGCTGTTGGTGTTGGTGCATCTGCTGTACCTGGAGATACGAAGAGTCAGAAGCTGGAGGCACGGCAGTCATACCACCAACCGCAGATGCTCCAGTAGCATTAGATGGATTAGGCGCAGCACCTCCTCCGGTAGAAACCGCATTGGGCCCCACTTGTCCAGCTCCTGCAACCGCCCCGCCATAGTAACTGAATGGTGCATAGTTATATTGATAGGTGTGAGGATGGTATCCGTTGTTGTAATAGTTAAGGTACGCCGAAGAGATTGGTTGTGGCTGTCTGGATGGATATTGTTGTTGATGGGACATTGGTTGGCCAAGTTGAGGCTGCTGTTGTTGTTGTGACATCTGCTGTGAATGGGAATGTTGGGGTTGTTGAACCTGTATTCCTAGAGGCTGACTAACCGAGACACCTGATTGATCATTTTTGTCCTTGGCGGAGTCGGGAACTTCTCCAAATCCCGACTTTCCAATCGGCAGTCCATTTACAACTTCCGACATGAGGCAATTTCAGGACGCTCCGAGTCAAACCAAAAAAGAATGTTTGTCGCTGTGGTGACCTCGTATAGCTTGAGTTCCAGGCGTGAAAACTAAGAGTAACGGGATTCTGTGTCTTAATTAACAGGTAAACGGATTAATTACTCTCGCGTCAACTGACAAGTTGTTGTCGCTATTTACCATAAAACATCTCTGGTGCGGCGGTGGGGAATGTTACCCGGCCAAATTCCTGCTTTGATTTGAAATTGTTCACGTGCACGGAAGTTCAAGGGGTTATACCGCGAGAGGCTCGGGCGACCAAGATTCGGTTTGAAAGGTGTATGGTAGTACTCGGATTGCAAAACAAGTGTTGAGTTCCGAATTTGGAGGTGGTTTTCGACAAGGTTCGAAGTCAATGTTTCTCAAGAGAAGTGCATCCCAACACCAGCCTCCCCCGCCCCGTCCTATGGGGCATAGCAAAGTGGGCCAAGAAGGTAGCAATTAGTGAAGATGTCAAAAGTATGTTTTTTTCAAGCAAGAGACTGTCGGATTTATGCATTAGTGGTCCAATTGAGTCCATGTCATAAATTACAATGCTTTCAGTTTGCGTGGTTCTCTTTTAGGTGGCTCCAGGACCCTCACACTCTTGACTAATGATCGAATAGCATTTTGTTTCAAACATGTTGAACATTTTGCTTTGGCGCCATTATATCTTTGAAGTTGTACTAAGACAGATTGAAATTCAAAAATTTGCTGATAAAACTGGTGCTTATAAGAGACAAGCTCTGAATTTCCGGAACTGGATTCTGAGAGAAGCCGGTGCTGAATTTCCTCCCGAAACTAATCGGTATCATTTATACGTTTCTTATGCGTGCCCATGGGCCCATAGAACTTTGATTGGACGGAGTCTCAAAGGGTTGGAGCTGCATATCTCTGTGTCTGTGGTTCACTGGCACATGGACAATAAAGGTTGGAGATTTCCCAATGAGCTGGACCTTGCAAAACGCAAAACAGCTCAGGACATGACGTATGGAACAGTGGACCATTTGCATGGGTTTGAGAGACTTCTGCAGTTGTATTACAAGGCAGATCCCAATTACTCTGGGAGATTTACTGTTCCAGTATTATGGGACAAAAAGAAGGAAACCATTGTCAACAATGAATCGAGTGAGATTCTTCGGATGTTGAATTCTGAATTCAATGATGTTGTCGCCAGCGAGTATTCTCATGTTGACTTGTATCCTGAAGATTTGAAACAGCAGATTGATGATATCAATTCGTGGGTTTACGACACCATCAACAATGGAGTGTATAAGGCTGGATTTTCGATCAAGCAGGAAATCTATGAGGATGAGGTGAACCAGTTGTTCAAGAGCTTGCATCGGATCGAGTCAATTCTCAAAGAGAACCATGGCAAGGGCCACAAATTCTTATTGGGAAATCAACTTACTGAGGCCGATGTGCGATTGTTTACCACCATCGTTAGGTTTGATGCTGTCTATCACCAGCATTTCAAGTGTAATCTTGGGATGATCAGGCACGACTTTCCATTCACTCACGATTGGTTGCGGTTGTTGTACTGGAAAATTCCTGGGTTCAGCGAGACCACTGATTTTGACCATATCAAGTGGCATTACACCAAGTCGCACCCTGCCATCAACCCGCACGGGATCACTCCCGTTGGCCCAGTCCCCTCGATCATGCCATTGTAGTTAGTTAAATGCTTTATTAAAATGCCTTACTTTATTTTTAAACCTAGATTTGCAGCCGGTTTGCTTGTGTGCACTCCTCGTCTATTCGCGTGTCGCGTGAAAGCCGTTGAAAACAAGTGATCCAGCATGAGAGGTAAGTAGAACGAAATTTAAGATGGCAACACGGGAATTGGCCGCCTTATATGGGTCTCCAATTGCGCTTTGGGCCGATTAAGTGACCACTGCATGTATGAGGTCACGCAAAGACCGGATATCAATGCATGAAATGTCATTTCCGGTGGTAAGAAGCGGGGCTACACCTTTAATTTCAGGAACTAACTCAGACTATAAAGTGGTGGTACTTGGCGCCGGTGGTGTCGGAAAATCGTCAGTGACTGTGCAATTTGTGCAGGGCGTATACGTTGAAAGTTACGATCCCACCATTGAGGATTCTTATCGGAAACAAATCGAAATCGACGGAAGACAATGTGATTTGGAGATTTTGGACACCGCAGGAGTAGCCCAGTTCACTGCTATGCGTGAGTTGTATATTAAAAGTGGAAAAGGCTTCTTGTTGGTATACTCTGTGACCGATGAAAATTCGCTCAAGGAGTTACTTGCACTTCGAGATCAGGTGTTGAGAATCAAGGATCTGGACTCGGTGCCCATGGTGTTGATTGGTAACAAGTGTGACTTGGAAGAGGACAGAGTGTTATCAATTGATGATGGACTTCAAGTATCTCAAGAATGGGGGATGGTTCCATTTTATGAGACCAGTGCTATGTACAAGACCAACGTTGACGAGGCATTTGTGGACGTTGTGCGCCAGATAATGAGAAAAGAGGCCGAATTATCGGAGGAAAAGAAGCAGCAAAAGTTGCAAAAGCAGGCTGAGGCTGGCCCCGATGCGCCTGCAGGCGCTGCCGAGGCCGAACCGGCTTCGCAGACGGTGGCTGAGAAGAGACGATCGAGACAACGGCTGGTGGCCACCGAGGGCCATAAGTCGAAATGTTGCACGATTATGTAGTCATAATATTATAAAAGAGACAAAGTGCGAAGAGTGAAATTGAAATAGTAATTGAATGCGAAATTCACCTTAGAACTTAGTTCGACTCTTGAGCGATTAGATGTGACAGCTTTGTTCAATTTGTCCAGTTATATCACTGCAGCTATATTCAGTCTCTCTCCGAGGGGGAGCGAAAGAAAAAAAAAGAAGAAAGGGAATTGCTGGTGTGTAATGATACCCGCGAGATTCGAACTCGCGCCTCCGAAGAGACCAGGACCTTACCCTGGCGCCTTAGACCAACTCGGCCAGAGTACCCAATTCCTGGGTGTTTCCTCGAATACCGCTCCTATATATCCCTGACACTAGGCTGTCTACTGGAGCTGTGCATTGGAGAGTTAAGGGCCATAAACAACTTTTTTGAATTTTCCAACAATAACATTTTTTAAATTATCGACCCAAATGAGCGTGTTTCCTACTCATACATGTGAATTATAGCAGCTTTTTAGCTCTTTCCATTCTAGTATGCTACTAGAACCATTTGCAGCTTTAGGTTTCTTTAGCTGTCTATGTATCAAAGTCACGTGATACGACGGAAGATGGAAAGTGTAGCTTGAATTGCTAGTAGTAATTACTTGTCAATGAGCTTTTAAAGAGTATGTCTGGTCGCTTCCGAAAATTCATTGATTTGGACCAGAAAAAAAGTGTTATCCAAGGGTAGAAGATAATGCTATAAGTTCTGATAGTGAAAATCGAGATGGCCTTCATTAGTCAGTTGTGCAAAAAAAAAGACTTCTAGTATCCACAACACTCATATGACAAGGTGTATATGCTTTGAGTGATAGCCGCTTGCTGAAATCACAGTGGAGCTCTTTAACCCATTTAAAAAGCAAAGCTCAACAAAAATTGACTTTCAGAACACAAAGTTTGGTTTCTGTTTTGGCTGCAAGCTAGAATGGAAGATAGAGACACAGTTTTGCAGTCATTGAAAGATAAAACGAGTCCATTGAAATGACCTTTTGATGACGAATCATTTTTGATCATTATAAACTTGTTTATGAACTATGTCGTTCATTCCAAACTTTTTCTCGAAAATAACCACAATGATATCCAGCCATAGAGAGTTGTGTCAGTTGACCAATAGCAGTAACAATTGAATATGAAAGACGAGCAATTGCCAGATCAAGTAAGACCATCAAATTAGACCAATTAGGTAAGACCACTAATCAGATCAATTTGGTATGAACACCAAACAGGTTTATTGATTACTAAAGACCACAATGAACACTCTGTCTGAACATACGGCTTTCTGATAGCGTATATGAGGTCAGATCAGCATAATACTTCAAATCCTTTATTTCAGGCGAATACGGTAAGAGATATTGTGCTTTATTTCCAAAAAAATCAGTTTCAAATTTTACCTATTTTTTGAGAGTGCTTTTAGAGTTGGATTAAAAGTGGATTCAAATGTCCTTTTATTGAGAGATACTTTGCAACCATTCTGCACCTCACGTTTATTACCCGCTCTGGTGCCGCATCCACGTGCGCACACCGCGATGAGGTCGGCCGACCATTGATTCGGTACAATCAAATCCGGTTCTGTCGCTACATCTGCAGGCAGGCAAATAGGGCAGTAATGCTTCAGTTCCACAATATGGCATCATGGGTGCCACCGTTTACGAATCTGATCGATGCCGAAAAAAATAAATCCGGGAACTCGCCACCATTTACCGCATTTCAACTTGCTACCATCGGAAATGATGGATATCCGAGGACTAGAACTTTGATATTCCGAGGGTTCTTGTTCAATGACCGCAATACAAACGTGCTTATCGCCACCACCGATAAACGTATGAGCAAGTATTCGGAATTGCTTCACAATGACCGATTCGAAGCGGTATTCTATTTTGCTGGCATCAAAAGACAATTCCGGTTCAGGGGTCATGCAAAGATCATTGATGATGATCATATTCCGGCCTGTGATGCACCAAAGATCGATGATAATGAACCAGATAGTCGCATGTTGCCATATACGGTATTGTCACCATCTGCGGTACGGTCACAGCGTCCCGATTCGTCATACACCAACTTGAATGAACTCAACGTGGTCGACTTGCAGCCTCCAACTCGCCAAGAATGGAATCAGGAGGTGCGGCGCCAATGGGATGCATTATCACCGGCATTGCGGTCAACGTTCCGTAAACCACCCCCGGGTTCGGAAATTACAGATGAAAACCGGAGGGTTATTGATTCGATTCGCCGAGGGGTTGATGGTAAAAAGGAGGATTCCGGATTGAAGAATTTTGCCGTTATTGCCATGTTTGTCGACAAAGTGGATGTGGTGGAACTCGACAGAGACCGGCGATACGTATGCGAAAGGGAGGACGGAATGTGGGTAGAGACCGAAATTTGTCCATAAAGCATCAGTAAATAGCATATGTAAGACATATGATGCAGACACAATGCAGACATACGTAAATCAAAACGGAATCAATTGTAGCAGGAATATATAAGTGAGAAATTCAATGAAGAGTCAATGAGAGTCGATTGCGTCAATAGTGTCAATGGTGTCATTTAGCAATTAGCATTTAGCATTTGAATGGTATGTTAAATATTTTTTTACAACAAGCAGGTTGTACTCTTGCATCGCAGCTGCAAATCGTGAATATGCAGAAATTCGCAAAATCTACAAAACTCAATTCCGACCAACGGTAGCCAATACGGTCGTCTGCAGCAATAGCTGCATAACTCGTACCATCGGTCATCAACCTGATGGCAAAACACGCCTCCCACTATATAAATGGCCGCGTCGTTATCTTTTCTGTTTTCGATCACGCTTTTCGCACCCGCAGTTTTTAAATTCATTTCAAAACACAACTCGAAAACAACATCAATGGCTGCTACTAAAACGAAATCCCTGGCTCCTGCCACCTCCAAACTCACCTATAAAGGTATGTAATACACTTGAATTTGTAATTATTTATACTAACTCAGAAATGATCCAAGCTGCTATTGTTTCCCTCAAGGAACGAGCAGGGTCCTCGTAAGTACATTTTTATGGTTGTCCAAAAAAAACTAACATTAGTCGTCAAGCTTTAAAGAAGTACGTGCAAACAAACTTCAACATCACGGCCCACAACTTTGATTCGCTCTTTAATATTGCGTTGAGAAAAGGTGTTGATACTGGTGATTTCCTTCAACCAAAGGGCGCTTCTGGTCCCGTGAAAATGGCAAAGAAACTGGTTGCTGCCAAGACCGCCAAGGTCACTAAACCAGAGAAGCCCAAGAAGGCTACCACGGCAAAGAAGGAGAAGGCTGTTAAGGCTATCAAGGCAAAGCCACCAACGGTAAAGTCGGTGAAGCCAAAGGCTGCTACCAAGAAAGTCGCGAAGACCACCAAGACTACCAAGGCGAAACCAAAGACAGAGAAGAAGGCGGAAAAGACAAAGGCGACAAAACCAAAGGCGGAGAAGACGAAGGCTGTGAAGACGGAAAAGAAGACCAAGACTGCAAAGAATGCAAAGCCTGTGAAGAAAGAGACTAAGAAAGAAACTAAGAAACCCGCAGCGAAAGTTACCAAACCAGTCACGAAAGCGAAAGCTACAAAGGCTGCCAAAGTTGTGAAGCCAAAGACCGCAAAGGCTGCTGCCAAGAGCGGAAAGGTCACCAAGCCTAAAGCCAGAAAGTGAACCTGTGTACATTAGTGTATCATATGTATAGTATTGATGTTTATTTTGAGCCGCGGCTGCGATGCGGCTGGTGTGGCATCGAGCGCGCATTTATTTGAATCATCTTTTGCCCCGCGCCTTCATGCGTCAACCTCCTATAGCGTTGATAGTTGCGGCGTTGCTACCAGACCTCGGAATAGGCTTTGGTGGTGCCCTTCCATGGCGCCTCAAACAGGAAATCAAGTATTTCCGCGACGTCACGTCAAACGCACCTGACGGATCCATCAATGCAGTGATCATGGGTCGACGTACCTGGGAGTCGATCCCCCCTCGGTTTAGACCTTTACCCAACCGGATTAATGTGGTGTTGTCGCGTAGCAATCCGAATTTGGAGGAAAATGACGTGTTTTGGGGTAATTCTTTTGATACCGCGTTAGAGTTCCTCCAAAAACGTCACGATATCAATAAAATATTTGTCATTGGCGGCGCTGAAATATACAATCAGGTGATTAATGACCCTCGGATTTCACATCTCCTTTTAACGGAGGTGTCTGCCAATTATGACGCAACTATACCGATGGATAGATTTTTACATTTCCCGCGTGAAGCATGGACCCGCAGTCCACATCTGCAACTTATCCAATTTACGGGGATTGACGCCACCGACTCAACTATAAAAGAGGGCGATTTCTCCTACAATTATTCCTTGTGGTGCAAAAAATAAATAACGCCTATCTAATATAATGACGATTCAACTTGTCGATTTCGTGGCAGAGAGTCCACCAGCAATCTCCTCGGGTAAGGTGCAAATGTTCTTCGTATAAAAACAACTCGTAGAGAAATCGAAGATTTGGCTGGATAATGATATTCAACCGACGAACCCGAACAAACATGTAGGCACTGATGAATGACATCCGGTTGTACTTCATGAGCCGGGCAATCACCACCGATGCCGACCGTGAGACGCCAATTCGACAATGAACAAGGGTGGATGGACAATTCAGTTCCGGTCCAAAGAGGGCAGTTTGAACTTCTTCCGGTCCCACAAGCAACGGCCAAAGTGAGTCTCGGCCGTCGTCGTGAAGCTTGTGGACGTACACGATGGTTTCGAGTTCGGGATACTCGGCGAGCCGGTTTTGTTTGGCAATGTTGATGATGTAAACCGAACATCCATCGTACTGGTACACTGGCGAAACCACCGGCAAATCCGAGTCCCGGACATCAAAATCAAACTTGATGTGTAACTTTGAAAACCACCGGGGTCGTTCCCCCATAGACACAATCTTGGTGATTCCAATTGATCTCAATATGGTGATAGAAGAAGCCTGGGCATGCGACCCAAGGTGGATATTGTCGATAATTTTGGATGGAAAGTTGTTATCTTCTCTAATATTGAACCAGTCAACATCTGGTGCAGTGGAAACGATGGTGGGTTTGGGAATTTCATCAATTAGCGTTTCTGAATCCAATGGTATATTCTTGGCCGCTTGAATGTACGGGTTAAATTGCTTCAAAAACGCAAAATCATGGCGATAGTAATAGAGCCGAAGATCGTCTCTACCGGCACACGTCTTGTTCTTGTTGCCCAACAATTTCAAAATGACCTCTTCCACACTGATGTTTGCATTCAAATTGAACAAACCCAACGCAATGGTGAACATGGACAAACCAGAAAACCCGTCGACGCAAAACACAAAAATGTCCTGTTTTCTCACTTTGATGAAATATCGTACTAGTTGCAAAACTTTGAGCATGCTGAGCGACTCAGAGTCCGTTAATGAGCCCGCCATGACTATACCTGAGCTTGGGAACTCAATGTACAATGGATTGCACGCCAGCGAGCTGCGGATATCGGCAAAGGCTTTATCGAGCGACTGGGGATTGGGAAACTGAGCCTTTTCGTGACAGTTGATATAGACTCGAAAGTTGTGTTTCGAGGTTCGACTGAGATATGAGAAATCGGTCAATGTGCCGAGACATATACCCGGATACGCCCACTTGATCGAGTTCAATTTCCAGATCGAATTCTGCTCCCACTGAAGGAGTTTGGGAAACTCGGTGGGTTTGGTGTCGTTCAAGAAACCAGCACCAAGTTGGTCCCATTCTTCCACTGGAAAGTCCACGATATACACCAATTTATCCTGCTGCGCCAGTGCCTGAAGCTCAGTGGCAGCTTTGATGTTGCGGTCCCAATCCATGTCGTTGCTGAACACGAGGAAATGTGACAAGGAAGCAGCAATTTTTACTTGTCCTGCAAGGTTGCGATTGTTGATTCCTTCGAGCGACGATGCTTTGGCCACGTTCAAATGCTCGCACTCTGCGTACTCAAAGTGGCCATCGTCATCATCATCCTCCAAAAAATGATTTTCCTTTGGTGTTAAAACGTCGTCGAGATACGAAGCATTGATAATTTTGGGAACCGAGGACCTTGCAGCATCCACAGCCATCAAGGAAAAGTGGCTGTGGTTTCGGATTTGCGGCTTTTTCGGATAATGGGCGTACGAAGCAAGCCTTAACAGATCCTGAGGGCTTGCGTACGACTCGAAGAAGAGTCGTTGTGATTTGTTGTGGAGTCCGTGCAAGTACGGAAATGCTGAAGACGCCGGAATGAGCGAGTTTTCTCGGCCATAATAATAGGCGAGCAACTCATTTAAATGGTCCACCGATGCAATCTTGAGAATGCGCCCGTTACCGTTGACGTGGGATAAACGGTCGTTGAACGTGCATAACCATTGGTGCTCCTCCGGCAACAGAGTCAACCCCACGTTCATGGGCACGGTTCTAGGGGTGACAAGATCGACTGGATGGTGTCGGCGTGGCAGGTGCCTTTCTTGAGTTGTCTTGTGCAGAAGATAATTTAGCATGAGACGGAAGAAAAGGATGAGGCCCAACCCTTCTATATATACGTTGGGTCGTAATTTTTGAAGGGAGCAGCATTTGCGCCTGTCAACGCAGGTTACGTCCTGAGACGTGCATAAGCCTGCTCAGATCGTGCAGTATTTTGCGCCTAGACCGTTTAAGGAAGGGCACCGCGCCGTTAATTAAGGATTAAAATTAGCCGTGGTTCACAACCGGCAGCCCCTTCGGTGCAGCATCCCACATGCGCAATTTAGTGCGCATCCGGCTGATAAAAGATATCGGGTTCGCAACGATGTCAAAATCTCGTTTCGTCTCGCTTACATCGGTACCGCGACTATACCATTGACTACATGAAAGTGATGATTCTAGACCACACACCCTAGGGCGAGCGGTGCCTTGCTTGGTTCCACGGCAGCGTGCGTATGCACACCGGCAAACCTTTCCTTTCTCCGATGACAGTTCTGACCCCAGAGATACAATGAAGTGCGCAAAAAAGAACAAAGCCACTCATTGATAAATTTACTCGCACCGGCAGCAGTTTACCTGTGGTGGCATGGCTGCGGCGCATGAGTAGACATAGACGCTGTGGATGCCTGCAGCCAAATGTCCCCGTGCGTCAATTCTTCTGTGCAGTGTGCGACCCGAAAAAGTTTACCCAACATGATGATTCGTCGGTTTTTGTCATCGGCGGCGTACGATGCCACATTAAACACACTCAAGCGGGATCTTAAGACCGCCATGATGCAGAAAAAGGCGGTGGAAAAGAACACCGTCAAGTCGGTGATTGCAGCCATCAAGGGAGCCGAAATCGACGGTCTGAAACAGGACGAATTTGCACTTTTCAAGACGCTTTCCAAAATGCACAAGCAGCGAGTTCAGTCTGCTAGTGAATATGCCAGTCAGAACCGAGACGACCTTGCTCAGGTGGAACAGGCAGAGGCAGGCATCATTGAGCGGTACTTGCAGCTGCTTCCAGTTGCATCGTCGGCGCAGGTGCAGGACAAACTTCGCCAGTTTTGTCTGCAGGTCCAGAGCCAAGAGGGAGAGGTTCCTATGAAGAAGGTGTTTGGGATGGTTGGGGAGGTTGTAGGCGAGTGGAACACGTCTATGGAGCTTGTGAGACCGTTGGTACCTGGGGTTTACAAGGAGGTTTGGGGAGATAAGAAGAAGTAACCCAACAAGCAAGCATGGCCAACGAGCCAAAGCAAATAAGCCAACAAAGAACCAAGAAACAAAAACCAACAAAGAGCAAACAAAGACAAAAATGAGATAAGATAAACGTAAATGTAAATAGGTAGATGCTAAACTAGCTCAATTGCTCAAAGAAGCAGTAAGAAAGCCATACAAAACAAGAAACAATAACGAACAAAAACGAACAATATTTTGGTATTATACCAATATATTCTCAAGAAAATGACTAAATCAAGTACAAGCATACTCTACAACATCAATTGACTCTCCTTTTTTTATTCCTCTCCAGTTTCCACTACTCTCACCTTTTCGCGAATTCGCACCGAATTTCTTCTTCATGTCTGAAGTCAAAAGAACCATCCGAATCACCACGGAGCAACACGTCATGAAAGACGTTCCGCCGGTGGAAAACTTCCCCATGCGTGAGTGGTCTGTCCAGGTGACTATGCTAGACCAAGCTGGGAACGAAATTGCCGCCAATATTCTCGATCGTGTAACCTACTCGCTCCATCCCACTTTTGCCAATCCCATTCGTACGTTAAAACTGCCACCATTTTTGGTCAAGGAGCAAGGATGGGGAGAGTTCGATATCCCTATTACCGTCCATCTTGTTGGAGTGGCGGGAAAACAAGGAGAACGCAAGTTTTCTCACGATCTCAATTTTCTCCAAGAAAAGTATATTGTAGACCACAGTATTTCTGTGCCCACCACCAAGTCGCCCACGCTCAATAAGCTCTTGTTGGAAAGCGGGCCGGTTCCCAACGCAGACAACATCGAACTGAGCAAAAGACGCAATGACGGCGATATGGGAAGCAAGGTGAAAAAAGCGAAAACCGGCACTGGAGCCGTCAAAGGTTCGGTAGATTTGGAGAAACTTGCCAATGGGCTCACCAAGCTCGGCGAGGACGACTTGATTGTGATTGTGCAGATGGTTACCGACAACAGAACCAATGACATGAACATCAAGAACGACGTGGATAACGGCGAGTTCACTATGGATTTGTATACGTTGCCGGAGCTGTTGTTGAAGAGTATGTGGGAAAAGGTGCGGCGGTATGTGGAGTAGCTAATAAATGAACGAATAAAAAGTGAAAAAGTGAAGAAAGAGAAAGTGAAGAAAGACTTGAAAAAGTGAATGTGAGAATTTCTACTTGTGTGAGTTTTTGATGAAGGTCTGGGATTGGTAGCAACGTTTCCAATGGCTGGATGATATGATCGGGTTGAAATGAAAAGTACGGAGATTCCTGAAAAGTGTTTAAATATAAATTGAAACTTCTGAAGTATTGAAATTTAAAAGTAGAGAAAATTGAACTGAAATTTTCGTATTGAAAGTCTAGTAGATGATGAAAAAATTATTGAATGTTACTGAAGTACTTGAGTGTAGATGAGAAGGTAGTGATAGTAACTAAAAAAATTTCAGAGTATAAAATTACTCAGAAATGAATACTGATAAGAGTAAATTTTCATTTTTTAGTCTCTTCTGCTTTGGAGTTTAGTAGTACGAAAGCTATTGCGCGTAATTAATGCATTTAACACAGTCAGGTCTTCTTGGAAGTTAACACAGCTTGCAGCTAAATGTAGTTCAGTGATATATTTTTGGCGGCTGAAAAATACTATAAACCAGGTACTTCAATTTAATTTGTAAAGAAAAAGAAGCTCTCAGCCGAAAGTATAAACCACTAAAGAGATGAATATGAGCCATAAATACTCAGTTGACCAAATAGATAGCTCAAGCTTGATAGCAGCCTTAATTTTGATACGTGAATTGACGAGGACCAGTACATTATACACCAAAGTTTGAGTACTTGAGTGAGTCTTGAATCAAGTACTTAAAAGTTCACTCAACTTCAACCATAAAATACATTCTAAAGTCTATGCCGACCAGATCTTGACCGTGTGGTCCCATGAAGACGTTGCCAATGCCACACCATCTCTGCTCGCTGCCACTCCTGTAATTCGGTCCGAGTGTCCACCCGTCATCACTCCAATCACCTGTCCCCCAAGAGTGTCCCAAACCACCCCGCCGTATTCGGCGTAGCACGAATATAGCACTCGACCCGACCGACTGAATGCCACTGATGTGACTCCAGGACTATCAAGGGTGTCGTTGGAGCTGTGATTATCGGACCCAGTACTGACGGGCCGTCGTCTGTAGCGAGCCGCTACCGGAGCCAGCACTTGCAGTTGCAGCTGCAAAGAATAAGAAGCAATTTCGCTGTCGGCACGCCGGTCGAAAAGCCGTACAACGCCATCATCCGACCCACTTACCACCGCATTTCCATCGGGAAATACCTCCACACAAGTAACGTCGCTGCCTACAGCAAAAGTCTGTGCCGCGGCTGCAACCCGAGGGTCCCAAACTCTTACGGTTCCGTCGCACAGACCAGTGACAAATTGCAGCTCGAAACTGCTGCGGAAAGCGGCCACACACAAAACGTCACCAAGATGATCCACATACTCACAGGTTCGTTGACCGCGCTCAACATCCCAGGTAGCACAAGTCATGTCGCCGCTACTGGTGACGATTTTCAGGTCGGCGAGAAATTGGCACCCGGAAATGTATGCTGTATGGCCTTTGAAAACCGATTGAACGCGCAGGGTAATACCATACATGGCATGGCCCAATTCCGAATCCGATTCCATGGTATCGTTCCCTACCGCGTAAACCGTACACGCATTGTCAAGACCAGCACTAGCCACAAACCGTCCGCTAGGTGCATATGCACATGTCAAAACCCAATTGTTTTCAAGCGCAATTGCCTGGGTCTTATATCCGGTTACTGCATCCCACACAAACATATACCCGTCTTGACAGGCAGATACGAGACTTTTCGAATCGTCGCTCCACTGGATCAGCGCTATCTTATCGCGGTGCGTCAGAAGCGTATTGTAAACCCGAAGATTGACATCACTGGGTTGCAATCTGGACACCTGCTTGCATACGCTCATCAAGTCACCATCACGAACCCGTCGCTGGCACTTCCCGAGCTCGGTATAGAGAATGCGAGCATCGCCGCGGGCCTTTTTGATCTTTTCCTCGATGGAATCCGCCATGGTTTTGAGTGGTAAAATTACGGACATCCCAAAAGTACCACATCTGAGCGTGCGGCTCAACTTCCCCGAGCGGCTGCAGGAATTTGGGCGGGGCTCGCAATCACTTGATACTGGGGACAGGTGCAGCAGCGGTTTTACGGCTGCGACTTCTTTTCGCTTCTCGCGACCGATCTTCTCGTTCAAGATCTCCTGTCACCTTCTGCAAGTACGTGGGAACCGGCATACCGGTCTTCAAAAAAAACATCTTCCAGTTACGAGCCTTGTCTTTGAGTTGCATCTGGTTTCTATTTTTCAATGCTTCCGATATTTTTCCACCGGCTCCAAACAATTCCAAAATTGTCAGCCATTGAGGACCCTTGAGCTCAAGCGCTTGTCGAAGCGCCTTCTCCTCGTCTCGAGTCCATGGCCGGCGCTGAGGATTGCGTACCGTTGAATTTGGATTAAATCGAAGGTGGATTTGCTGCTCTTGAATTTCCGACGGTAAAAGGTTTCTTGTGATTTCGTCGATTTCGCCCAACTGTTCAGGGTTGCGAGCGGGCGCTGGGGGTGCACTTTTGTGGTGAGACCCTGCTTCTCCGGTATAGTTGTAGTCGTAGTCGTGAGAATGGACCCGGTGAGAATCTTGTTGACGACTCTTTTCGGCTGCGGAATTCGACGATGCCGGCCGACGCCGACGGCCCCATACTACATATCCCACGTTCTTGCCCACATAGTCGAAAAGATCACGAAGAAACGCAAACCAGTCGTATTCCTCACTAAGAGAATGTCCGTCGTATCTGAGAAGCGTGTCTTTACGAGCTCGACACCGGGCCACAAAATCGGCCTCCACTGGTGTAAGCATTCTAGAATTACGCCAAGCAAGAAGCACCGGTTCCATGTCCGGAAGAATCTCGTCAAGAATGTCCTCGCGCGATCGGTCGCCAACTTCCAACGCCGATATGTATGCTTGGGTTTTAAGGTCGAGGAACAATTGCGCCTGAGGTTTGAGGAGACGTCCAGCATCGCCATTGGCCCCGGTTTGCAAGTTCATGTTTTCAGCCGACATGTTGGACATCAGGTTTTCCACATCGAGGCCATGGGGCGGACAGAACACATTGAGAAAGAATTCGTTGAGATAGAAAAATCCCACCTCGATGGTTCCAAGCGCAGCCACCAAAAACGTCGCCAAGTTGACTTTGCGGAGCGTTGATTCTATACTTTGCTCGCGGTTTTTAAAGACATTGGGCGTTTGATCGCCTTCTTTCCACATTCCAGGTGCTATGTGTTCCACCGATAAAAACGGATCTTCTTCCAGATACAATCGTTTCGTAAATTCAAAAAGTGAGGTGAGATCACGATAAGCCGCTCCCGCCGCAGAATCAGGGTTTGAAGCAAGCTCCACAACTTTCTGGTACGGTCCGACAGCCACCATTCGAAGAATTTGAGTAGCCAAATTATCGAGAGTAGGAAGCGAATTTACAAGCAATTGGATCCGAGGAGCAACATAATCTGGAGCCACAATCGGAAGCGGAAGCGCTGCCAAATGAGCACTGGTGACCAGGGCAAGAGGTGGGAGCGAGCTGGAAAGCGCTGTGTATGCGGCGAATGCCGTGTTGGTATTGAGTAATTCGGAATCAGCCGGTATGGTTATGCCCTCATGAACCACCGACGACAGAGATGCATTGTTATCACCGGAACCCGCTGCGTCTACGGAATCACTTGTACCTGCAACCACCGAATGTGAACCTTCAGAATGTAATCGGGGGTCATGGTTATGGTGGGGGGTATGATCATGATTGTGGTGGGGGTCATGGCCATGGGGAACTTGTGGGTCGTGGTGCACTGCAGTCAGAGCATCGCCCTGAGCCTCTTCTGGTGGATTTGTGAGTTCTCGTTGATGGTCTTCAATCGCCTTTTCAAATTCAAGGTCCAAATTACCTTCTTGTAATCGAGGTCTTTTTTGCGCCGGTCCTTCCAGATCAGCTCTTTTGTTTTCGTCGTTAATCGACTCGGAGATCATCTTGTCGATGTCATCCATATTGATATGCATGCCGTCGAGGTCATGCTCGGACTTTGGCTGCACCGGCTTCATGTTGACGCGATGAGATGTTGATGATTGATGTAGGTGCGCGGCCATGTGCAGGAAAGCGAAGAAGAAGCCAAAAAGGAAGCAAAGAAAGAAATTAATTGGGAAACTAACCTTGAGTTCCTTGAGTTCTAAGGAGTCAAGAAGCAGCCTCCATTTGGAAAGCATTCGATGTGATTATTTGAGTAAGTTTTGTGCTCCGTTTGCAAATTTCAGCTGTGACCAACTACACCCTAACTTTTCCATCCACTTTCTCCCTTTTTAAACTGTAATAAACAGCTTCTACAGATAAAAAGATTTCCAAAAAAAATCAGCGAATTGCCTCCTTAAATAGTCCAGAGTCTCCAATATGGCTGCAAAACATCCCTCGCTTAGTGCAGGACGACGCACGTCACCGCACCTCATGCAGCATTACCGGTCCTACTTTAATCCGACCTAAACCGACTTGAAGGTCACACATCTTTGCTGGCGTCTATAAAGGGCCGCCAAATGCCGCCATTCCGCCATTTTTGTGGTTTCATTCATCAGGCATCCCAACACTGCATGCAGGTCCGACCGCTGTCGCACCCCCATCCCAAATCGGGCAGTAAGCGCACTGGCGGCTTTTCCGTTTGCGCCGAAAGCAACACCTATAAAGGTGCACTTTTCCAGCCGCTACCAATCAATTCATGTCCATTTGTGAAAAATACTTTCCCAGAGAACCCTCTGCTCCTGTGGTCTCTTCGTCATCTACTGGCGAAGCCAGCAAGGCTGAGATCAAGACTCTTGACAAGACTTTTGATTCTAGAGCAGCTTACTTTGTTGCCGACTACCAAAAATCTGAGGGTAATTACATTGCCGATGTCGATGGAAACTTATACTTGGATGTGTACGCCCAGATTGCATCGATTCCTCTCGGTTACAACAACCCCGAGTTGATTAAAACCGCAAAATCAGACAAGATGATTCGTGCCATCGTCGACCGACCTGCGATGGGAAACTTCCCAGGTGCTGATTTGAAGGAAATCACCCTGAAATTGTTGGAGTTTGCTCCTAAGGGTCAGGACAAGTTGTGGTCTGGGTTATCTGGTGCCGACGCTGTGGAATTGGCGTTCAAGGCCGTCTTCTTCTGGTACCAATCCAAGAAGAGAGGCTACGCCAAACCTTTTACAGCCGAGGAAAACGAGTCGGTCATGAAGAACCAGGCTCCAGGATCTCCAGAATTGGCCATCTTATCGTTCGAGAGATCTTTCCACGGGCGCTTGTTTGCTTCTGGATCCACCACGTGCTCCAAGCCAATCCACAAGATGGATCTTCCCTCGTTCAAGTGGCCCAAGGCACAATATCCTAGCTACAAATACCCCTTGGAAGAACACAAGGAGGAGAACAAACGCGAGGACGAAAGATGTCTCAAGATTGTTGAAGACATTTTCTCTACTTGGAAATGTCCAATTGCTGGTCTTTTGATCGAGCCAATTCAATCGGAGGGTGGTGACAACCATGGTTCAGCCGAGTTCTTCCAAGGACTTCGTGACATCACCATCAAGCACGGCGCTCTTTTGATCATGGACGAAGTCCAAACTGGTGTTGGAGCAACCGGCACATTCTGGTGTCACGAACATTTCAACTTGAGTCCTCCTCCAGATCTTGTCACTTTTTCAAAGAAGTTCCAGTCCGCTGGTTACTTCTTCCATGACCCAGAACTTGTTCCTGATTTTGCTTATCGTCAATTCAACACCTGGTGTGGAGACCCAGCCAGAATGATCTTGGCTGGAGCTATCGGTGACGAGATTGTCAAGCACGACTTGGCCGCCAAGGCACAAGAGGTTGGTGACTACTTGTTCAAGAAATTGGAGTCGTTGCAATCCAAGTACCCCAAGTATCTTCAGAACCTCAGAGGAAAGAACAGAGCAACTTTCATCGCCTGGGACTTGCCTTCTGGAGACGCCAGAAACAAATTTCTTAGTGATATGAGAGCTGCTGGTGTGAACATTGGAGGCTGCGCTGAGGCTTCGGTTCGTTTGCGTCCAACATTGGTGTTTGAACAGAAGCATGCCGATATCTTGGTGGCTGCTATTGAGAAGGTTTTGGGATCTTACTAATTTAAGACGGTGGTTATTTTGCACAAACGCAGAATTTCGCGAGGTGAATTTGTACCACTATGTTTCCAGTTGATTTGAATGATATTTTGTTCTATCTCGTCGTCAGTAGTGTTGTCGTCCTTCTCCATCCGCTGCGCTGGTGGCATGCATTTTACACTATCAAATTTATTTTCGGTTCCTTGTGCAAAGCGTTGGAGAGACGAGTGACGCCATTTCCTTACCGGAGCCATTTCAGCCAACAGGTGACCACAAAAGGGTATATTCTTGTACAGTATCTCAAAGCAGCTTTGGAAAATGAATTGAAACCGTTTGAAGAGATTGGAGTACATTTTTTAACCGACAGTCGTCGTAGTCGCTATGCTGCTCATGGTCTTGGAGACATCACAGTTCAACACAAAAAGACGATTCGAGTGTTTGGTTCAAAGAGCAGAGACCAGTTTCCCATAGATCTTCTCGTTCTTTATTTCCACGGAGGAATAGGGCTTGGCGACGAAAATGGAGAGCTTTATACTGAGTTTCTTTCTTTACTAGCGGTCAAGTTTCTCGAACAAGGATTTACAAACCCGGTGATAGCAGTGCCAAAGTATGGAAATGGCAATGGTAGTGTTTCTGTGAGCGACTTGGTACCAGAAGGATCCAATTGTCACGTAGTGGTAGCGAGCGACTCGGTGGGTTCTTCGTTTGCGTTGCTGCAGATGTGCGAAATGGCTGCGAATTATGAGGGTGGTGTTGCTGCAGCGGTGTTGATATCGCCTGTAGTGGGCGAAGAACACGGCTTCAGTACCGCAACAGACGACTTTATCTGCCGCAATACCATTGATGGTTGGAAAAGGCGTCTAGGGTCAAATTTCACCAACACCACCACTGTCGAGCCTCGGTACGGGTGGTACATTACGTATGGATCCGAGGAGTTTTTGGCACCTGCAATCGAAAAATTAGCCCAGTCTGTACCAGGACGAGTCAAGTTGGACCGGCAATTGGCCCAGGTCCACAATTGGCCGCTAATATGCTTTTGGACCGAGTCAACCATCTACGACCGTGAGGTGAGCATCGAGTCTATTGCAGTTCAAATATCACGCATGGTTCTCTGGAACACGACCAGTTACTTTGAGACGGGTCCCTCCCAGCCACGGGTGCCGCCAAACCTTGATGAGGTGAGTATATAGCTAATGCAGAACTCCACCAAGCCAATGAAAATTACAGCAGCTTACCTCTTGATCTCGTGCTTATGGTTATTGTTCTGATTTCTCGTGCGCACCCGTGCACCACTACAAACCAAATTCTCACCAAACGCCGGGCAGCTGTGTTGACCAAATGGGGTCGCTATGGACGGGTATGGTCAGCGAGACCAAGGCGTTTGTCAAAAACGAGTCCAACGCGTCCTTTCTAGCGGGCGGAGTCGCGGGAGCTGTTTCGAGGACGGTGGTGTCTCCTTTTGAGCGGGCCAAAATTTTGCTCCAACTTCAAGGCCCGGGTTCGGCCCAAGTGTACCGAGGAATGTTCCCGACGATTGCACGAATGTACGCGGAAGAAGGGTGGAAGGGTTTGTTTCGAGGGAATTTGCTCAATTGTGTTCGGATCTTTCCATATAGTGCGGTTCAGTTTGCGGTGTTTGAAAAGTGCAAAGAATTGATGATGGATCACAAGCCACCTGGCCACGATCTTCTGGCGTATGAACGCTTAGCGGCGGGACTGGTCGGTGGGATCGTTTCTGTGGCGGTGACATACCCATTGGACTTGGTTCGGGCTCGAATTACCGTGCAAACGGCGTCGCTTTCAAGGCTTGAAAAAGCCAAAATGGTGCGAGCTCCGGGCATTGTAGAGACCCTTGTGCACGTTTATAAGAACGAGGGAGGTTTTTTGGCGTTGTACAGAGGAATTGTACCCACTACCATGGGCGTGGCTCCATATGTGGCCATTAACTTTGCCCTTTACGAAAAGCTTCGAGACTCCATGGATGCTTCTCAAGGGTTTGAAAGTCCCATGTGGAAGCTAGGAGCAGGAGCGTTTTCCAGTTTTGTAGGTGGTGTGCTCATATATCCATTGGATTTGTTGAGGAAAAGGTACCAAGTAGCCAATATGGCTGGCGGAGAATTGGGGTTTCAGTACCGACTGGTGTGGCATGCACTTTCTTCTATATTTAAGCAGGAAGGGTTTTTTGGTGCCTACAAGGGATTAACGGCGAATTTGTATAAAATTGTGCCGTCCATGGCTGTTAGTTGGCTCTGCTACGATACGATGAAGGAAGCTATACGACAGTGGTAGGAGGAAGGAAAGTGACTAAAGCTTAAGATTGTCAAGAGAAGATTGAGACTTGGAGTTAAGACAAAGTTAAGACAAAGTTAAGAGAGAGGACAAAAGGTAAAGACGAAGAATCGAGACTTGGAATACAAAGAGTTAAGACTTGGAAGACATGGAGTAAGATTGAGAGTTGACAGAGAAGAGTTGGAGATAAGAAAGAGCTAAGAAGAGTCAAGACTTGGAAGACAAAGAGCTAGGACCAAATGTCTAGACAAAAGGTAGACTAAGAAGTCGAGTCAAGACCAAGTGCTTAGTACAAGGAGCTAAGAAAGCTTAATACTGGATTCAAGACAAGCTAAGGTATAACTAGCCTTAGTCTAAGAGCCTAACGACTCAGCTCAACGAGTTCAAGAACACTAATACTAAGTCTTGAAAAGACTTAGGAAGACTAAGAGCAGACAGCTCACCAGACGCATACGACATAGACATTACCATTTCTGTTTATAGATCCACACCATTGACATTGCCGGAAAGAAGTCAGTAAATGGGTGCAATTCAAATATATTCATAAAAACAAAACTAACTAAAAAACATCAAATCCTTCTATTGGCCCCAGACAAATGGATCAATTGACCAGACATAATACCAAACTCCTCAATAAATTCATGTCTTGTTGAAAGTATCAGGGACTATAAGCAAATTTTGCCTTGAACCAATTGCCAAACTTGAGATTGCCTTGAGTAATTCCATCTTCAGTTTTGACTTGCAGCGGGCGGTCGATATCAATATCCCGAACAATTTGCATTAATCTGTCCAAGTTTGAGCCTTCGTTTGAGAGGTTTGAGGTGAGCCTTGTGATTTGTAATAAGTGGTCGTCTGAACTTGACATTGTTGAGATTTGTGATCTCAGGAACCCATATTTATAGCTTGAGGTCTTATCGCATTAGGCAATAGAGAGGCTAGAGCGCAATATTGGGGCTTAAATAGGTATTAGGAAATATGGCACTAAGCAATATTGACCCAACTTAAATTCAATTTAAAATTCTTGTTAAATTGTACATTGCCTTTGTCATGAATTGACAATGTTCAAGAAGTTTCAAGCCGCTGATTGCAATTCATACCCTGTAAAGTCATTTTTATATTTGACACATTTTTTCGGCGCCGCACAGTATGGGGCCAATTGCAGCATCAGCCCCACACCCATGCCGTATCATATGCACTTTGCAACATAAAACTGATATAAACTGTGGCAAGAGAAGCTAAAAGAACCAAAAAGAACTTTTTGCAACCAATTTCAATGATTGATTTGGGAAACTGAATTGCGCTTGAGCCGTCCATCATTTCGTGGGCATGGAATTACATAATTACATAATTGACAGTCTTATCGCACTCAGCACACCTATCAAATGTCTCACCAACTTTAAAGACACAACATTTTGATTCAAAGCACTAAAGGTCTATGATATCTCCGAGCAAATAATGTTGCATAATCTGCGAGCTTGAGACAATAGAATCTTCGATGATATGAATAAGCTTATCAGCGCCACTACCCACACGATAGTCTAAGCCGCCTTTTAAAAATTGCTGATCAATCAACCAGCAATAAAGGGGCCCCAAAAGAGTCACCTGGTGCTGATAAGATCACATTTATCTTTCTCTTTCCGCGCCGTCGTACCAGATTAATTCCATCAAGTCTAAGTTTACGAGATCACAGCTGGCAGAAGCTGATTAAAGAGGTAGTTAACAAAAGAGTTGATCGCATATTCCCCTCACTAGCCTATAAAAGGAAACGGAAAGACGGAATATCCTATTAATCAAATGAAATTAAGAATTGTTTGTGGTCTTGTGTGCATATCTTATGCCATTGCTGCTTTACCAGAATTGGTAACTAACTTGGATGACAACATGATTTGTTATCTTCATATGTGGGGGTTGAGATCAGGTACGAGAGAGATAGGGGATGGGTACCTTTTTGGTTTCTTTGATGAGAAAACATATACTGCTGTTCCTTTTGTAAAGACCACCAAGAATCCACAGCAAGTGATTGGCCAAAAAGAGGACTTTGAACAGTTGACGAGAAATAATACTCATGCACCTACGTATAATGCAGACGTAGATTATTGTGCACAAGTGGAAGAATTACTAGAAATTGGAAAGAGCAATGGGAGTATTGTACCTAATACTCCTTATATTTTGAGAAGAGGTAAACGCTCTTGAATTTTCGTCAGCTGATTTGACGAGGCTCTACTGTGGTCATGAATTGCTATCCAATCCACACTCGATATTTGATACTTGAGGCTGTCAACACCAAAACGCTATTTGAATATTCATTTAGTATTTTAGTATTGATGGACTAAAATGACTCAAGTATAAGACAGAGTCAAGACAAAGAGTTAGGACAAAAGATAAAGACTTGGAGAAGCCAATTGCTAAGTGCTTTATGAAAAGGAAGACTTAGAAGACAAAGAGTTAGGGCAAGTGCTACTAAGACTTAACTTGCCCTAATCCAAGAGCTTAACGACAGAGCTCAACTAGTTCAAGACTAAGTCTTGAGACTAAAGAGTTTACAGCTACCCAGCGCATACAATAGACATAATCATGTCTTATTTATAGATTTCATACCATTGACCATTCACTCGTCAAGTACCGGAACGAGAACGAGAACGAGAACGAGGTACGGTGAAATGGGTGCAATAATTTACATATTCATAAAAATCAGAAAACAAACCAAACAAACTCAATCAATACAAATGTCTTCAAGTAAACCCCAAACCCTTCAAGACCCCATCTCCTTCTTGTCCCTTAACTTTGTCCCTCCACTCCATTACCTTCCCCATCTCATCCCCACGCGCACGTGACCCACGTCCAACCACAACGCTCGATTTTCGCTCCAACATCACCTCATCCTTAACCATGAGACCCTCCAGAGTATTGTTAAATGCTGCCAAGGCCGCCCCCAAGACAAAGGTGCCCGTAGAAATGTACCCCTTGTTTGCTGCTGTCGGTGTCGCTTGTGCCTCGGGTGTATACTTCACTTATAGACATTTTGCTTACGACAAGGAATTGCGGTTATGGCAAAATGCCAATTTGTCGACGTTGGATGACGTTTTGAACAAGGAGGTGCAGAAGGAAAAGGAGAGCAAGGAGTAGGTAGTGAATACAAGCATTAAGACGAGGTTGAGTGTATTGAACAAGAGTAAATGAAAAACTAATTGGATACCAATTGAAAACGAATTGAAAACGAATTGAAGGATTAATTGAAAAACTAATAAAAACTACTTGAATTGGGAAATTATTGACTCAATTTGACTCAATTCTATTTTGGCTTATAAACTCATTGTTTATATTGCTCGTCCAAATGATTAATTCAATTGAAACGTGATCAATTCAATTGACTATTTGACTCAAACCAATGACTTGACTGATTCAATTATTACTCTTAATTTTTCTTCTTATGAACTTTCGTCCACTTTACTTCTTCTAACCACTATGTACAGCTATTTTCCTCACTGCTCTCGCTTCACCTTAACATTCGTGTAAATGTTGGTGATCTCGCTCACCTCGTCCAACAAGTCCATGGCTTTTCCATACAGCTTTTCGTGGTCACTGGGCACCTCCACCACATTATCGCCCACGGGAAGAAACTGGGTCTTGGAATCTCGAAGTTTGTAACCTTTTTCCGAGAGCAGATTCGAAACTGCAAACACATCTTGAGCATCTGTAATCACTCTAAAGAGACTTTCTCCTCCATATTCGTCATCAACGTCATCAAAAACCTCCACGTCCTCAGCCCCCACATCGATAGCAACCTCCAAAACGTCATCAATGGTTTCGGTGCTACTCAATGGCTCAAATATCACCGTTCCTTTGCGCTCGAAAAGGTATTGACATGGACTCATACTCGCTGAAAATTTCGACATGGCATGCTTCACCAACCCCACAGTTCGGTTCTTATTGTCCGTGCAAGCCTCAATGATGAACGCAGCTCCACCAGGACCAACAAATTCATAGGTTACATCGGCCGAACCTTCGTCGACGGAAAGTTCTCCAGTTCCTCGTTTTATGGCATTTTCGATAATTTTTTTTGTTACGTTGAGCTTCCGTGCCTTCTCCATGAGCGTAGCCAACTGTGCGTTGCCATCAACACCGCCAGTTTTGACCGAAGCTTGGATTCTTGTGGCCAAAGAGTAGGCTTCTCGGGCCTTTTTGGCGTCATTTTTGGCCTTGTCGTGGCGGATATTTTGCCACTTGGAGTGTCCTGCGGCTGCTTTGGTGGCTGAGGAAAAAGCTCGTAAGAGAAAACCAGCAGAAAAACCCTTTGGTTGGGCCCTGGTGCAACACTGTGAAATCATGGAGATTTTGCGCCCATCGTTCGCGATTAAAGACTGGTGCACGGGTGCGAGGAGAAGACAACCTGAAGAAAGAAGTGGGCGAACAGGGTGAAAAAAAGAGGAAAAGAGTCAATTTTTGGAACACACCCTGCCAACGCCAACAAGATCCCGCAAAACTCCCCAAACCCGTTTTTCGTGCGTTTTTCCCATTTTGCTCTTTCATTTATTTTCCACACCCGTGCACCCACGCACCAGTCCCTATCGCGACGAATCTCACCAATCTCTCCATGGCTGAGGCAATGAACAAGCGGGCTTTGATAGCCACCATTGCCGACGAGGACACTGTCACCGGACTTCTTCTTGCGGGCGTAGGACAGGTCACTTCGGAAAAAGGAAAAGAGACAAACTTTTTGACGGTCCAGCCAGGAAAGACAAGTGTCGAAGATATCGAGGCAGCGTTTGATAAATTTACCAGCGCCAGAGATGACATTGCCATCTTGTTAATAAACCAGCACTTGGCAGACCTCATTCGGTACAAGGTGGACAGCTATACTGATGCGTTTCCGGCGATTTTGGAGATTCCATCAAAGGACCACCCATACGACCCAGAGAAGGATTCGGTACTTAAGAGAGTCAGACGATTGTTTGGAGAGTAAAAGGGAGTAGAGTAATGTATGATTTGCTGAGAGCATTGTAGCGTGAATTGAGTAGTGAATTGAGTGATGGTGAATTGAAAGAGGATATAGTTGTCGCAATAGTTGTCTATATACCTACATTGTTCATGATATTTCTCACTTCTTTTTCACTTCACAAACTTTTATCTACTTCTTTCCCTTCTTCTTGTTCTTCTTCTTTTTCTTACTCTTCTTGTCGTCGGTATCCGGGGTACCCTCTTTCTCCTCCTCTTTTTCCTCGTTCTCCTCCTCCTTCTCCGGCTCTGCTGCCTCACTCACTCTCTCCACATCAGCGGCGGAATTTGCTGTGGTTGTATCTATGACCTTTGTGTGGGGGACCTCAGTTTCAGCTGTACCAACGTCCTCAGTTTCAGGAGCTGTACCAGCTTTCTCAGTCTCAGAAGCTGTACCAACGTCCCCAGTTTCAGGAGCAGGAGCGTCTGTACCTACCACGTCATTGAGAGTTGGAGGCGCCACACCGTTGTCCGAAGCGCCAGCTTCAGCAATATCAGTCACATCAGCCTCGACACCAGCTTTCTCTGGTTCCTCTTTGGGTTCGGGTTCAGCAACTTCTGCTTTGGTCTCAGGTTCAACAACGTCTGGCTTGGTGTCAGGTTCAGCAACTTCTGGCTTGATTTCAGGTTCAGCCTCTACAGATACTTGAGGATCTTGTTCAACAGGTTTAGATTCTGCTTCAGTTTCTTTAGATTTTGTTTCAGTTTCTTCCTCAGCTTCTTTAGATTCTGCTTCAGCTACTTTAGTTTCTGGAACTTCAGTCTCGGTTTTTGTTTCTGCCTCAGTTTCTTTTGTTTCTGGGACTTCGGGTTGCGGTTTGGACTCAAGCGAACCAGTAACCTTCGGTGCCTCTGGTTCTTGCTTGTCAGCCCAGTAATTTCTCGCAAATATATCCGGCAATACGCAGTCTTTCACATAAAAGTCTCGTACACCTACAATACGACGTTCACGTTCACACGCCTTGAGCCATTCCGGACGGATTATAGGAATGTTCATCTCACCCGCCCGCACAAACTCTGGGTTCTGTTTGTTTTCTCGGGTACACACAAAATGAGTGGTGTCCACTTGCACCAGGCGTTGCGGAGGATAATGTGCTCCCATATTCTTGAGCGCAGCTTCGATATCTGTGTCGGTAAAGGGATCATTGGGTGACATGTCGCCCAAACAGATGGTGATACCCGACAAATCGGTCATTTTATGGGTAGTTACCTCCACTTCTTGAGAATGGTACACACCGGCAGTGGTGTCCAACCGCAATTGGAAACGGAATGTTTTGTCAATGGGCAATCCAGACAACTTGGAGGTTCTGTTGGTCAACGGCTGAGGTATAGCTCCGAGCTTGCGGCCGTCTTTATACAAAACGAGGTTTTTCAACGTGGCCATTCCCAAATCAAGTGGTTCCCATTCCAAAATACACGAAGTTTGTGTGGTATTTTTGACTTTGAGCACGGGAGCTTTGGGAATATTCTTGCCAAACGTCTCGAGAATCTCGTCCTGAACCTTCTGGAACCTGGCAGCTTCTTGTTTTTCAGTTTCAACGTCTTGGTCGCATCTTATTTTCACAATCGAACCGGCCCTGACACCATTTGGAAGCAAAATCGTTGGAAATTCAATCATATGATGATCCTTGGTAAGGAGAAGTGCAAGCGATGCATCGAGCTTGCCCACGGTTAACGATACCTCCACCATAATGTGTTTGGGATATGGTGTTGAATAGAAAGAAACGATCAGTTCGTTTGTGCGAAGCGCGCGGTGGTGCAGGTAGGGTGGAGGGTGAGAGAGAGCAGAAAGAGATAAGATTAATTTAGTAAATGTAATAGGTTCTAGAGATACTTTCGTAGAGTGATATTAGCTAGATTTCCAGGTTTTGAATTTTTGGTTAAGGTTGGTCGCATTAAGTTTATGTCTCTGACAATTGAGGTTTCACTATTATCTCAAGGCTCCAGATTTAGAAGCAATTTCACTTGAGTTTTAGGAGTTCCCAGTCTTGAGTGTTTAGGTTAGCTTCGGGTTGGGCTTCGACACCAGGTTCTTCAAGGTTCAATTTTCGAGTCTTTAATTAGCAAGCTTTCGATGTTCAATACTTCAAGAAGTCAACTAGCTTCCAGCAGCCTCAAGACCAGTCTTGGCATTGAAGTTCATAAAGACTCTGAATTTGTGTGATTTTGTTCTTCAAGAAGTATTCGTGCGTTGACCTTCTTTTCGAGTCATTGGATATCAACAAGTCCTCAATAGTGAAATTGTTAGAGTCTTAAATCTCAAGTCTCGAGTCTCAAATCTCAAGTCCTCATCAAGCTATGTTATTGGATCGTCAGCAAGATACCAACAAGTCAAGAGTCTAAAATTCCTAAAGTCTTGAAATCTTCAGCCTTCAACATGTCTTCAGCGAACCTCAAATACTCCAGTCCAAAAAGCTTCACCTTTTGAAAATTCACTCAATGAGTCGTCAATCTCAAGTCCCTGGCCTCACGGCCAGAGTCTACGACATAACACCCATTGCTCGCAAATCATCAGCAATTTCTTCCTCACTGGCCTTCCGAAGCAAAAGTTCAGGAACCTGTTGCTCATCACCCAAACTGGACCCCACTGCTGCTGGAATTCCAGAAAATTCAACCAACCCATTAAGAATACCCAACTGGTGATTTATGGCATTTCGCTGGCTCACAAGCTCATAAAGCACGCTTTGAGGAAGTGCCGTTGAACCATCGTCATTTCCATCGTTGGATACAAAAGCACCTCCACTGGCACTATAACTGTAATCTGGAACTAGCTGGTCCAACTGGTTGCGCTCGCGGTTGATTTTGTACCACATGGAGGTTGTGTTGGTGATCATTTCGCTTTTGCTGTCGTAAACCTGCTTGAGAAAGTTTTGGTGAACTGCGGTTCGACATGCGACGGTTTCTCGGTCGATGCATTTGAGACGGTACGAAAGGTTGGAGTTTGCTTGGCGGAGGGCATCTTGGTGGAAAGCGTTGATCTTGTAGTAGATTTTGGAAAGTTCGGGATGTGAACCTTCAACACATAGTTGGAGTTCATGCTCTAAAAGATTGAGTTTATCATGGTACATTTTGTCTCGAAGTGACGCAAATGCTTTTTCGATTTCAATGAGCTCAGCAACCGCAGCTTGGCGTTTTTCACTCATATCGGCGTCTTCTTCTTCATCTTCTTCTTCATCTTCTGCTCCTTCTTCGTCGCTATTAGCTTCTTCAGCTCGAGCCCCAGGCTCGTCGGCTTCATCCGCTTCTTCTTCGTCTCCCTCGTCGTCCTCCGCTTCCGCCTCCGCTTCCTCTGCGGTTTCCTCAACCGTTTCGTGAACAACTGAATCCAAAGGTTCATCTTCAGGCTTAACCTTAGAGTCGATTTGGTCAGTTTCCTCGTCCACATTCTCACTTTCCTCATTCTTCACATCGGGCTCCACCTCAGACTTCTGCTTCTTTCTGGAGCGTTCTTCGTCGGAAACCTTTCTCTTTTTGGCCGGCTCTGGCCGGCTTTCGGTACTTTCCGACAGGCTTTCGACCTTACTTTCCGGACGCAACAGCGGGGTCGGTTGTCCCAATTCCTCGTGAATCGCATCTATATCCTTCATTATCTCACGGTTGGCTTCCTCGTTGTCCTTGGGGTTCAACGAGAGCGCTTGCTCGTCGCCCAGATGCGGCTCTTCCAACTTTTTCACGTCTTCTTCGTCGGAATCTACTCCCTGTAACCGTGCCAATTGCGTCAAATCCGAAAGTGCCCGGAGATCCAGCTTCTTATTCAGGTCATCGCCGTCCTCCAAAAAGTCCATCTGGTCGGTTTCAGCCTCGGAATCGTCACCCAAATCGCTCAATTCCGAACTTTCATCGGTGGCATTTTGCACTCCGGCCACAGATCCGACGCCAGCGTCATTTCCATTTGGTACACCGGCAGGCACAGTGCTACCATTTGTTTCATTTTTGGAAGTATTGTGTTTTGTTTTGGAGGCATCTTGCCCTGAGTTGACTTCTTTGGGCATCAGAAACAGTTTGAATTAGAGCTCAAAGATGTTGATAGTAGATAGTTGAGTCGATAATTGAATCGATAATCGAGTCGATAGTCGATAGTAGCTTGGTCGTTGACTGTTTCTCTTGTTTTGGTCACTCGGTTTACTCAACTAAACTCACCGAATTCAGTGTCAAGTCACTTTTGTTGACGGCAGGAAAATAGGATATTGAAACCTAATCTTTTCCTTACTTTGGGTTCAAGCACCTAGAAATGTCACCTGGAAATGTACGTTGTTCTCGTTTTAAAGAGCCCAAATAAAGTGCTGTAATTGCTGATGATTCTCAAACTCTTCGGGGTATTCCCGGTATGTGTGCAGGATGCTCTCATCCTGCACCTGCCATCGAGGATAATTTTCGGTGCGCATCGCATCGCTTTTATCTTTATGTCGTCGTTCAGCGGGCTTTTTGGAGACGCTCCGGTCGACAATGACTTGAGCAAACTCTTCCTGGACACAACACAGAAGGTGGAGAGGCCAGTTCGAGCCAGAACAGAGGTCGAAACTCGAAAACGAGTCACGAAAACGACCGCAGAAACGAACGATGAAAACGACCCTTCGGAAGTCGAGTCGGAAGATCTGGCCTCAGAAGAAGATTCGAGGCCCAGGAAGCTGGAAGAGGACGACGATATCGAGGGAAAGTACTTCCAGGCCCTAAACAAGGATACACATCCTAAAAACACCGATGAGAAAAAGGACCGCACCCGTACACCCAAAGTTGCAACCGCTACCAAAGTGGATCTCAAAGAAGACGAATTCGATAAAGCTGAGCGTACGGTTTTCGTAGGTAATGTTCCAGCGACCGTCGTCACGTCGAAATCCACACAGAAGCAGTTCAAAAAACTCTTTTCAGAGGTGGGTCCAGTGGAGTCTGTGCGGTTTCGTTCCATAGCATTTGGTGAGGCTCTTCCCCGAAAAGCCGCTTTTGCTCAGAAAAAGTTACACGGTGCTCGCGACAGTGTCAATGCATACGTTGTTTACAAAGAAAAGACTCCTTCACGCAATGCCGTTTCAAGGTTGAACGCCAGAGAATTCGACCACCATCATCTCCGAGTGGACCATGTGGCACACCCGGTCGCCAAAGACAACAAAAGAACCATTTTTGTAGGAAATCTCGACTTTGAAGCCCTGGAAGAAGAATTATGGAGATACTTCAACCTGCACACAGATAACGATGTCGAGTCGGTTCGAGTTGTAAGAGACTCCAAGACCAATTTGGGCAAGGGCTTTGCGCTCGTCCAGTTCAAGGACTCGCTTTCCGTCAACAAGTGCATTTTACTCAACGATAAACCCATGTCCAAAGAGTCCAAAAGAAAGTTGCGAATTTCCCGAGCCAATGCTCACGCCAAGCCATCGGTGCTTTCTCCTAACCATATAGATAACGTCAAGAAGGCCCGGACGCCCAAGCAGCAGCTTTCAGAAGCACAGAAATCAAAGCTCGGCCGAGCGAAGGCCGTTTTAGGCCGCGCCGACAGGGCCACCATCGGCCAGGTTAAACCGATCATTGAGGGCCAGAGAGCACGCAAGGGCGATAAGCCGGGAAAGAAGAAGAAGCCACGGATCAGAGAACGTACCCAGAACTATAAAAAGGAACTGAATACTACATAGATAGGAATAAAATGTCGCTTACGTAACGAACGAGTCTGTCCCCACATATTGCATTGCTGCCCTGATCCTGTCAACGCAGGGGAGCGCAGTGGGTGTTCAAAAATATTTTCACCCAACCGCGGTCTTAGCGCAGCCGCGTTTCCAGATTCATGCCAGGGGTACCTCAACTTACACACACGTCTCAATTGGGCAAAATAAACCACGCTTATAACAATACCACGAGGCTGAGTGGTGGATCTTCATGCATGGTAGCCGCACCCGCGCGAAAAAATTGGTCTATCTGCAGGATATTTCTATGCACAGTGGAAGCCCCGTTCAGGGGCAGTGCAGATTTGACGTTTGTGACGTTTCTTCCGTGGGGGAACACGGCGGGGCACTTTCTGTCGTCCGAAACTTTTCAAACAAAAAATCTTTTGGTGGTTCAACTATAAATTAATTTCATACACTACCATATCTCCACTGGCGAAATCTAAACCTTGTTTGTGTCATTGCTACTGGTCATGGTCCAGTGTTGCTCCCTGCATATAGACACCCACTTATATAAAAAAACCGCGATCGCCTCAAAAAATCAGTCACTGTTCATAACCGGAGGCTTTAAAATAAACATTAGTGAACCGGCGAAACCAGGGCTTTTTGACAGCTTTTCAGTTTTCTACAAGAAGTTTGCTACGACACTTACACACATCTTGACATAAATATAGCCTATATGGATCACCAGTTTCTTGGTGTCGAGCCTGTGGATCAGCTCCACCCGACCTCTCCGCATCTCCCCGTTCCTAACCGTGTGATGATGCCCTCCAAGGCTGTTCCCACCACGTTCCCAATGAGCTCCAACGTACCTATGGCTCCCATGATGCTGACTTTGGGTTCCAAACAAATGCATGCTTTCGATATACCCACAATGGGCTCGCAACACCTACTCCAATCAGATTTAAGGTATCCGATTGGATTTCTGAGCGATGGAATGGTTGTGCCGCAACAGGCGATTATGGGTCAAGTGGGACAGTTTGGACAGGTTGGACAAGTGCAACCATTACTGTCTTCGACTCAGATGCAGCAGCAACATGCGGCTGCCCAGGTCCAGCAAGTTCAACAGCAAGTTCAGCAGCACCAACTCCAGCAAGCACAAGCTCAAGCTCAAGCACAAGCTCAAGCTCAAGTTCAAGCACAATCTCAGCAAGCACAGCAACCTCATTCTCATCAATCTCAGTCCCAATCTCAGCTTCAGGAAGACCCCGACGTCAAAGATGAAGGCGAGAAAGGACTTCTTTCCAGAATACCGCCTCTTCATGTTCAGCAGCAAATCGTCAACCAGCTGGCTCAAATCGTTAACCAGCTGCCAGAAGAAGATTCTCAACCAAAGGACCATAATGGTGAGCAGATGCTCCAGCTGCTTTGTTCGCGGTGCAAAAAGGAGTTTTTTCAACCGGTAATCATTCCCCAGGCACCTTCTGGGGGCAGAAACTCCAAAGCATTGGCTGAACCCAAGCTTTTCAGATTGTGTCAGCATTGCAGAGACCTCCAGCGCCAAAGACTGAGACGGTGGCAGAAAAAAACCAGAGACAAGTCAGGAGCCTGTCGTCGTTGTGCCAATGAGATTCCTCGCGACCAACAAAAGTATGTACTTTGTCCCACTTGTAGACAAAGTCTTCGGTCGAGAAAAGCTAATAGGGCAGCCCTGGGCCGGTGCGTGCACTGCTCGGGTCCGCTTTCATCTTCCATCATCACATCGGAAACTAATGGCAATAATAAGCCCAAATTCAAGGTGTGCGAACGGTGTCGAGAAAACGACAAAATTCGTCGAAGCAACCTTGAAAAATTGGGCAATTGCAATCGGTGCGCCAAACCTTTGGATCAGGAAGATGTAGGCAAGCATAAGGTTTGTGTCAATTGCAGACTGCGCAAGCGTCGTCAACACCAAAATTCCGTCAGTCCTCCTCCATCGGCTCTCAATGATACTATTATGATGATGCCAATGAATGGATTTGGATACCAGCAACAACAATACCCAATGGTGCACATGCCTCCACAACCACAGCCTGTAACCCATGGGCAATATCCACAAACCAACGAATGGCGCCTGTCTTATCTGGGCCGGGTTCTGGACTTTAACATGGTTCGGCAAGCACCGCAGTGATGTACAGTAGGAGTATAGAGCTTGATAATAGAAGCTGAGAGGTGGGAAGCTGAAAAAGATATACTGATGAAGCTATACTGAAGAAATTATACTGAAGAAGTTATACTGAAGAAGTTATACTGAAGCAGATATACTGAAGAAGGCTCGACTACCATTGACACATGTATTTATTGAAGCAGTTGAACAAGAGGAAGAACCTTGTGAATTTATAGATACGGTAAACTTAGGTATAAATTGACAATCTTCAAGCTGATCTAGTAAAAACTAACTCAATTTCAATTCTTCTTTTCTTCTATCCTCTCCATTTTTTCTTTTCTTCTCTACTTCTCTCCATCTAGCCCAGCCCCGTCCGCATGCAGGTCCGCACCTCCCCACATCTCAACACTCGATATTGTTCTCACAGTCCACTCCTTTCTCTGGTTCCACGGTCCACAATTCGTGTGTGGTAGACGATTTCAACCTTATCCACCTTCCTCTACACGATGGTACCACTTATGAGCCTTAATAACGCGTCTTCGTCATCCGTCAGTTCACGAGACAAAACGCTTCCTCCGGCCCCTGTTCCGTCGTCTCCACCAGACATTCTCCAGGCCAAGACATTGAAGCGGAAAAACTTCAAAAAGCTCTCGCTAGAGCCTGGGGCCATCAAACCGGAACAAGACAACAAAAACAATTTCAAAAATGACAATCTTAAAAATGAGAATCTCAACTTGGCACATTCGGAACTCAAACCGATTCCCCCGTCTCTCAGAGACAAACGAGATCGTATCCGTCCTGCTCCGCTTCTCAATCTCGACAAACCAGTAAACCCGGATGACAATACAGTGGATAACGACCTCATGAACCATTTTTCAGGCATCAAACTCAACAGTCACCGCACCTCCAATCTGCATACCAGCGTTCCCAAAAAGAGACAAACGGTGATTTCGTCGATCTCGCCCACCAAATCCGCCACGTCGTCGCCACGAGAACCGCAGGTGCTCAGTTTTGCATCGTCGTCGCCCATGGCTACCACCTCCTCCATCAAGCTCAACAACGACGATCTCCTCACTCTCCGGTCTCTCGGTAGCGGAAACTCGGGCACAGTGTCCAAGATCTTGCATATTCCCACCCAGAAGACCATGGCTAAGAAAATCATTCATATTGAGCTGAAACTGGTGATCCAGACACAAATCATCCGTGAACTCAAAATCATGCACGAGTGCCGTTCTCCCTTCATTATCGACTTCTATGGCGCCTTCATCGACACCAACAACACCATTGTCATCTGCATGGAATATTGCAACTGTGGCTCTTTGGACAAGATCGCCAATATCTGTAGACAATTTCCTCTTCCAGTGGTCAAGAAACTTGCATTTGCAATTTTATCTGGACTCACCTACCTTTACACCACCCACAAGATTCTTCACCGTGATATCAAACCAAGCAATGTGTTGATGACTCACAAAGGTGAGTTCAAGTTGTGTGATTTTGGAGTGCTGAGAGAATTAACCAATTCTTTAGCGGTAGCCGATACTTTTGTCGGTACCTCAACTTATATGTCTCCCGAGCGGATCCAAGGTATGAACTACGGAATCAAGTCTGATGTGTGGCTGATGGGTCTTATGTTGTTAGAGTTGGCTTCTGGACGTCCAGTGTGGATTGACGATGACGACTCGGTGCTGGGCCCAGAAGGCATTTTGGATCTTTTGCAAAGAATTGTCAACGAAACACCTCCAACTATCAGGAACAAGGTGGATCCCAAAACTGGGGCACCGTACGACCCGGATCTTGTTCGGTTTATCGATTCGTGTTTGGTGAAGGACGAGGCAAAACGCAAGCTTCCTTGGGAATTGCTCGAGCAAGATTTATTTTTGCGAGGAGTAGCTGAAGGAACTTTTGATAAAGAAGTCAAGGCGTGGGCAAAAGGCATTAGAAAGTCACACAAGGACACATAGCATAGCATTATATTTACTAAAACAGACTCGAGTAGACAAGAGCTTCATTTCAGCCACAACAGGAGCTCGTTGCATGGATACAACAAGATCTTCAACAAGATCTTCATTACTCAATTCAGCAAGCTTCATCAAGAGTTTTAATTACTTTGGGTAGGGGTCACTACTTCAAAAAAGCCCCGTTCGTCAATTCAACCTCCAACTCGAAATCAGGCTGGAACTCGGCGTATAACGATTCTGGGTCGCCTGTCATTTTGCAAGTGTAATCGGCAACTTCATCCGAGATAATTTGCTTTTTGATACCCGAGGCAGCAGCAGCATCAGCCAAGAGCTGGGCATGGCACGAGTCCTCCAACAAAGTGAACAAAAAAGCGGCCTCGTCAACGGTGGAACCGGTGGTCAAGAGTCCATGATTTTGCAAAATTGCAGCAATTCCATTGGCTCCCAAAGCCTCAGCAATCTCCTCGCCTTCACGCTCATCGAGCGCCACTCCTCCAAAGTTCGAGAACACAACCTGGCGCTTGTAAAAAATACAAACGTCCTGGTTGATCATTTCCAATTCTCGACCAAAGGTCAGAAACGTCTTGCCGTATGTCAGATGGGTATGGCAAGCTGCCGCTATGTCTGGACGGGCCTTATGGATGGCCACGTGGATGGAGAAGCCAGCAGCATTGACAGCGGCCTGGTTTCCGTCGGGCAATATGTTGCAATTGTCATCAACGTGAACCATGTCGCTCGCTTTGATAAGCGAAAAATGCTTGTTTAAAGGGTTGATCCAAAATGTTCCAGGGGTCACGGGATCCTTCACAGAGATGTGACCAGCAGATCCCACCAGGTACCCCTTTCGACCAAACACACGAAACGCACAAGCCATATGTTCAAGCATCCATTTCCGTTTTTCCATCATATCTGTAAACTGGGGTATTGGGTGAGGATGGGGTAAACCTTTTGCTATATTATGGCTTCCCTGGGAACCAGTATCATATCCCTTGGAAGTGGTGTCAGTGAGCAATGTGGGAGTCATGAAGAAGTGGGAGTTTTGTGAAAATAAAAGTGAACTTTATGTGGTTGGATTTGGCTGCTACTTATAATCGCACTCGCTCCTAGTTGCCGCAGCCGAAATAGGAAGTAGCCGCGCGAAGAAGAGGTGGAGACAAGATGAGAGCGGAATAGTCAGGAGCGGAATCGGTCAATTACTATTCAGTAAGTTTTCATATTGGCTTTTCAGTTTTTATTTCAGTTTTTAATTTTCATTTTTTTTCGTTTATCATTTTTTTCTCACTTGACTCATTCTGATCAAATTTACAATTTTCACATTTTTTCACTTCCATTCGAATTACTTTTTCTACATTTTTTCTTCTTCACTCCTCATATTCTTATTAGTATTAGTCCTCTCCGTCTATAATCATGCATCATTAGCGAGAACTCCCTCCGTCTTCTCTTTGCTGGTTTCCGAACCCTCGGCCTTTCCAGCAGCAGCAGCATCGGCCTCAGCTTTCTGCTTGGCAAGTGCAATCTTCTTAAAGTACGCAGCGTAACCATACTTTGACTTTGCTCTCATCCTGGGTCCATAACGCTCAAAGATAAAAAGCACTGGAACCATAGCCAAAGCTATGAATGCAAAGAGAGTGGTGGCCCAGTCAATGTGCAACCTTTCATACATCTGAACCGTAAAGAGAGGGAACACCGATGCCATGATGTATCGCATAAGATTATTGGCTGCAAATGCCGAGGCAACACTGGCAGGTGGAAACGCCATGGAAAAGTAGAATAATACCGTCATGAACACCAACACCAAACCAAATCCAAAAGGAACTCCAGCAGCTGTAGGAGCCATCCAGTGAACCGATGGTCTTGCTGTCCACGCTAACCAGAACAATCCTATGGGCAAAGCAACCGCACCAACTTTTCCAGGCAAAAGTTTTGACTCTGGAGGATCCCATACAAACTGTCCATTTTCGTCCCTTTTTCCACGACTTCCATCGGCGTTTTTAGGAAAGTACTTGTAGTTGTCCAAGATCATGTAGAAAACAACCCCGAGTGTCAATCCGAGTCCAACACCAATAAATGGCAATCCAGATATTCCTGTGTCCATATGGTAGACACCTCTGAAAATGATGGGGAAAGCTTCAAAAAATCCAAACAAAACAGCAAAGATAAATGAAATGTATATCGACAACACCAACACAATAGGCTCCTCGAAAAGCATCTGGATGGGTTTTAAGAAAGCATAAGCCAAAATGGCTCTTATTCTTTTCGCATTCATCTTTGGTTCATTTAAGTGGATTCCTCTCTTTTTCGCTCTAGCAGACAACAATGATGGCTTATAAGTCTCAGGCATCAAGACCACAGGGAGCAAAATAGCACCGCAAAACATCATCAACACCCACATGGTCCATCTCCAGTTTTTATATTCGGCCGCAAAACCTCCTACAATGGGACCAAGTACAGGACCCATGAAAGGAGCCAAGCAGAAAAGACTCATTGCAAACGACATATCGTACGGGTCCTTGGCCCATATGTCGGAGATGGAGCCACCAGCCACTGCCATGGCGGGCGATGCCAATAAACCGGAAAAAAATCGAAGCACGAGAATCGAGCGAATGTTCTGCGAAAGTCCCACTCCCATAGTGAACAAGATGGAAGGAGGAAGTGACAACAAATAAATCCAGCGACGTCCAAGCACCTCCGACAACGGAGCCGCCACGGCAGGCCCAATGGCTAAACCTATCAAGTAGAAAGTCAAGCCAGAAACCGCCAATTCTTGCGATACATTATACTTGATGGAAATCTCTGGAACTCCACAAACGTACAAGGAACTTCCTAATGACACACACAAGCAAATAAGGGCTACCGTATACGTGACATACCATTTTTTCCACGTGGGCCAGTTCATTGGGTTCAATGGGTCTTCTGGACCTTCCCAGTCCAAGCTGGAAGGCTCAATCCCTTCTTCAGCCATTTGTTCTTCACGAGCCACTTCCTCGGCAGATTTACGCGACGAGATCCGTTCGAGAGTTTGTTGTCTGTTCAATTGGTCCTCAGCAATTTCATCGTCAATTTCATTCCCATTTTTTATGGTTCCATCAAACGGTTCGGGATGAGAAAATGAGCTCAGCGACAGCTTGGCATGAATGGGATTATGGATGGTTGAGTCCGAGTGACTGGCGTGGGAATGGTTTTGGTCTTTGTAATCGTTGGTTTCATCTTCGTTGTAATTTTTGATTTCGATTTCGTTGTCGTTGGCAAACTCCGAGCCCTCATCTGCCGTTTCGTAAGCAGACAAATCTGTGGACTTTCCTCCTAGAGACAGCCTCCTATCGTCTGTAGGAGCCGGTGCTGCTGCCCGGAGTCTTTCCTCGTCGTCTTTGGATGTGCCAAAAAGACCCATGTTTATTAGTGGAAGATGCGTGAAAGTTGCGAACAGACGGCTTTTATCACCTGCAGCGGTGTGGCAGCGGCTATCGGCCGTAACAATGGTGCGGCCGTAGAAATGTCATGCACACCACACGAGGCCAGGCCGAGTCGGAAATGCGTGTGGGGGTTCAGAGTGACCGGATGGGGTTGGGGGACCACCGTGGGGGCCATTGAGTACTGACAAGTTTGGGGCTGGTGAAGGTGTGGTTGGTTCGCACCCATAAAATTTTTCGGAAACTTGAGCGGGAAACTTTAGCCGGGAAAACTTCAGCCGGGCTAAAATTAAAAAAATGGCGGAAAATAAAAGCAACTAGACAGGAATCCTGGCAGAAATTCTGGCAGAATCCTGGCGTCTAAACAAAGCTTGTTCAGCTGCAGTGCATCATATTGGCTTTGAAGTGCGTGGGGGTAATTGTGTGCGCATTTAGCGCAACTCTATTGGTCTATTGTTTTTTTGATTGTCGTTATTTTGCATTTTTAGCCGGTGCGAATTTCACAAACAATATTTCGTTTTTCGGTGCGGATTCACGCTATTTACAGGATTGACACATTCGCTGCGAAAGCCGTATATATGGGCGGGTAATGCTGCTATAACATAGATCTTGCATATCTTAAATCCGTTTATATCTTAAATCTTGTTCATCTTGAATTTTGTTTATCATTATTCAGTCTTCGAATTTTACTCATACTACTCATACTCTTGGCTTATGTTGTCGCAGCCGCGGCTAAGTTGTTCCTCGGCACAACTCCCTTTTCGTTGCGCGCAAATCGGCTGCGAAAGCTGCGAATTGGCTGCGAAATCTTAGATCTGTCGGCCGTACCACTACGGCTGAAACTATCTCTGCAGATCTCTCTAAAAATAGCGAATGGCATTTCCGACTCGCAAATGGTCCAGAAGAATCTCCGAATCTCCGAAACCACCAAAAATCTTCGAAAAGCGAGTTGCAAAATCTCGCTAGTATACCGATTGTCGCAGCCTCAGTATCCTATTGTTACACATCATTCGCAAGTATTCCTTGCCTGTTTTCCAGTGCTGTGGCAGGAACAACTCCCGAAACCTCTGCGGGCAAGTTTCCGATTTGTTCAATCTCAGAATAAACTTTTTCATTGGAAGAACTCTCATTGGCAGAACTCTTGGTCTGACTTTCCAGTTTCTGATTTCCTGTTAAATTCTCCTTTGTCTCGGCTCTTTCGACTTTTTGACTTTCCGCTTCCTTCCGTTTTCTTTCAATCGCAAGCTTCTTGAAATATGCAGCGTATCCATACCTAGACTTTGCTCGCAATCTTGGTCCATAACGCTCAAAAATAAAAAGCACTGGAACCATTGCCAAAGCAATGAAAGCAAGAAGAGTGGTTGCCCAGCTGATATGGAGTCTCTCGTACATCTGAACCGTAAAGAGAGGAAACGCTGAAGCCAAAAGGTACCGCAAAAGATTATTCACCGCCAAGGCCGATGCAACATGGGTAGGAGGAAACGACATTCCAAAGTAAGACAGCACGGTCATAAACACTAGAACCAAACCAAAACCAAAAGGAACCCCAGCAATTGTAGGAACCATCCAGTGAACCGACGATCTTGATGTCCAAGCTAACCAGAACAAGCTAATTGGCAAGGCAATTGCACCAACTTTTCCTGCCAAAAGTTTGGTTTCCGGAGGTCTCCAGATAAACTCTCCCTTTTCGTCTCTTTCACCTCGAGTTCCGTCGGGATTTTTGCGGAAATATTTGTAGCGATCAAGCACCATGTAAAATGCAACACCGAGCACCAACCCTAGACCAACTCCAATGAAAACCAATCCAGAAATTCCAGTATCCATATGGTAAACTCCACGGAAAATGATGGGAAATGCTTCGAAAAACCCAAATAATACTGCAAAAACGAATGCAATATAAATCGACAAAACTGAAACTATAGGCTCGAAAATGAGCATTTGAATCGGTCTCCAGAAAGCATAAACCAAAATCCACTGCATTCGGCGCAAGTTCATCTTGGGCACCACCAAGTGGATTCCTCTCTTTTTAGCTCTGGAAGCCAACAAGACTGGTTTGTATGTTTCAGGCATAAAAATCACCGGAACCAAAATGGCTCCAGAAAACATCATTGAAATCCACAATGTCCATCTCCAGTTCTTGTATTCGGCTGCAAAACCCCCCACAATAGGTCCTAGAATCGGACCCATAAAAGGTGCCAAGCAAAAAAGGCACATGGCAAAAGATCTATCGTATGGATCGTTGGCCCATATATCGGAAATTGTTCCTCCAGCAACTGCCATGGCAGGAGAAACGACCAAACCGGTAAAAAAACGAAGCACAAGAATCGACTCAATGTTCTGTGAAAGTCCCACTCCCATATTGAACAAAATGGAAGGAGGAAGTGAAATAAATCCATCGACGTCCAAGTAATTCAGATAATGGAGCTGCCACCGCAGGACCAATGGCAAGTCCTAGTAAATAGAATGTCAAACCCGCAATGGCTAATTCTTGAGATACATGGAATCTCTGGGAAATTTCCGGTGCTCCACAAACATATAAAGAACTTCCCAATGATGCACATAAACATATCAATGCAACCGTATAAGTAACATACCATTTTTTCCATGTCCGCCAATTAGCAGGGTTCAATGGATCTCCAGCACCTTCCCAGTCCAACGTCAGAGGGTCAATTCCTTCTTCTACCATCTGTTCTTCACGAGCAACGTCCTCCACTGTTTTTCCAGTCGCAATTCTCTCAATTGTTTTCTGCCTGTTCAATTCATTTTCCTCCACCACGCCATCTCCATAGTACTCCAACTGCGAGTGCGAGCTCAGAGACGTGCTCTTTTCGTGGAAACTCATAAACACAAAAAGAACCGGGAATGGTTCCTTTTATCTTCGATACATGCTTTGCATATGAATTGCAGCCGACACGCCGCACACACGTGACCAGCACCGAATATCCGCTTATGTAATGACATATCTCGACCTAATTCGGTTAGGTACGATCTTTAGATTGGAAGATGACCAAAATCGTTTACGCTATAAAGCCGACTTCGGATTCTATGTGAGCAATTTTACCAAGTAGGAAAGTAACCAGTGAAGACAGTTCTGGATAGTTTAGGCACAGATTTAGACATTCGTAATGGCAGTGTTCGCATTCGGCGGAATAGAGAGTTTACCGAGTTGGAGTAGATTTGTTGCTGTATCCGTTCGATTGGTTCCTGATGCCGATACGCAAGACCAAGGATTGTTCAATTATAAAGCAAATTGGTCAATCATCTTTTTATTCAGTTTTTTCCTGTATATATCTGATCAAGTCTGGCAACTTCACCAACTTCTTAATAAAGATATATAAGGAATAATCTAGAACGATGAATTGAATAAATTTTCAGTTTATGAGTCTATATGACTTCCATACTAGCATACTAAATAATAATCTGGCTATAAATCAGATTTCCAGGTTAAAAGATAAAGAACTTGTTATGGCATTGTAGGTACCGTTACAGCGACAAGCTGCTAATACATTGGTAATAATGTAAGCGATAAACTTTGTGGGAAATTTTTGTGGTTGTACCTGTTTAGTGAGATACAGCGTAAATCAAAAGACCTAAGGATGCAATCCAATAAAAAACTACCATTAAGTCCACCATTAGTCTTGCAACTTCAAATACTTTATATCGAATGGAAACGATTATGTTGTCTATCCAAATTGGATAAGCAATCACATGGCAAACCACAGAACTCCAGAGATAAGCGGGAGAATTCTTTTTCCCGGTCCAGTCACCTTGATAGTAAAGTACCAACCCCAGCGAGGCTGCATAAAGGAAACATACAGGGATCAATAACATAGCCATTTTTTTGAACCTATCATCCTGCAGAATCTCAGCCTCAGTTTCTGTAGTCATTCCCACAGTTTCTTCAATTTTCCCCATAGGTTGTTCAGTCACTTTCCCCATAGGTTGTTCGGTCATTTTTTCTTTCATAGGTTGTTCAGTCATTTTATCTTCCATTTCGATCAAATTCAGAGGCTGCAAAGTCTATAAGTAAACGAATATATAATCTGCCAAACATAAAGAAAGAGGAAGCCTCTATCGAAGTGTTCTGCCTACTTCTGCAATTTTTATACTCAATTAATTCCTTATTCTTTCCATTTCCATCATTCTCTCATTTTTCCTTATACTTTCTGTCCATTTCCTTACTCTCTTTCCTCACTGAGAGTGTACCGAGTTGAGGTAGATTTGCTGTTGTTCGTACTTGGCTCATGCCGATATTCAAGACCAAAAGAATCGCAGGTCAATTGTAAAGTAAATTAGTCGCAAACTTTTTTTTGATCTGTTTTTCTTTCCGCTGTTTCTTACTGAATAAGTCTGGGAACGAAATTGTCTTCCTATCAGAGATCAACAAGAATCTAAAGGACACACCGTAAATCGTCCAGTTTATAAGTCAATTATATAACTTCCATACTCTACAAAGAGAAGAAAATTCTCAATATGGAAATTTAAGCAAATCAGTTTAGATTACTAGCTAGAAACTGTTAAAAGATTTAAAGAAATCGAACGAGTTTAGGAAAATAGGGATCGCATACCTTGTTAGACGACGCTGTATCACCAATATAGTGTTGGATTTAACATAGCTCACACAACACCACACCCACGGTGAAGGATAACGCAATCAGCTCATAATCCAACAATATGATAGCAAAGTTCGATCTTAGCAATTTTAGCGAACGAATTGAACTGTGGTGCGGAGCCTCAAGCTATTTCTCGCTCCATTCTGACGTAATTATAACGCAGAAATATTCCACCATGCTGCCAATAACTGCGAACAAACATAATAGGAGAATTTGAAATATAGTTAGGGTCTGTGATTGGCAGAACGAATGGAAGGCGGCAATACATGTCACAATGCACACATAAGCAGATAATAAGCTTAAATAGAATGGCGCCTTATGCTGATAGGAAGCGTATATGGAAAGTATCCGATTTTTTAAAAGCCACAAATAAACCAATGCATAACAGATCCAGAGATAAATCGAGATGTTAATCTCTCGATTCCCGAAGGAGTCGGAGAACACAACTATAAGTATACAAAGGAATAATATAGCAAATTGCCACGCCATAAGAGAGTAAAACAGAACCCGAACTACATTCCTTTGTGGTGTTGTTTCTCTCGTTTGTGGTCTGGTCTCTCTCATAATCGCTTCCCTTCGTTGTCGAATCACTTCCCTTGGTTGTCGATTCTCTTCCCTTAGTTGTCGATTCGCTTCCCTTTTTTGTCGAATCCCTTCTACCACTTGTTGTGGAGTCATTCCTTCCAATTGGAGTGGATTCAATTCTCTCTCAAGTTGTCTAATCAATTCTACCGCTTGTTGTGGAGTCATTCCTTCAAATTGGTGTGGATTCAGCTCTTCCGCTTGCGGAGGAGTCATTCTTTGCACTGGTGGCGTTGTCATGATCAAGATGAAATCAAGTACAAATGCGAAAAGATATTTTGCAACCGCGTTATCAGCCACGTGACAATTGTTGGATTATTAACCGATTATGTGATGATATCCTTCACCGTGGGTGTAGTGTTGCGTGAGCTGGAATACACTGATACTATATTGGTGATATAGCGTCTTTCATCTGTGTATTGTACTACCTTGTTAGACAGAACCAAATGACAAGCGATATGAATGATGTAAGGCACAAACCAACAAAGGCTAAGCTCGTATATGCTTCAGCTCTGAAGTCCTTATATGGAAAGGTAATAATTGCGATGTTTATCCATATTGCAACACCAAACACATGGAAAGCTGCAGAACTGAGCCAGATATAATCCGGAATCTCTACATTATCATTTTCCTTTCGAAAGAGAGCGGGAAGTACCCAGCCAAAACATAACAGGAAAAATGTCAAAAACACAATTGCATACTGGATACTATCGCCTTTCAGATTTTCTTCCATAGTTTCTTCAGTCATTCTTTCCCCCACATTTTCTTCAGTCAATTGTTTCACCATTTGTGATCAAATTTTAAAGGTTCGCTGCAAAGCTCAGTTTATAAGTAGACGTACAAATAATCTGCCAAACTAGAGCCGTGAAAAAAAGTGGAAGAATTTTATAGCAGGTCAAAAGCATCTTAAACTATCGCACAACTGATTCTGCTATGTTTTCCTAATACTTTCCATTTCCTTCATTCTCTCAATTTTTCCGTATACTTTCGTCTTGCATGCAACCTCGTATCGTGAACGTAGCGCGCCGCACGGTTTCATTTACGACTCAAATACGAGCAGAGCAAAGTTGTGGTTGTTGAATCTCAATCTTTGATAATACACTTCTAATCCAAAATGGGTCACTTGATCATGTTTCTGCATTTGGTGGAGGATCGCCTAGTACTTCAAATGACAGATAGGTCGCGCATTTGATCTTGTCACATATGCAAGTTTGTTTTAGACGAATAGTACGAAAAATACAAAGGCAAAGATAAACATGTTCAATTTCACTGACCAGGTAAATAATGTAAAGCAAAATCTTTCTAGTTGTATTACCTTGTTAGGAAGAACCAAATGAAAACCAATGATGATATAAGGCACACCCCAAGAAAAACTAAGCACGTAGAAGTCGAAATTCTGAACTTAAGTCGAAAGCAATAGATTGTGAGGTATAACCATATTGCATCACCGATCACATGGAAAGCTGCAGAGCATAACCAGATATAACCAGGAATCTTTACATTAACATTTCTCTTTTGAAACTCGACGGGAAGTCTCCAGCCAAAACCCATCAGGCCAAAAGTCAACAATTGCAATGTAATCCAAAAAACGACAGCATTTGCATCAGTCACTCTTTCCCTCGCAGCTTCTTCGGTCACTCTTTTCCTCGCAGCTTCTTCAGTCACTCTTTCCCTCGCAGCTTCTTCAGTCAGTTTCTCCATTGTGAACAGATTATCAGAGGTGAGCTGCGAAGCTTAGGTTTTAGTAAATGCATACGACCGATAATCTGCCAAACCTAGAGTAGGAAAGTGGAAGCTACTGAATCTGCTATCTTTTCTACTCAATTTCTTATACATTCCGTTTACTTTATTCTTCCTTAAACTTTCCGTTCCTTGTCTTTCTCTTCCGTAATAGGCAGAGTTCGCATCGGCAGACTTGAGAATTTACCGATTGAGGCACAATAACTGCTGTTTCCGTTGGTATTTGGCTCTGATCCCGATCATGAAAAACAAGATTTGAGCGTCAATTGTAAAGTAAATCAGTCAAACTTTATGGTTCTTCTGTATATCTGAATAAGTCTGGCTAAGAACTTTATAACTTGTCGTTTTGGAGATCAATACGTATAGTCCAAAAGACTTTCCGTTAAGATAATGACTAGTTTCTGGTTTTTTCAACTTTGGTTACTGGCATTTCAAATAATAATCTGGTACTAGATCCAAGATTTGCATGATAGGTGTGTACTGGTGTACTGGTGTACTGAAATTTGCAGCCATTTCTCAACTATTAAGATCACTATGCAACACCAATTACCACGATGAAGAAGATTTTACGGCTAATTTGCATTTTGATCTACACAAATATCAGCACAATTGTGTCAGCACATGAATTGGAGGACGCAACTATCTTTCGGGTGATGAATTTTACTCAATATCTTATACTTTCCGTTTCATGCTCTTCTCAATTATTTCCTTATGCTTTCTATTTCAATACTCGTCCACTTAAAGACCCCAATCCATAGGAACTGGAACTGAGAACAAATCTTGAATTCCATTCTTTTGTAAATGTAGGGTACTTCTTTTCCTTTCAACGACAGGTATACACTGATACTATATTGGTGATATAGCGTCTTTCTGTTAAGGTATAATCCATGAAGAGTCACGTAGTCGCAGACTTAAAGGTCGTTCTGTTTGAGACCAACAGCACGAACTAAAGTTAGACTTATTCAATTTCACTGACCAGCTGCTAATATCATTGGTATATAATGTAAAGCGAAGAACCTTTGTAGTTGTATTACAGATCCAGACGGAACCAAGTGAAAAGAAATACAGATGATGTAAGGCACAAACCAAGAATACTCAAGAACCCAAAAGCCACAGCTTTCCACTCTCTTGATGAGTCCTTATTTTGAAAGACAACGATTGTTAAGCTTGTCCATATTGTAGTAATGATCACATGAAAAGCTGCAGAACTGAGCCAGATATACTCCGGAATCCTTAAATTAACATTTTTCATTTGAAAGGCGGTGGGAAGAAACCAGCCAGAACATAACAGGAAAATAGTCAAAAAAATTATTATACAGGTAATAATTTCCTGAAATTTGTCCACTCTTTCTTCAGTCATTCTTTTCCCCACAGTTTCTTCAGTCACTTTTTCTTCCATTGTGATCAAATTATCAGAGGTGAGCTGGGAAGCTCAGGTTTAAGTAAACGTTTACGACGAGTAATCTGCCAAACTAAGAGCCGTTAAAAAATCATAGGTCTTATAGCAGGTCAAAAGCATTTTAAAATTACTACCGCAGCATATCGCAGTGACCAGTATACTTCTGTCTTTATACTCAATTAGATCCTTGTACTTTCCATTTCCTTCATTCTCTCAATTTTTACTTATACTTTCGGTTTTTATTCTCGTCTTATCAGTACACCAGTACACCCGTGGTATAAAATGGCTGCAAATTCGCATGGGTTTATCTTAATCAATACAAGTTCCATTTCATTTGAAAGCCCAGTGGGTTCTAGGGTCTGTTCTTCAGGTCGTCTGTTCTTCAGGTCGTTTAGTTGCATTACTACAAGCTTCTACCCTCCCACAATTGACTCGGCCCGTTACATAATCTAGCAGTTTCTTATGCATGCTACCTCGTATCGCGAGCTCATTCATGCATGTTCGTGCAGCATCGGATTAATTTATCGCATATTCATATTTTTCAGTTTTAGTGTAGTCATATATATAAAAAGAATTGAATTATACAGAAGCATCTTCAACTTCCGAAACACCCTCGGCCTTGGTGCTGGAATGAGGTGAAATTTCTCCTCTGAATTCGTGCTCTTTTGGAACATACGATTTCGATTTCCAAGCATGGTCAACATGTTCGTACATGGCATCGATTTGTTCCAAAGTCATACCCTTGGTTTCGTAGATGGTAAAGTAGGTGAAGAAGAAACACAAAAAGTTGAATCCTCCCCAAATGAAAAAAACCTTGGATCCCAAGTTGGCATTTCCTTTTCCAGAATCCACCATATATGGGGTAGCGTATGCAATTGCCCAGTTCCATAACCAATTGGAAGCAGCAGACATGGCAACAGACTTGGCTCTTGTTCTCAATGGGAAGATTTCACCAACAACCACCCAACAAATAGGACCCCAAGTGGCTGCGAAAAATGCAATAAAAATACACGAGAAGGCTACCAACACTTGATTGGCTGCATGGGAGTTTGCTGCTACTCCCACAATGGCCACAATGAACTGCGAAAAGGACATACCTGCAGCACCCACCAATAACAAGTTACGACGTCCAACAAGCTCAATTGCAATAACACCAGGAATTGTCATTCCCACGTTAACAATATTGGTAGCCAAGGAAATCAAGAATTCGTTTTTGATTCCAGCACTTTGGAAAAAATGTGGTTCCATAGTAAAAAATAAAGTTCACACCACTCAATTGTTGGAAAGCTTGAAGCCAAATACCCGTCATCAATCTTTTGAGTTGCTTATTGTTTCTGGAGAAAAGCATAGACAAAGAAGGCTTTCCAAACGAACATTCAAACTCATAAGCGGCTTTGATATCCATATACTCTTCAATTAAATCCCGGATGGGTCAATTGGTAAATTTTCTCAATCTTCTCAACGAATCTTTGGCTTTGTCATCTTTACCAACATGGATATAGAACCGAGGAGATTCAGGCAAAAAGATCATTCCCATACCCAAAATCAACGACCACAAGAATTGAATTGCAATTGGAATTCTATAAGATCCAGAATCATTTCTGTTTTTGGTTCCTTGGTTGACACAGGCTGCAAGTAACAATCCAATGGTAATTGCCCATTGATAAAGAGACACAACTGCACCTCTAATCCACTTGGGTGTACATTCTGATTGGTAAAGTGGAACACAAGAAGAAATTAATCCCACTCCAAATCCAGCAATGGCTCTACCCGCACAGAATAATGGAATGGCTGTGGCAGCAGTTTGTAAAATAACTCCCACATTGAACACAATTAACGAGGAAATAATCAACGTATAACGACGTCCAAGGGTATCGTTAAGTATAGGAGCAAGCAAAGATCCAAAAAAAGTACCCACCGATAAAATCGACACAATAAGAGATTTTTCCGATGAAGAAAATGTATGTTGTGGAACTCCACTGTCATGTTTCCAATCTTGGGGAAATCTTTCAGTCACATAATTCATACCCAAGATTCCACTGATGGTTCCAGTGTCGTAACCATACAAAACACCTCCAAAAGCAGCAAACAATCCGACAAAGATCCCCATTCCAGTGGATCCCTCCTTCTTTTCTCCGACGTTAACATATTTACGCACAAGTGCGTTGTCTTCTAATCCCATTGATTTTTCGATAAAATCCTCAACGAACTTGCATCCTTTTATAGACTGCCGAGCCGACACTTCTGGTATCTTGGTTGCGATCGAGTTGGATGAATTTGCAGCTTTGGAAGTGGGGCTGTATGCGACAAAAAATAAATTGTTTTTCCACTCATGCGGGGTGCATGCATTAGGAAAATCCGATAACGCCGATTGACCCGGTCAATCGACGGCTTATACATTTTTGTTGATACAATCATAGTACCTCAAATTTGGCTGAACAGTAGTTATTTGGTGCCGGCTGAATAGACCATTGGTTCGACGCCTATTGCCAAAAATGCGAAAATGACACAATTCAAGGCGTACTATATTTAAATGTTATTTCGGAAGAGTTTTACTTCCGAGGCCCAGAGTTCACAGTATATCTCAGCATGCATAATGTTTTCTTACTCGCCAAGTCCTCCCCTCAGATAATTTCACAAAAAAATGGGGTATATGCATAGGTTGCATTAACAATAGCGGGGATCGTGAGTTCGGAACCCAAATGTTAGGTAATCGTGCAGATAGTGATGAAAAAAACGCTGGATGTCCTGCATCGCATTATTGATTGCGCCATCTACGACTAAAAATGTGGTCATAATATGCAGCAAATATTCCGTTACGAGTTGGTGTATGGATGCAACGCCGATTTTCCGAAACGATCTGCTGCAAGAGTATGCGGGGAGAGAACGTGTAGACCATTTTGTGGATTTTGAAAAGGAAAATCCCCCTATTTGTTACTATCGATCTCACTTGCTTTCGAACTTATCTTCCAGTCAAATCAAAATTAAATTTGGTTTATTCGTTTCGGAGAAATGAGTTCAAGGTTCGGATTATTTTTACACCCAATACCAACTTAATCTGGGTGATTTTAACTCTAAGATGCAAAGTATTCGGAATCGTCAGATTACGGCCGAGAATCCAACAATGCTGCGGCAGCTTGAAACAGGAAAAATTAAGTCCGAGATCCAACAAAAAATTCTAAAAATACGAAAAGAGTGGGGATGAAGACTTCAATTGAGGAGCTACTCCTCAAATCCTTCAGACAATTGTGATACGAACCTTGCTTGGCACTTACCGGCCACTATTGCGGTGTATGGACCTTTTCCACGGTTTAAATGAGAATTCTGAAAAGTTCATCCACCAACAAAACTAATAGTGAATGAATTTATGAACCAATTTCGTTTGGTTTACTTTAACCTTTTCAAGTGCCGTTCACAAAACCATAGTTAGGCAATGAAATATGGGGTATTTATATTTCTAGGAGTATGAGTAAGCGCCGGGAACCGATACTTTGTTAAGCAATTATTCCGCAAGAACGTCCAAAGTGGAATTCTTCGGTGTCTTTATCGGAACAGTAACACAGCTGGTTCACGTGTGTCATCAAGCGAGTGAAGCAGCAAAAATGTTCCAGTACCGTCAAGAGACCCTATAAAGCCAAGGATAAGGCCCTCATTTATAACCCAAATTTATTACCCCAATTATTAGACCCTAATTATTAGACCCTGATTTCCAATTTGACTATGCTAGCAAAGATTACAGGTGCCACCGATAGGAGAAGAGTTACCAACTTTTCAATTGCTTCAAGAATTTTTACTGGTTGGTGAGATCGGAAGAAAAAGCCAAAAACTCAAAAAAGCTACGGAAAAAAGTCCAGATGGTAATTGGACAGCTTGACGAATTGGACTGATCGAGGAGCAAGTTCGTGCAACTGAAATTTTTAATAATACTGCTAATATTGACCATGTTCCCAGTGCGGAAGTGTTCCGCAATGCATTGGCTGCGAAAAAAGAACCAACTATTTTCATTCATACTTAACTATTCTCATTCATACCTCAGGAACTTTAGTATTGGGTGAAACCTTCGATGCCAACAAACGACCCACACTAAAAGACTGACGAAAAGGCATTGACGAAATTAACCTGATTCGACGATGCTCCTCATCGGTCGACAAGCTCAACTTGGAAAGCCAGAAAAAACCGCAAGTCAAAACTGCTGTTATTTGTCCATCGCTTATTTTTGGTATCAGCCATGGCTACGACAAGGTCAATTCGGTCCAGATTCTAGAATTGATCAAGGCTAGTGTCAAGAACAATGGTCCATTTTCGGTGTATTCTGGAGAAGCTATCTGGAGTCATATTCACATCCACTTGGGAGAGCTTTATAAGGTGGTTCTTTACAAGCTCGTGGCGGTCGAGAACATTCCTTAGGGTAGAGGGGGCTATTATTTTGGTTCTTGGCTCCGAAGAATGAGCGTACTCCCAGTGAAGAATCCACTGAATTCGAGAATTTGGAGAAAATGTCAGAAAGTGAAAATTGTCAGAAAGTGAAATTGTCAGAAAGTGAAATTGTCAGAAAAAGTGGTGAGGTACTTTACAGAGGTAAACTTCTGAAAACTGACAAGGTGCAAGAACTTTAACCCGATCCAGTTGTTCAACTCAAGAATGGAGACGTATTTGCAACATACTACTGGGGTACTATTCCAGGTCTCGTGGTGACAATGACTATAAGATTGAATGAAAACCCAAGTTTGCTTTACTGACTAGTTTTGTGATGCGGTGGAACAGGATTTGGACCACTTGATCAAGATTGGAAAGTGAAGGAAACAAGAGGAAATAAAGATAGAGTTATAATGTAGTTATTTAATTTGAAATTGGCTCAAACCTCTTCCTTAGTCTCTTTCAGCTGCTCATATCTGAATAAGTCTGAAAAGTAACCATTTTATTGGAGATCAACAAGAATCTTATCCAGTTATAAGACCTATTTACTTCCCTACAAGCATACCAAGTTAATGAACGATTTTCGATCCATAACTTCCAGGTATAAGGTGGATCACATGTATTCACATTGAATTGATTATCTCAATATGCCGCTAAGAATTACAAGTTTACATAATTCGACAATATTAGATATAGTTTGATTCTGTGAGCGGTAGTCAATGAAAGCGAAACAAATTGTCACAATGCACACAACAACAGAAACAAACTTCAGCATAAACAATCCTAATTGCTCCCTACGTTGAAAGGAAGCTTTTGCAGCCCATATCCGTGTTTTTGTATACATCCCAAAACCGAGTGCAGCACCAAACCAGATATAACCCGAAATTCTAATCTCTTTTTTGACGATACCAGGGAATGCCCACGGAGATATAGTAAGGATTATCAAAATCACCTTGAGCACTCCAATCTTGATAACTCTCCAGTCATTCAGAGCGGCTCTAGTGGTTGTCAGTTTTACCATTTTATCAAGAAAAATTACAACAGTACAATGCGACAAGAGGTCTTTTATATGTAGGTCGTGTCCCGGTCGAATGCAACTTGAACGGCTGAGAAAGTGCAGCTATGCAATTAATTTTAATAGCAGAAAGTCATGTCTCGAAATTATATCATTGATCGCACTTAAGAGTGATTTATACTATACTCTATAAAATGTCAGTTATAAGCTTAGTAGATTTGGTGTTACGCTCCCTCAATTTGGTCGAAAGCAGCACCTTCGTATATATGCAGCCGCGTATCGTGAGGCTTGCTAGCTGCACGGCTGATTTTGCAACCAAGTAGGATGGTATGTGGTCACCATTCTTTGACGTTTCATGACTATGTTATGTCTTATAGATTGTGATACGGTGGTTTCTGAGTACATTTGAGCAGCTGAGTAACCTAAAATAGCTTCTAGTCCAAATGAGTCGGGTGATTGTGCATCTGCATTTATGCATCGCCTACATTAAATGGCACAATGCATGAAGAATCATAGGTCGTGGACTTAAAGGTCGCTCTTCGAGACGGACAGTACGTAAAATACAAATACTAACGATCATATTCATTCACTTATAAGCTCTAATATCATTGGTAAATAACAAAAAGCGAGAATCTTTGTAGTTGTATTACTCTGCATAGGGGTAGCCAGCCCAAGTCAAAAAACATATTGCTAAAGCTCCGAAGCCAAGCAAATATACGCTCATATGAGGTCCTCCGATTGGAAACTTATATCGAATGGAGGCGATTATGATATCGATCCAAATAGCAGTACCGATCACAAGACAAACTACAGAACTGATCCAGAGATCATCGCGAAGAGTCTCTACCTCATCAGTTTTCTTGTTGAAGTCATCTTTACAGTTAAGTGCCAACCCTAACGAGGCTGCATAAAGGAAGAATGCAAGGATCATTAACCATTCCCTTATTGTGTGCCTTTTTTTCTGCAGAATTTCGGCTCCAGTTTCTATTTCCCCAATAGGTTGTTTCGATCTTTTTTTCCACCATAGTTTCTTCAGTCAATTGTTTCTCCATTGGTGAACTAATTATCAGAGCTGCGATCAAAGCAACTTATAAGTAAACGTACAAATAATTTGCCAAACCTTAGTCGTGAAAAAAGGTGGTGGCTTATTATAGCAGCTCAAACGCACCTGAAAATAAATATCGTAGTGTCCAGCCTACTGGTTCTGCTATCTTTTTTACTCTAGTTAGTCCTTACACTTTCCGTGACTTCATTCTCTCAATTTTCCTTATACTTTCCTTTTCTTTCTCTTCCTCACTCTCTTTTTACGAAATAGGCAAAATTTTCACAACAGATCTGAAAGTTACCCAGTTGGGGTACATCACTGCTGTTTTCGGCCACCGGGCTCCTGATCCCGATCATGTAGGAACAAAGGTTGCATTGTACCACAGAATAACTGTAAATTAGTTGCAAAACTTTTCTTGGTCTGTTTTTCCGTAAAACTTGTCCAGTTAATAAGTCAATCATATGACTTCCATACACTCTATAAAGAGAAGAAAATTATGGGAAATTTAAGCAAAACAGTTTAGATTACTAGCTAGAACACTATTATGCTTCAAGAATTAAATCGAACGAGTCTAGGAAAATTTTGATCATGGATTGCATACCTTGAAGACACTGTACCACCAAGATGGCGTTAGTGGATTTCATAGCTCACACAACGCCCACGGTGAAGGATAACGCAATTAGCTCATAATCCAACAATATGATAG